CCTGTTTGACCCATTTCCCTGCTTTTCCTCATATTTAAAATACATATGTACACACACTATTTTATGTATCTCAACTATGGTCACACTGCGGACACACAACCTAGTTAAGGGAGGTTTATTTGTATAGCACCTTTCAACAACTAGGCAATTCGAAGTGCGTTAGTCTGAATCACCTCAGTTCATTTCATTTTTTTATTCATTGCAACTCCTAAAACTCTAGAGGGCTCTAAGTAGCTGTGCAACTTATTATCAAATCACATCACAGCATGTGAGTCACTGTCTTTACATACTTTTTGGGTTGTGTTATATCATTTACTGTAGTAAGTCCTTTCTTATGTCGTAAAAGTCCTGCTATATCACGTCATTGCATATATTTCATTTCATATGTTGTCAGTCTGTCAATATCTTGTTATGTCATGTTATGTTTTATGCACTTCTCTGTCATGCTGTCATTTCATGTAAAACCATAAAATGTCATACAATACCATTTTTATTATTTATTGTACTGTCATTCAGTGTCTCTAACCCTCAGTGTTCACCTCCTTTCCCTTCTGTTGGCTGCATATACTGTTTTAGTCTAATGCCAGCACACCCTGTTAAACCACTGCCGTGGTAACGGCTTTTTAATTCCCTTTTGTTTAATGTAGGCAGATACAGACACACGTCGACATACTTTCTGCACGATTATCAGACATGTTGCATCAGTGTATGCTAACTTGTAAAACCAGTCCCATCATGGACTTTTATAGTTGCAGAAGAACAGAAATTATACTACACGCTGACAACAGTTAAGTTCAGTAGTTTACTAATATGTTATAGTAAACAAAATGTAAGGAAAAAATATAACGTGTGTGCGTGTGTGCGTGTGTGCGTGTGTGCGTGTGTGTGTGTGTGTGTGTGTGTGTGTGTGTGTGTGTGTGTGTGTGTGTGTGTGTGTGTGTGGACATAGTGTGCATCTACATCCATGCATTATTGAATAATTGTTTCCTGATGCTTCCCTCTTCCCTGGAATATTAATTACCAAATGATGAAACCGCCTCTTTGGTCTGGGCGGTTGAGGCTGAGGCCGCGCGTGTAGGAGATCGTCCTTTTTGATGGGGGCTAACTTATTTTGCGTGTGTGTGTGTTGTGTGTATCAGCTATGTTGGGGAGTTGAGTTTCAGGGGAAGCATTTTTCTCTTATTGAATGGATGATGAGGATATTTGGGACAGTTGGATAAAGCAGTTGTTATTAAAGAGAATAACTTATTCATAGATGTTTTTCATTTCCAAAGAAAATGATCTCCAAGCAGAAGAAAAAAGCATGAAAAGAAAAAGCTGTTCTCAAATGTTAGACTTTATTGGGAATAAGAAATCACTGTTACCCAAACCACAGAGCTAAGGGGGTAAGAAGCAATAAAATGCACATCTTCGACTACTATGATAAGATTACAAAGCATAAACAGTGAAGACAGGGAGAGATATGAAAGAGAGATACAGTTTCTTCATAGGAAGCTTCCCTAGCAAATAGAAACTGACCGGAGAAATTACTTTTTTGCATGTTTTCATGTCTATATAATTTTCCCAGTGACCCTTTGATTCCAAGATTACCTTCATATGTAAACATAATTTAATGGATTCATGTTCAACCAACATCAGAAACCTTGTGCAGCTCACACACTGGGCCTTCATGGAAAGGAGGATGGCACCATCTAGTGAAATTTCGATGTAGTCAGGGAGAGAAACCACACCATTTCCCTTGTGAATGATATGATGGATGAATGATAATACTGATTTAACAAAAACAAAAAACAAAAAAACAAAGTTTCATGGTGATTTACAAAGTTTCATGGTGGCACGAAGTATGTAAATATCCTACAGTGGATACTTGCTAAACCGCTCTTGCATCATAAACCACTTCTCCTCTATCCATCAGTGTATTCCAGAAGGTTGTCTTTTCCAAAATATCGCAACATATTTGGTATTTCCATTGTGTCTGATGTGTCTGTTCTTACAGGATTCCTCGATTTTATAGTAAGTACAGTAACAGTTGTGGTCACCATATTTTCCCTGAATGAATGATGCCCAAGCATGAATAATATTGAAATTACTGTAAATATGTTGTGCGATGTGTCTGTGTAATAATGAGAAGTTAGGGGGTTTTGGGTGACAATTTGCTGATATAGGCGAAACTTTGATGAAACATATTGTATGTGTCAGTCATTCAAAGCTGTAAACTGCCACTGTCCATCGGGGCATTATTTACTTAAACATAGAAATAGGGTATTAGATCTCTTTTATGAGACAGTGAGACATTTTCTTGTTCCTCTTCACGTAAAGCTGACTGAGAAGAGCCTCCGTAAAGAGTACGGTAATCAACTTCTCACCACTTCTCATGAACAAAACTGGAGAATAAAGCATGTATTCATCAACTTGCTGTGCAATGCAGAAAAATCTTACCCATGCAGTTCCTGCAGTATTAGTGCTCAGGTATTAGGAGGAGAAAGTAATTCAATAATTATTTCCAAGAAACAGTGGGTGATTGAAAACAAAGCAATAAAACATGTTAATCTGTAATATTAGTGGGTGGTTATGTTTCAAGTAATTATTACTATCTCTTAACAGTAACAGCGCAATACATTGGCACTGTCTGTGTTATATATGTAGTCTTACTCATAACATTTAATATAATCACAATATACTTTATTGTATATGTATTTCTAATAATGATATGATCATTGTATGACCGAAGCTTTTCCCTTTTCTTTCTCTCAATGACTTGTATGGAAGATTCAGGAGAATCCACTGATTATTGAGGACCTTGCCGGCATAATAGGTAACTGTATAGCAGACTACTAGAATATCATTAAATACCACCTTAATACCATTATAATGCCATTAGTACGCTAATACTCTGAACAACAACAGTACAGAAGAATCGCCATCATCATTTCAGTGCTGTTTAGCACAGTTATAAAGTTGTTATGGTGAACATGCATTCATGCAAGCATTTGCCTATTTGGACATCCAGCAGATACAGAGCAATAACGTTCACCAGCTACTGGCTAACTGACTGTCTGCTGTTTGGTTTCACTGAAAACAGCTGCAGACTGTGACTGGAAACAAGGTTTATGAGTGGAGGTACTGAATGACAACTGCTGTAAAACCAAAACAACGAGCTGAAAGATGCTAAAATGCTCAGTAGAGCCAAGAGGAATAGTTGGATGATAATCTGTGAATTCATCACTGTGAGCAAAAACTGTCACAATACACATAATCATTTGACCCAGTGCTATCATAAAATTAGTAGTGCAGCTTTAGGTAAAACAGTTGCAGTTGGCTGTCTAATGTGAGTTGATTTCTTAACCAGAAAACCCACATTGAGTTACTGACAGCTGTTCTCAGGCCCGAAGGAGGTCTAATGTGGGTTTCTTTTGTCACCACTCAGTGCTCAGTAAAGCCCTCTGCAAAGCCTGTTAGATTATTTTTAAACAATTTCCTGTTAAAACATGGCAGTATGTGTTTGACACAAGTATGTGTAGAAATAAGGTTCCTGTAGCCTGTACCTGTTAATGTAACAACAAAAAAATAATATACATGCGCATGAAAAAGGAGAAGCCACGCCTTCAGTTTTTCTCGTCACTGATTGTAAAACCTGCAGGGAGTATTCAGACCCCCTTCACTTTTCCTAATTGCCATTTAGCCCATCGGTCTACACCCAATAACCCAGGATGACAAAGTGAAAACATTATTGTAGATTTATTGAAAAAAAAAAAAACTGAAATCAAATCTCTTATTTACGAAAGTATAGAGAACCTTTGCTGTGGAACAGGTAGACTCCAATCACATTTTGGAGTGGAAAATTGGAAAGATTGAACATAGTTTAGAAACGGGAACACCTGTGTATAACAGCTCACGAAACCAAGCCATGAGGCCTAAGAACTCTCTGTAGACCTGTGTGATACAAATATGTGGTGAGGCATAGATCAGTGCACAGGTATTAAAACATTTCTAAAGCTTTGAGTGTTCCCAGGAGAACAGTGGCCTCAATAATTGTAAAATAGAAGAAGTTTGGAACCACATTTGCAGCCAAATACAGAGAGATCCTTGAATAAAAGTTTTTGATTTTTGATAAATTTGCAAAACTTTCTCAAAATGTATTTAAATTTTGTCATAATGGGTTATTTATTTATTTATTTATTTATTTATTTATTTATTTATTTATCAACCACAATAAATATCTGGATGCCATTCTCTCCTCATTTAGTCCTCCACTTTTCAATTTATAGGCTCAATTAAATCTCCTTCAGAGAGATTTTAAAGAGTAAGAGAAAGGACATAACAACATGCTGGACACAGCTGACTGGAGGGCATTTGAGCTCACGCAGGGTCAGCAGCTGCAGTGCAAAAACACACAATCAGGCATATAGTAATGTTTCCCCTCTAACCTATTTTAGGGCTGATGTTGCAATTGTTGAACAGAGTAGGCATGAGAGACTAAAATATGTGTAATACATAAGGGAATGAAAATCTGAAGTACTAATAAATTCGGTAAAATGTAAGATGCAACAAATACCAGAGAAAGAACATACAGAAATAAACTGAGAGCATTTTTTTTTTTTTAATGAAATGTTACTGGAATCACTGAGGTCTCTTGCCAGGAATACTGATAGAGTCACTTCCCTTTTCACTAATACATAGAAAACGGTTTCTGCTTGGCTTGCAGTCTAGCAAGTGACCCTAAAAATGAGCTTTCTCTTTTTCTTGATCTGACACAGAACAGAAACAGAAACTAGTGGGATCAAAGTGTTGCAACGATCACATCTAATGAAAACACACACAGAGTTGCAGCTGAAATCACTCTCAGGGGTTTCATAGTGTAAATACAGTTAATGCAGATTACCCATTTTACTATAGCGGTTCTCCACGAGGGTCCATCTATAAGGGATGGACTAAATGATGTACATTCTTTTTTTGTTGATATGTAACATGACATAACATGTAAGGACAGGACTGTCAAGTAAAGAACACAAAATTTTAATTTATTGGAATTCCTATGCAAACTGTATATTGCTTTGAATTCAGTACATTTTGCTGCATATTTGGGCTTCTAAAAAGTCTGCCCAGGCTTTATGCAACAACAACAACAACAACTACTACAAAAAAAAACATCATGCAAATATTTAAAATGTAATATGTGCTTAATATGTTTGTTGGTCACAAAAGTTTGTACCTTCAGTACTTCACAGTTTGTGTTTGGAGCTTCAGCACTCCTGCTCCAACTGTCTCCTCCATCGTGGGGCAATGTCCCGGGCAGGCCATTACCAGCACCCTGCATGCCGTTCTTTCAATGAGGAACTTCTTTAGGGATTCATCAAAAAATTGGTTCCCTTCTCTGTACCCATCCAACAAGAGCAGAGCCCCGCTGGACCTGATTAACACAGTCCTCAGGTCAAGCTGTGTTGAAATCTTTTTTGTGAGAAAGAGTTGAGTCACTATTTCCTGAAACAAGTCACCCTTTACATTGCTGCAGTCAACATATAAGAGAAGTTGAAGGGTGCTGAGATCAAAGGGGTCACTGAGGGTTTGTGTGGACCGTTCAGTCCAAGAAGAGACTAGGATGTGGGCTACAGTTGTCTTCCCGCTTCCTGGGGGTCCCTCAAGAAAAAGTGTTTCTCCAGCTTCTGGGAGTAATGCTTGAAGTTTTACAGCCTGGCCCTCACTGAAAAAAAAAAAACAGAGTTGAGATTGTAATCTATACAGGCCGGTACAAAATACAAAAAAATGTAGATGTCAGCTGTGAATGCCCGTAGGGTATAACCACACACAAAGTTTCAGTTCCTACAACAAACCCTGCATTTACAATGATAAACTTCATGAAGTCAGTTAACTGTGATCACTGGCCAATATCAAGCTGTATTGAAAGTGTTGACTTTTTAGAGTCCAAAATAAAGGAATCTATAGCTTATTAGCTGTGTTGCACAGTCCAGTTTATTTGACCCTTATCTGTTGGAGTACAAACTGATCCACAAAAGAGGAATGGTTTCCAGCAGTTATTAGACAGGTGGTGCAAATATTTCTCTTTAAAATACTGTGTTCACAATGCAGCTAACAAGCTTGCTAAATGATGGTGTGCCATTTTGCACAGATGCACAGATTAATTTTGCTATGCCACTTTCTGGGGTGACTGAGCCATTATACATGTATTTGTGATAGCTTTAGCTTCTGTAAACACACTGCTTTGCTACTTTTGGAATAGGCTTAACAAACTCCTATGGGTCAATTATTCAACCCATTAAAAATGATGATAAATGTTGTTTTCAAGAATGGAAAGCTCACTATGTTGTCGAGCAGGCCTATCTGTTTTACTAGGGAAAAAGGCGCACAAACCATGATTTCTATGAGGTTTAATTTATTTCTAAAAACTCTAAAAGCACAAATTTCGCTACTAAAAACTAAAAATCAATACATTTTGAGGGAAAACATCTTTATATACAGGGAGTTTTGTCTTAGTTTTTGAAATCCTATATGATGGCCAATGATTGCCATTGCCTTGGGCTGTTGTAAAACCCAGCGACAAGCCACAGTAGAGAGCTGAATCTGAATTGTTGCTGTTACTGGAAATTAGATTATAGAAGCAGACTGGCATCCTAACGTTCAGTTTGGAAAGAGGTATCTGTGACTCACTTGTTTTGCAGCCTGTGACGCAGCTCGTCCGCACCAAAAGCTTCCAAGTGGTGTCTCACCTCTGCACTGAAGGAAGCGTCAGAATAATAGGCTTTCAGAAGCGCCCCCAGATTTTCCTCTGTGCAATCTGCACACAACAAAACACATGAGTAAAACACATTGACAGAAGATATGACCATGAATGAAGTTTAATACTCCCACAGACAACCACAGAAAAACTGAAGAACAGAAATCATGTCAACAAAAGTTCTTAGACTCGCTTACTTTCATTAAAAACAGTTGGCTCTTCCTCCTTGTCTTCATTTAGTTGAAGGCCTGATGGAAAGGAAAGCAATGTTAGAAAAACATTACAAATTTACATAAGCACAGATCAGTCATCATTGCCACAGTGAATGTACTAATTGTGGTGGTGGAAATCTACTTGCACACACCTTAAGGCAAGTTTAAATCAATCCAAAACAGAACTGATGTACATTGTTATGTACAACTTTACAGGTGGATGGGAGAAAAAGTGATGAGTCCGTGTAACAAAAGCTTTCGCTCACTATCAACACTGGTGTCAAATTTATTGAATAACTTTTTCTTCAGTCAAATGAGCCTCATTAAACATGTTTAAAGTACAACTTTAACTGTATGTCTTGTGTTATTTATTTGCAACTGAAATATCAAATATGTAGTGAAATGGATCATTATGGTGGTCAAGATGCCCCTAAATGCATGAGCTCAACCTTCTTCATGTAGCACAAATGCATCATCACCAATTTGACTAAACTCAGTACAAGCCTTCGTAGTTTGCACTTCCTTTTAGATATTTTTAGGTTATCTACTGTAGGTGTTTTCAAAAGTGCTTTGCCACAAAAGTGGCTACTATGTAGGCCCTCAAAGATCACCGTGGAATTTTATTTCTAAACTACATTTGGGTTCCAGTCTTTGCAGCCAATATTGAAATAACTAGTGGAGGTTAATTAAGACATTGCTCTACACTGTGGCATGACTGGCTACTGCCGTGGCTGTGACTGAGACAGGCTGTAGCTGTGATGAGCCTAATGCTACAGCCATGGGATGCTATTGTTCTGGTCGTTGCTGTTGCTGTCATTATGGCTGTAGTCATGGCTGCGGCTGTAGTTGTGTACCAGACTGAAAATTTAGTTTTTAATGGCTGTAACATTAATGATAGAAAAAGTGTGTGTGTGTGTGTGTGTGTGTGTGTGTGTGTGTGTGTGTGTGTGTGTGTGTGTGTGTGTGTGTGTGTGTGTGTGTGCGGTAAAATGGTGTTTGTGTGGGCTGAGCGTTGAGGCAGAGCTTGAATTGAACTGTTAGGGTGTGTTGTTAACATATGTATCATATCTACTAGAAGCACCACCAAGTGTCTGGCCTAACAATGTTATCTCTGCTAATGTTATTAGGAGCAGTAAAGAGTAGCCAAGGTACAGCTTCTGTGGCCAGATCCATTGCATTGAATAGCTACAGCTTTAGCCAGTGCAGTCACTTGGAGCTCAGCCTTTGGAAAGGAGCCAATAAATGCACAATGTAAAGTGTCACAACATCTCTCCTTTCTTTCTCTCAAGGACCGGCACCACACACACAAACTGCTCCTATGGATCACGAGGAATGCAAAAAGTAGTCTGAGGTATAATGGAGGAGTTATTGTGAAGAAATGCTGACATTTCAAGGGCTCTATAAGAATCACTGACACTCAGCAGTTAAAAAAAAAAAAAAAAAAAAGCAAGCTCTGTTTAGACTCACGGAAAGCAGCAGAAACATTCTTTCCCCGACCGTCAACCAGAAGATCCCTGGTGCTGGGTGTGTTGAATCCTATCAAGAAAAACATTGCTATTAATATAGTGTGTTAGCACTGTATACAGTACAGATAGTCAATAATCAAAATCATTCAAGCGGCTTAATAAAATGATACTAAATTGGGACACAATCTTTGTTTTACAAGTGTAACATTAATTTATCTCTCTCCATATTTTACAGAATTGTGATATACTGTATACTGTATACATACAGGGTGGTATGCTACTGTGATGATGTTATCATCAATTATTTCTTTGAATTAGCTCCGTGCTTAACTTTTTATTTATTCATTTTTACTTATATTAATTACACAGAGTACTTTCACTTTAAATCTTACATTTATCATGTGTTTTATATGCCAACAACTTGCCTCTCTGAAGGTTCACTCTTTCCTGATACTAGTTTAAAAAGGTCACCCACAAACTTTCTGACCCGTAACTCAACTAAGACTTCTTATAATGTTCTTACGATCATTAATAGAGAAATGCGTGATAAGCCTTCTATTGAAATGATGGAGGTGTCTAGGGGATTATACATGTGCTATACTGAAAAACCACCCATGCATTCACAAATAGTCTCAAATTCCCCTGTCACACAAACCAAGATCAACTGGGTGTTTCCGAACTTTGTGGTTGAGATACATGTAAGTTCCAAAAGAGCTTTGTCATCCTCACATGAAAACAGACAGAAGGAGTCACATGCTGATAAAATTCCAGCCAAAGCTAAATGACCAACAGAACGGTGTCATATTAAAAATGTGAATATCAAAACGTTTCACACATACTTCCCCTTTTCAGTGGCAAAATGACTTGAGTCAACATCTATTCGGGAGCTCACACTGTCTTTGCAGTTGAAATGACACATAGAGATTTCCTGCCAGGACACAAAATTCCTCTGCACATTTGCCAAAAATTGAAAAGTTAATGACCGCTTTGGCTTTGATACGGGAAGGATACAGTTTTGAAGCTGACTAATGCATTCAGCCCTACTGTAAGTTGTTAGAGGTGAAACTAAAGACAAATTTTCAGTTTTGGTTGGACATTAACGTTCTTTTAGTTCAATTTGCACTATAAAAAAGTCACTGCAGTATCCTGTATGTCTTTTTTTCAAATAGTTGACAGTTAAAAATACACCAGTGTGAAAACTTAGAATGAGGAAATAATGACTTAAAATGTATGTGCTTGGCCTGCCATCAAACAACTGGATTATCCACTCTTATTTCCTGCAAATATTATCTCAGCACACACCCTAAAGGGAAATCCAGCCCTGTGGTGACCCAAACCACTCCCCACAGTCTGCCTTCAGATCCTATCAGATCCTGCCTTCAAATATCCCAATGGCCAAAATGATTGTCTTATAATTTTAATAATCTATTACCTGCAGTATATTGCTGCCATTTGTCACTCTGTCACTTTAATATTCCACCGTTGCCATGTGTGGTATTATAGTGCATTGTCACACCTGGTTTTCATTTGATGTTGATATTACTGGACATCAAAGTATCTGTTTTTGACATTTTTCTCCGTTCTACACCTGCATTGTATGTCTTGCTTAATTTTTGTTGTAAATGGCACATAGTACACTGTACGCACCTTTTCGTTGTCGATACAGGAGCACTGCAGCGGTAATGACAATCATTACCACTCCTATGCTCATTACAATGTTGAGAGCATCGCTCTTCACCTGTGGAACAGGTACTTCATCTGTGAAAAGAGTGAAGAAGGATTAGTGTTAATATCTGACTCAAAACCTACAGTATCACATTCATACTGTAATTCAGCAGTGACAGGAACAGGACAAGTGTTGGCATGTTATGATTCACGCCCATGTTTTTAATATGTTTGACCACTATGGAAATATCCAGTGGTGGAAGAAGTACTCAGATCCTTTGCTAAAGTGAAAGTACCAGTACAGCAATGTAGAAACACTCCATCACAAGTAAAAGTCCTGCATGAAAAATCCTACTTCAGTTTTCAATTTTGGGATTTTTTCTCTAATCTTTGATTTTTGGTGAGATATTTGGATCATTTGAACACTTATTGAAATCACTACTTGCTGGAGCTGTTAAGGACTACACACTGATTATTGTATATATTGTGTATATTGTATTGTATATTAAAAGCTTGTTATATTATCAACCTTCATCGGAAAAGTAACCAGTAACTAAAGCTGTCAAATAAATTGAGTGGAGTAGAAAGTATCTCTGAAATGTAGTGGAGTGGAGTACTTTAGTACTTTACTACAGTACAGTACAGTACTTTAGTAAATGTACTTAGTTTCTTTCCACTCCTGGAAATAACCAAATTTACCAAAGACAAGCATCGCAGACTTCCCCTTACTGGTCAAGAGCTAAAGAAATGCAACTATTAAAGCGACTTGTGCTTGTGTAATATTTGTTGTTTTTTAATGAAGCGTGCAAGCAGACTAGTCTTCTTTTAGTTTCGTTCTTTTTGTTGTTGTATTTACAGTCCATTTCCCTTTATTTTGTATCAAAATAAAAAGCCTTGATTTCAGGTGCTGTGATCCCTAAGATGTAGAATAATGCTTGTAGCTTATCAATGAAATCCTAACATACTGCATCCAAAAGAGCAAATAATCCGTGGCACACGTATAAGCAAAAACACGAACAGCCTGCACATTTCCAGATATGCTAATCTTGTTACAGCACTCCTCCACACTGCTACATAATCCAAAGATCAAACACCACCTACAACTTCACAGTAAATGTCTAGTATAATATGTACACAACAGGAAACAGTGGTACGAAGTGATAAGTAAGCAAAGGACATGTTTCCTGTGTGAATCAAAGGCTTCACATAACTTCTTACTGACAGCTGTTTTTTTGTGACAGTCTACAGGTTCAAATCAGGACAATTCTGCTTCGGTTTTCTTTTTTATTCATAGAAGGGTGGGTAACGGGGATGGGCTGCAGGAAACTGATATGTCAACACAGCCACACAAATGGGACAAAGGGACAGAGTACGACCAGGAACAGGCCGGACTTGACCTGGGGATGTTGTAGTGTCATGGTCAGAAAGCCTACAGGGGAAATAAAAAAAAAAAAGTACCTGGAACATGAAATGTTGTAGAGTTGCCATGATTTGTGAAGTTACATGTATAGTTGTTTTCGCTTAACGAGCTGACGCGTATCTGACTGGTGATGTTGAAGAGTTGGTCCGGGGTTGATACAACAGTGGTGTTGGGCTTGATTCTCTGCAGGTGTCCATCCTGCCACACAACAGGCGACTCGGGGTAGCCCTCAGACTGGCAGGTCAACAGCACTTCATCTCCCTCTGCAGCCTTCTCAATGCGTTTAGTCACTGCTTTAAAAGGTGCTAGAATAGAAGAAGGTACAAGAACATGCACATATATAACTGTGTTTAGCACTACTGTGATATGATTTCAAAATTGTGATCATGACATCTTGCATAAAATGGATAACGGGAAGCTTAAATACACCAAAGGCATTTTTTAACCAAACTGGGTACAACTGGTGTTAGTTTCGTTTTCAGGATGAATGATACTCTTAACTGCCCAGAAATGACCATGAGCTGTGGCCATTGCACAACAGCATGCATAGAACAGATCCCCTGCAGTATTTGCCTAAAAACTCTTACACTGTCTCAGACTTGGTGCTCACCTATAATCGACAAAGTTATTGTTTTATAATCAGCTCCTTCTCCAGTCTGCACAAAACACTGGTAAGTCCCAGAGTCAGTGATCCTGAGTTTGGAGACCTATAAAGTGAAAAAAGAAGAAGAGTCCCTCAGTGCCCTTGTGGCCAAATGACATGTCATGCTCTCATTACTGAACCAACCATTTGAATGAACCTAAATTCTGTCACATTATCCCTCCATTTACTATTCTGTATTATACAGTACTCATCAGTTAAACTCTCATCAAGTGTAGTAACAACATAAATGATTTGGTAAGGTGAGTGATTCACCAAATGTCCTCAGTCTCCAAAGGTAAGATGATGGTACAATAGTGTCTGACACAACACTGTGAGTGCAGATATTAAATGGCTAAATATGATACTTTTACATGAGCAAGGAATCCGGTGCTTCCCTATGACCTCTACACGATCAGTGGGAAATTTGACCCTCACATGAGTAATTCCCAATAGGACGAATAAGTGAGATAGCAAGTGTAGACAGGTGTGCCACATCATTTAGAGGAAATTTTATAAGACATAACCCTCCACCTTCCCAACAAATGTCTGCCAGTAATGACCTTCAACTTGGCCCAGCCGTCATTCAGCTCGTCTTTGAGAAGCTCCACTCGTCCCTGATACTCCTGAGATGCCGAGTGCTCCTCCCCGTTAATCATCTGGTACACTTCCCGAACGGTGCTGGAGGTCTTCCAGTGCCATGTCACCTTCAGGTCAGCAGTAAGATTCAACGGTCTAGGCTGAAACCTGCAGCCCATCTCGACATCTCCCCCGAAAACTGATGTGTACATGGTTTTCTCAGCCTCAACAGTGAACAAGACTGTAGGGAAATAACACAAATGTCAAGATTAATGTAAAAGTGGTCGACAGCCATTAAATGTGAACTGAAGAAGCAAGTTATGGTCATGAAATGATTTTACATAGCAGCTTTAAATGAACCTTGTGTAAAATTGAAATAGAAAGTTATCATGTAGATGCAATCATTGTCCTGTTTGTGCTCTTGTTTATTCATAAATATCTCAGTTGTTGTACACACCTGAGAGAGATGGCTGAAATATGACTTGCAAAATTACAAAAATGATCCAGTCCATTGAGACCTGAGGAAGAAACAAAGGGGGAGTTTTTACAGATGTTGAAATCTTTTAACCATGTTTGACCTCATGTTACTGGTAACATGAGTCATTTTACAGCAGAAGGCCAGATGTGAATTCCACAGAGCAGTTTTGATCTAGTTTACTTTTTTTTTTTTTGCTAAAAGACCATATGAGCCTAGAGGCAAAAAAAACAACATCATGTGATGGTGATGACCATGCATTGTTATTGCAAATCTAAGCATGACTTTGCTGCAAATGACTTCCCTGTTGATTCTTGATAAGGAAACAAAAATAGCACAAGGTTTGTTTGGCTCTGGAACTGTGCAGACTCAGCCACACAGCCACACACCACACACACACACACACACACACACACACACACACACACACACACACACACACACACACACAAACACACACTAAAACAGCTGATTTTTTTTTTTCTGTATCTGGCACATCTTTCAGCACATCAGGAAAAGAAGGAAAAGATTTAGTCACACACACTCTAAGGCGCCTCACATAAACAAGATTGTACATGTTCAGTCCTGTCACTCCTGTTAGGACTAAGCTCTGCCCACAAGCTTTTTTATCAGTTGATTGAACTGCTGAGAGTGGTTAGTTATTTTCTGTGTTGTTATCCAGTGAAATGCATCAGCAATTCTCCAGAATATGTTATTAATTGAGTGAGCTGTCATTGATGATTAAGCTCAGTTTGGTCTCTTTAGCTCATTATATACATAATTAAATAAAATATAAATAGGCTGTCAGTTGTTAAGTATTTGGTGCACTGGGAGTTATTAGAACAGATTGTTGTAAACATGTTTACAAAACAAAGCAAAGTGAAATAACAGTATTGGTCTTCAGGATAATCAGCCAGATTCACACACTGATAAATGGCAAAGTTGATATTTGAATACAAAAACAGCTGAAATACAAATATATACATATATAGGAATGGAAAAATCACAAATGCTCATGAATAAATTTCTAATGAAGTAGAAGTAGGCTAATAATGAATAATAACAAAAACTATAATAATACTAATACTAATACTAATAATAATAATAATAATGATAATAATGATAATAATGATAATAATGATAATAAAGTTGTGTAAACCCGTTTATCAACTGCTGTTTATCAGTTAATTGTAATGTATTCTTACCTTCTGGTCATGCAACAGCTATTTGTGTTTTCATGAGGTGTTCGCTTCTTCTTCAACTGTGAACGATGCACAGCCGCCTCGGGTCTTTTTTATGTAGAGATTTCCTCATTCGCGGACGACACACCTACCACATCTCCAATCATTCCACTACGATCACGTATTTGTGGTCTCTACCAGCCAAAACCTGAGATTACGTGAACACACAATTCAACTGTTTACATCATGGGGACCAGCGTTTTTTCCACAGGTGTTAACAGTAAGACGCACTGTAAAAGTCATTATTCGTAATTACTTTTATGACAAATTTGACGAACCTCGACGGGGAGACGAGTAAAGTTGCATATCATAAACCAGTTAACGGGTAAATGGAGAAGGAAGTCGAGCCCGTTTTTACTGTAAGTAAAAGCAGCTTGGATTAGCCTACCGTCTACTGGCCGTACTCAAAACATGTCATAAAACAGCGGTGACAATTACATGTCCCGAACCATTAATATTTACTGGCACGGCTTTGTTTATCTGTTGGAGTCTAACTAACAAAAGAAAATATTAGACATTACGGAGACACTTGACAGTCAGATCAAGCAGAATCGGTCAGTACTAGAGGTTTTTGCCGGTTTTTCCCCCTTCTCTGTTTCTATCTCTGTGATCAGAATTTTACAGTGACATCAGGTGTATAGTACAGCTTTACCGCAGTTTTGCATGAGTCACTGACTTCACGTGAGCGTATGACACTTGAGTGAGATTTATGGGGGAGGTAAATCTGACCTATATTTGATGGTATCATTGCTCTAACAACAGCAACATCAATAACAATAATAATAATAATAATAATAATAATAATAGAGGAGGAAGTATTCAGATATAATACTTAAGTAAACAAAGTATCCATTAACAAAGTAAAAAATCATCTGTCTGCTACAAGTAAAAGTTCTGTGTTGAAATTCTCACTTAGGTAAAATTACAAATGCATTGTCATCAAAATGTACTTAAGGAATCAAAAGTGAAAGGTCTCATGATGCAGCAGAATGGCCCTTATTAGAGATTTATGTATAAATGTGCAAGTATTTCACTGTTGTAGTTGGTCCAGTTGGACTGTTTGGCAGTTTAATCTGTGCAAATTCATCATATTTTATAAATTTATATGTTTTGTATGTAAAATCTTAATCTGCAAAGTAAGAAAAGTAGCAGAAAATTGTGATACTCAAGGAAAGTACAATTACTACAAAATTCACAAACACAAACCTTGAGTAAATAGCCTATAAGTCACTTTCCAGCTCAAGGTCTTCTTAATCTGCTTTTGCAGGCCCTTTCAAACACATTTCACTGTCTTCATCAGTTCCTCCGCAAAACAGCTAACTTCCTTTTCTGTCTTTCTCCAATGAAGTGCGCCAAGGTACCGTAAGAAAACTTGAATTTTCAGTCAGTATCAATACGTAAATGTGGTTCAAAGACAATACCAAAGATAAACAACAACAGTATTTCCAAACACCCAACACGGATATTCATGTACATACAACAAGTCAACACGTCATTTGGCAAAGGAGGAAATTTGAATGGAAGAAACTGACATACAACATATCAAACACAATTTCCATCACAAAGTTACCAGCCAGGTGGAATTACTACATTCAAGGGGCAGATTTATCCAACAATTCTACGAGAAATGACAGGTTGCACTGTCCTATCCACAGTATGACTGTATGAAACCTTTTGTGGGTTTTCCATCTGTTCATTTACTGGCGGTCCTCAAATTCTGTGCGTGTTCAGACATGACATTTTTGTAACAAGTATATATAACAGCAGCACACGTCTGATCTTATCGCTGTTGTTGCTGAGTTTATGTTTGCCAAATATGAAATGGATAGTCTCCATCGTATCCTTTGGGAAAATCAGAAAGTCTTATGGACTTTACTATATCACTCATAGGTAAAACAGATTGAATACCTGGATAAGGTTTGTGACACAGATCCCATTCAAATAACCTTTTTTTTGTGATGTTCAACACTGGTCTATGAGGCTTTGACAGTGCTAAAACATTCATTAGGCTTATGTATGCAACTGCAGGGATGAAACCAAGATGTTAAAAATACCGAGAGGAGAAGACTCACTGTGAGACATCATGCTTTTCATAACATTTGAGAAAATATAAACTTTCATCCAAAATCAATCATTTTGTTCAACATGAAAAAAGACATGAACACATTGGACAACGTGTGTTCTCTGTGGCAGTTATTTACACAAATACTCTATACCATGATGTTGTGGCTTGCATATGTTGAACGAATATTTGACTTATTTATGTTAAGGTTAATAATGAACCTAAGAAGTTGTAAAATCAGGAGTTGTCTGTTCAGGAAAGAGAGAGTTGGCCAGGGGTCCCCAAAGCTGTTGTGATGCTCTGATGAAAAAAGATAGCTTGGCTTGATATGTTTCACTACAGCATGAAGATATCATCTGAGTCCAATGCACTTTCACTTTTGACTTACTGTAGTGTTGCCCCACCTGTTAAGGTACAAAGTCCATCCATCCATGTAACAGCTACAGTATACCACTTACCTCCACAGCCAACAACATCTCTTCTCTGCTACATTATCAAAAAAATACATTTTCATTCCAGTACACTTTTGAGTATATCAGAAGTAACTTTGCAAAGTAATATTTTATATCAAGAACATTATTCTGCTTAAACTAACATAATTTACATGAAAGAAAAGTGGTGTCACTTGAAAGAGGCAGTCGGTCAGTCTATAGCTTTACAAATCAGTTGGATTAGCAGATAAACCTGTTAATGCAGAGAAAACCAAATACTCTACTGTTGAGATTTTCTCACTTTTTTTTCACAGGTTATCAGTTTTCCTTAAATTCCATACACCCTCTTGTGACCCAACATTTTCATAACATCATATTTTTATTATGAAGCACCATCTTGGTTGATCCAGAGTTTGAATTCAGCATAATTCAAAGATTTAATTCCAAGATTATCCTTCTAATTTCATATCTAATTACATTTAAGTCAAAATGCAAACAAACAAGCAAATGATTGCAAAACAATCAATACAGACTTCTGAGATACCCAAAGTGTCCAACAGAGAGAGCCATTTCTCAACCAACTGCAACCAGCCTGGGACCATAGCCAGTGTGAAACACTATACCTCTGTACCACAATCACTATTTGTAAAATGTGTCTTTCTCAAACCGACTTCACTTCACTTAGAGCAGACCCCTGTTCATAATTTTGTGATCTCCTTTGAATCATGAATTAGATTTTTAGATTTTAGATTTTAGATTACAGCTAGTATCATGGTGAAAAATCACCATGATACTAGCTGTAATGAGTTTACAACTACTTATTTTGGTGGGAGGCTATTACTATAATACACCTGTCAAAAAATTCGTTTTGATATTTGTAAAAAAAAAAAACCTTGCTGTGGTGGGGGGGTTTTTTCGTTTTATTTTGAAAGTCTTACCGGATGTGTAGTGTTTATTTGTTCCTGCTGGTGCCACATGACAATTGAGAAAGGGTGGAGAGGAAGTTAGCTGTTTCACAGCGGCGCATGTACACAAGTTCTGATAGAGACATGCCCTTGAATCCTTGGTAGCACTGCTTTTGTGACTAGTACCATTACATTATTTAGCTTATCACCTTCAAAGTGTATTAGGTATGTAAAGTTTTCATTTTTAGTCAGCCAAGCCACCAGTCACAGTTAAAAACGAAGCTTCTTATCAAGTGAAACACGAGAAGCTATTTTATTAAGGAATATTAGCACATATTGTTAGCTAAAAGCACAGAACTGTGTGTCAAGTCTTTTAGTCTACGTATTGCTGGGTGCTAGCAAAATGTGCATGTTAGACATTAGCATGTAGTTATAACATGAACAGAAGCATTTAAACGGAGCACAGAAACAGAGTATGACTTCAGTGTTACAGTACAGTGAAACACTGGCAGCGCCTCTATGTCAAACAAATGAAATGTTAAACCTTTACACATTAAAAAGTATACGTGTCTGTAAGCTTCGTATGTTATCTCATGTTGTGACTGCAGCGTAATTTTGAGTTATTGTGTCTGCAGGTAAGCCGTAACAACCACCACCAAACCACAATGGGGTTTCTACTGTCTAAATCCATGGATGCAAACTTGAAAAAGCAGCAAGAATTCATGCTCCACAATTCACGGCTGCAGGTGAGTGAAGATGTCCTTTGCAATGCACTTATGTCTTAATTCATGCACCTGAAGTCTTGTGGTACCTGTGTCAGGTAGAACAGTGAAATGGGTGTTGCAGCACTAAAGGCTTCTCCTTTCTATCTTTAAGATTTAAGGTTTCAGGTGACACTTTACTTAATTTTTAATAATTTACATTCTTATTGTTTTATTTACTTGTCTCATTGTCAATTCCTACAGTTTTACATTGTTACTTTCAGCTTATCTTAATTGATATAGCCATGTTTTAATTTGATTTTAAATGCATCTGCATTCATTATGTGTCTGTACCTAGGCACCGTTGAAAATGAGGGTTCTCTCTCAGTGTCTTTCAAGGTTGTAAATGAATGAATGAGTGAATTAATATTCCTAAAGTAATATCTGTTTAATCAAATTACCAGACGGCAAATGTGTGGTTATGTAATATTCCAATGGAATCCAGCAATTGTAGCTGTGAACCCAGTCCACATGGACCAGAGCTCTGGCAGTTTGTTTCAGAAAACAGATTCTGGCTGTCACGTTCATCTGCCTTTACTGTCTTTTCAACCTCGCTTTCTTTCTTTCTTTCTTTCTTTCTTTCTTTCTTTCTTTCCTTCTTTCCTTCTTTCCTTCCTTCCTTCCTTCCTTCCTTCCTGAATCACACAATATCAAAAACAAGGATACAAGTTTTAGTTTAAATCTCAGCATTTCCATTTAGAGACTGCAGGTTTTATTGCACTCATTATTTTTTTGTTTTTTTTCTTTCAAATGAGGGATTGTGTTTTTTCTTCTCCTTTTTGGGGCCAATTTGTTGTGATTTATTTGTGCCTCCAAGCTGCTGAGCAGCAGGTGGGATGTGTGACTGTCATAACACCAATGACATTATCCTACTCACACCCAGGAGGTTTGTTGTCTTGCCTGCCCCTTAATTTTCTGATGCCCTCGCAGCTGTAAATGTGGTAGATGATGACTAATATTATTCAGTGATGGCAAATGTTTGGCAATTGAGTTTCAGAGCGCCCTCATCTGGGTCGTGACAATGACTCACAGGTGAATATTAGGTACATCTTTAAGCATTGCCGTAGTAGGTCCACATTGCTTCATTGGCTTAACTTAATACAGATAGTTTCAGATTTGTGATTCACACTCATGGTAATTTTTGAGACATTTCTCATTTTACAATTATCAGTCAGCCTGCTTAAGAAATATTGATAACTTATATTTCAATTTGAATACATATAACCTTTCACATCTGAATGAAACATACATTGATGACTTACATTACATACAAAAATCTTCAGTGTTATTTAGGGTCAAATACCGCCTGTAGCAGAAAATAATTTTTATGCTTTTTTCACATTCAACATTCAAATTGTATTTTGACATCACTAAATTTAATGAGGAAGATTGACCCTAGCAATTTCAGAATATCTATGAAGCATCACTGTTACCTCCCACTACATTAAAATGTCAAAGATGATTGCTTTCCAGTGTTTTCAAGGCACATCAGTCATAGCTAATTGATCCTTGCCATGCTCTTGCCTTGTGGACCTTTAAGTAAAAGTCGCTGGGCATTGTGTTTGAATCACGAGCCCATCTTAAACATTACTTGAACATTCACTGGATATGGGTTTGCTTGTATGAGTCATATCTTGAGGATAAATGGCAGCTCCTAAATGACGTAAATTATGTTTTTGCTCACTTTATATTTAAAAATAGGTCTTGATTGATAATAATAGGGTTGTGCTTTTTATTCACAGTCACTTAACTTGAGTGGGTTTGAGTGAAAAGCAGGTGAGCAAAGATCTTGCAAGGTTTTCGATTAGTTTGATTTAATTCGTTGGTTTTTCACCACTGGGATCAATTTCTAGAAATAATGTAAACACCAGATCACAAAATAAATTGTTTCTTTAGCCTTTTTCAAAAAACTAACTAATCTAACCAAAGCTAAAATAAAATACCAAACATACGTATGTGAGTATAGTAAAACAATAATGATGAAAAATGCCAAGTTAGAAGGTGGATTTGTACACAACTCTCACTTCTACAGATTCAGATATTCTGATATTTGCTAATATTTCCTGTAGTTTTGTTTGGTTGGGAGAAAAGGTAAAAGCCTCTGGTCAGATGTTTGTAAAACCCTGGAACACAACAGAAAGTCCAAATTTGGGCTGCTGCCACATAGTGTCTTGTTGGTAATTGATGATAATCATAAAATCAATTCTGATAGGCACTGGGAGTGTGTATAGTGGATAAAAGAGAAGCTCACGATCTGATTCTAGTTAAAGCCTGGTCATGATCAAAAGAAAAAAGAGCAAGGACCAAGAATGGCACCTTTTTTTGTTGCTGCTTCAACTTCAAAATGTTTTACATCCAGTATTATTTCTATTAGTAATTTAAACATACAATATACATTACAAATGATGCACAACCTCCCTCCACCCCCCGGTCCGTGATGGTTTGTGTATATCAGTTTTCCAAGTATTGGCCCATTCTGTGTAGCTTCCAGCCTTTTGAAAATGTCAGTGAATTTCCCGCTTACGTGTCAGCTCTGCTCTTACCTTGTCACCTTCTGAGTGGACTCACTGTGGCTCATTTCTTCCTTTCACTTTTTCTTTACTACATTTTCCAGTCAGTGTCTCACAGTCATCTGCTGCTTGTCTAAACCTGCCCCAGATCTTTTGGTCATCCCTTGTGATTTCACCAGGAGACATGATGTCTTCTACTTTTAAAGTACACATAGGTAAAGGTAACACGCCATGTCACCTTGGTAAATAATTCAGTTTGTCATACAAAACCTCATAGTCATCACATGAATATGAAAATATGATAATTAACAATAATACCAGGTAATTCACTGTTCAAATTCCCTGAACTATTTTTGACAACATGTTTAATTTCGCTGTTATGGCTGGGGTATTGAACCTCACTACTTTTTTCGTACCAAATTAAATATGTCTGTAGTATCAAGTATATAGGAGACAGTGGATTTATATTTCTGTTTACTTAATCTTTTATCAGATAGTTCCTGGTTAAATTCAATTAAATCAAGACTTTGCCAATTTTAGACAATTGTATTTAGACAATGTTGTAATATGGCTGCTCTTTTTAACAACATTTAACTGTTGTTTGGCTTCGTCTGTTAAATGAATAAAAAGGGTTTAATAGATAAACAGGTTTCTATATCATTTTGGTATTAATACCAAAACTCAGCATTTTTATCTGAAATTGCATAGGAAATTTTGAAATGATACCCAAATTCTAGTCCTGTGGACAGAAAACACAAATTGTCTGGCAAAGCAATCTTTTTTTTTTTTTCTTTTTTTTTTTTCTTTTTTTTTTTACAAATCCAAAATCTATGATTTTCACCTAATAATTTGGATATTGATACTAGCATTCGTGTTCACATCTGAGGTTGGAAGTAGATTTAGTAGCTGTGCGTGTCTGTGGTTTTGATGAGTTGTTTCCGTTGATAAGAACTGTTTGTGTGAAGTAGCAGATGGAGCAATTGATGAGGACTTGCTTTTTGATGCTTTGATGTTAGGGGAGTGTAGGTGGGGCCCACCACAGAGGGCGTTGAGTTTCCGGATGGTGGAGAGCTTCTGCTGGCAGAGTTTATGATTGGAAAATAATGCAGTCTTTATAGTCAATTAACCTAACACTCATGTTTATAGATTAATTTGTAATTTAGCCAAAAAATGTCAAAAATATTGGTGTATGGCTGTCACAAATTAACCAGAGACAAGCATTACAGCATTCTTGGGGGTTCTTCAATCTGTGAAGTCTTTTGTATAAGGTGTGTTTGGGTGACTGTTGGAAGACAGGAAAAGTGCAGCCATCACCCAGTTGATTAATGTGTTTTTTGGGGGGGGGTTTTGTGTGTTTGGAAAACATTCTTTTTGTGTTAGTGAGCACTGCGTGAATTGGTCATTTTGTAGTATATTCTTAACATCTTGTTAAAATTGGTGATCTGAAATAGCCCATCTTGAACAGTCAATCTCAACTCCTTGCCCAATAGAAAAACAAATGACAGATCACAGTATGTGTTTCATCCATATTTATATACTTTTTATATTATACCCCCACTAAGCAGGTTCCATGTTTCTAAACTTCTTTTTATCTCCACCGGAATATTCTACCCCCTTTTTTTTTTTTTATAAGAAATTTTTTAAGAGGGTGACTCAAAGTGTTGGATAATCGCAGTGACGGGAATTGGGTAGTTTCCAGGTAGTTTATTAAGTTCCAACATCCAGTATCTCTCGCTTCCTTCCTGTTTTCTGACCCAGATGAGAGAAGGGGTGACTTCACAAAAGGTGACGTCTCTGTAACTGTCACCAGAAACCATTTGTTACACATTTCTCACTCATGAGGACCATAGAGGCCCTGGGAATGGATGTGTAATTTCCCCTTGCTGTCCTTTGTAAGGGGTCTAATCAAAACATGATTAAACTCTTGACTCACCTGCTGCATTTGGTTTCTATTTCAACTTTGTCTAAGGAGGAGTCCCTGAGTTCACTATCCAAAGAACTGTTCCTGTGAGTTCCAGTTCTTTGAAAATTTACTCCACTGAGACTCTGTCTCTTGAATATGAAACACTCACCCCTTTAAAAAGTTTGTAGCTTCCTCCTTTCTGGAGAGGGTAGTAGTTGTAGTAAGCTTGGTTACAGCAGTGGATTCCAAATAGTAGCAAGTTTCACAATGATCAAAAGTATCAGAATGTGTATAGAAACTTTTCCACAGAAATTCATACCTGTGTTCCTGGACTATGATGTGATGATGTCTATGAATGTCCTTCTCTTTATTGTTTTCATCCTAAATGTGTTTTTAGTTTTAAGTTGTAAGGCAGCATTTTTGTGATAAATATGCTATATAAATAAAGTAGTGCTGTAACTAATGCTTATTAATATGTCAATTATATTAAATGTTACTAGGTAGGTTTTAGCCACCTACATGAAATACAGTGGACGATGGAGGAAACTGCTTTTTTATCTGGCTGTATCAACTTTACTCTATTTGCTTTATTTAGCACATAGGGCGAGCAAATTTGTGAGTACTTGACCCCGTCCACCAGGCGTATCTATCTACAGTAAATAAACATAAACATTCTGTGCCAACTGCTGGGCTCAACAGGTTTTACATGACAGTCTCAGTGCTGAAATTTGCAAAAGATGAGCAGCAGGCTAACAGATAAACATTGGAGCTCACTAGACGTGGTGACTCTCAGGGAGTTGTGACGTTTGTCTTGCTCAATAAAGTGAAAGTTGTGTTCAGTTCTGCTAAATAGCCAGTTTCAGGAAAATGTGTATGGACCTATAGAGTTTATCTACAGCAACTATAGCTGCTGTAGATAAATTGTATGTTATGAGCTTCTGGTTGTGTTTGAATAAAAGGAGTCTTTTATGTTCACAAATGTTGATTGAACTCTCCATAATCAGTCTAACAGCACACTTAAAAACTATGTTGGATTTAAGGGTTGATTGTGCGTCATTATCACAAGTGCTTTTTATTGTACCTTTACCTGCCTGTGACGTCTCAGCCTCATTACAGCTCAACCCTCCTGAGCTGTTTCCTAATTTTAGGCCTTTCCTTCTCCTCTGTGACATTTATTAGTAGCCAAGTACTTTAGTCAGCAAATCAACTTCATCAACACAACTTGAAATTCTTCACATAACAACAGGAGAACAAATTGTGGCATGTTTTAACCATCTATGATATTTGATTAGATTTTCTGTTTTTAGATTTGCCCAATGAATGTGTTAGAAATATAGTATGCAAAACCTATATAGCCCAATTAAAGAGTGATAAATTATATAGTATATATACAGTATTATATATATGTTATAGTATTTTATTAGATTTTGTTCACCGGGGAGACAGGACTGAACTTTTCCCTGTTTGTGTATGCATGTATGAGTCTCTTTATACAAGAATGAATTAAATAAAGAAGTGCTGTATCTCTTCCCCTTGGTTATTGATAGTGCATGAAGTCAAATAATACCTGTAACTCATGAGAGCCTGACACCAACACTAAGACCATGAAACTAGAATTACAGCCTTGCAGCTGTATGCCTGTTACATCTCTGTTTATCCAGAGTCACATAGAATTTTAACCATTTGTCAAATGTTGTCATAACATAAGTCTTGAGCAACCGCTACAAAGTGTTTTCTGATGTCACTGTGATGTTGACCTTTGACCACCAAAGTCTAGTCAGTTCGTCCTTGAGTCCAAATGGACATTTGTGCAAAAGTTCCTTCAAGGCGTTACAGAGATATTGTGTCCACTAGAATGGGATGGACCAACGTATGTACGCACAGACAACCCGAAAACAATTTTTATCATAGAAATATGGACCATTATCACTCCAGTCATATAACTGATTCTGTCAACTAAAAGCTGATGACTTGTTGCCAGCATGGAGACAATTTCTCATGCCCACTGTAAAGCGCTGTGGTCATACTTTCCATTAGTCGTCCTGCTTGACAAGTTAAACACATTTGATGCTGGGTGTTGGTCAATGTGAAGCCAACTCCCTCGCTGTTAAATTAACTCTGATTTGTTGCTCTTCATCCTCATCCATCTTCTCTTCACCCTCAGTTAAGCCCTAATTCTTCCTCATTAACTTATACTTGGTAGATTTTTTCTATATTCAGTTCACTACATTGAGCTTTTTCCTTGTATCTTGGGAGGATGCAGAGAAGGTCAAATTTCAGTGGCAGCCAAAATTGAACATCGTTCTTCTCTAACTTTACAGTAAGTGTAATAATGTGCACTGTAACACTGCATGGCCATTACTGTGGGCAGAATGTATGAACTGCATATTGTTTGTGAAATGTCCCATAAACCTATTTGCAGTCTTTAGTTCGTTACTTTCAATTATTGTGGCATAAGTGTTAAAGTGTTCTTAATTCATTCATTTGCTCAACATCTTCATCTATTTCCTTCATATGCAAACCTCAAAACTAGACATTTGAAGAGGCAAGTCTCCATTAGTCTCTGTTTAACAGGCTCCACCTATTTAATTTCATTCACTTTGGCTTCAATGCCATGTAATGTTCTGCCATTAACACAGATATACAGAATTGATCGTGAATATGGGCAAAAAGTCAGAAATCTAAATGCTGTTTCTCCGACATGCTGTAATTTATGTCATTAACTTATGTCATTGACTCACTTGAATGGCACTTTTTTTGGTCTTTTCTTTTTAACCTTTGCATTATCAGTGAGTTGGTGTCACTTTCTTGTTAAGTGGAAACAAAGGCTCATCTTTGACACATTCACTTTTTGAGAATAAAGGCTTTTTAAATGAGAATGTCACTTAGCTCAATAGCAGTTGCTATGCAGGAAGCGTAGATTTGTGTGCATATACACATGAGTGTGTGTTAAACAGGAAACAGCAGACAAAAGACTCATCTGACTGCAGTGCTTCAGCATGGATACAGCGTCTCTGAGACCTTTGTCACCCTTTGTCTCACTGCTTTGATATGCAGTCACACTGATACATCCAATATATCGCAGCCATTGCCATTTTAATTGCATAATGTGAGCAGATTTTATGTTCAGCATACTTCTTTTCTTTAGTATTACTTTGATTTATTTTATTTGATATACAGTATAACAACTTCTCGAGACTTCTGCATTGTATGTTTGACGTGTCCTTTCTTTGCCAACACAAGTACAAGTCACCAGTATCTTAACGTTTAAGTGATGCGATAATGAAATATCATCCAGTATCCCTTTTTTCTGCAGAAACACATGACTTAAATAAATACATTATGCCCTCAAATTTTGTTTATTAAAGAAATGGGAACGGAATACGTACTGAGTGAGACATTATACAGTTAAAAAATAATCTTCTCAGTACTCTCCTGTGTGTGTGTGTGTGTGCGCGTGTTTTCGTTTGCATTTGCGCAGATGGAGCGTCAGATCCTGATGCAGAACCAAATGAGGGAGAGACAGATGGCTATGCAGATTGCCTGGTCCAGGGAGTTTCTCAAATACTTCGGCACTTTCTTTTCAGTGGCTACAGTGGGACTTACTGTAGGGTGAGTTTTGTAACAGCTCATTAGGGTCACCTCAGAGGTATTTTGTTTATAGATAAAATTCACTGTGTGTGTGACCTTTTTCTGGTTTTTAGTAATAATACACAGTGAGAGAGCAACCTGTACTGGCCCATATATGACAGCTGTGAAGTGTGATCCTCACTCAACTGAGTCTTCACAGCTCCAATATTAAAGTCATCACACTTTGTAGTCCAGTGGCCTTTACTGGTGTAGCTCTATGTGTGACGTTTTGTAAGTGTTTTAAGTGTGACACAGTAGCCACATCAAGTTTAACTATGTAGACCTTTAGTTATGCTAAAAGCCACAAGCCACCTACAGGTGGCGCTATGGCAACATGACACATTTAAATGGCTCGAGCTGGGTCATCATGAGTCTGACTCACTCACTTCCAGGATTTATGTGTTGTGAAAATTTAAAAAAGTCAACATAATGGTCTACTGTGTTACTTATCTTAACCTAACTTAATCTTCTTTTACTGAAATATAACTGAGTGCTGTTACTTATCGTTTTATCACATGTTGACAGTGGGAAGTATTCATATTTAATTGTCTCTGTCTCTTCAGGGCCGTTAAAAGAAAGAAACCGGTCCTGTTGGCTCCCATCATTCCTCTTGGCTTCATATTTGCCTACCAGATGGACAGCGCCTATGGGACACTTATTTATCGAATGAGAGGTAAACTACACAGTCATCATCAGTATTATCAGTATTCACCCACATAAACAAAGCTTTAATGTCGGCCAGAAAAAACAAGCTTTATCCACTTGCTTCACATTTGTAATTTTTAGCTGTAAATACTTTTAAAACCTTATTCTGAGCAATACACAGCCGCTTAAAAAAACTACAAACGATTGATAGTTTCCACAAACACAACACAAAAAGCAACTTGAAGCTTTGATGATTCATTGGATTTTAGCCACCTTTAACATCCAAAATTTATGATAGTTGTTACACTCATATCCACAATTATCACAAAAAGTTTATCAAACAAAAATATCTTTATTGTAAAAGTTCATTCTGCTGCAGAATTACACTAACATTGGTCAGGCATTAATACTGCATATGTAATATTTAAACGTGTGTATTCCCAAAATATACCTACATGCTGAAATTAGTAGTTTCACAAACATACATTTGCCGCATTACAACACATTGTATTTGTTCTTCCATTACACCTTTAGGGGAGGCTGAGAGTATAATGGCGTCTGAACATGACCGTCTGGACTTGCCTCTTGGGACTCCAACCTTCGATAGTATAGAGAAGGCCCGCCGCGCTAAAAACAGCCTTGCCTCCTTCTTGGAGAAGTGACGTGTTGGTTATTTGAGAGAGAATCAGAATCGTCCAGTCAGTGCATTCACCCATGCTGCTTTCACACAATTATGAAAAAACAGTCAATTACCATTTGCCTTTTTCAAGTTATTGAGTCTGTGGTTTGCACTAATTCTTTATCATGGACCTCACATCAAATTAGTCTCAATATAGATAAATATAAAGATAATGATGATGATGATGATGGTGCTGTTCTTGTGGTTATTGTTGTTAGAAGTGCATCAGCGGCCAAACTATGAATGAGATACATAATAAAGCAGATAAGCTGATGCAGAATTCCAGTCCAAATACTTAGTTAGTAATACAGTGCTGTGGTATATCATGAGTATATGCATCAGTTACTGTATGTTCAAACATTTATACCATATACCGGATACCATGTTACACATCATTACTCATCACTGTTCATCATATTCTTTCTTCTAAAGCTGCATCAAGTAATTTATGACAACTGGAGGGCAGAGAAACACACAAACAACAAACAGTAACATAAGCCTTAAAAAGTCTGATGCAGTGGAAACCGCTTATAGTGATCACACTTGTCTGTCAAATCGATCACTGTGAGCAGATAATTATTATAACCAATGCAAACCTTTGCATTACACACACTTACATGTAGTAAAATTATGTTGATATAAGCAGCTGATTACTGTGTTATAATATAATAATTAATAGTTAATGTTTCGGGGCAAGTAACTGCTTCACTTGCTTGTCACAGCTTTTTTGCTCGAACAGATTGGATAATCAAAGAAGCTAGAGTGCGAATCAAAATGGTAATATCAAAAATATTACCTAATGGAGCTTTAATTGTAAAGATTCTCAGTACAGCAGAGATTTGTCCTGACAACATGAGAGATTGCCAGTACTCCAAACTATGTTACTAAAACTTTTGCTCATAATAACTAAAAGAGACGGTTTAACTTGCCACAATTGAGGTTCATGCCAAAGCCATAGTTAGCATTTGTGCACCTGTAACTTTTAATATTTATCATCATGTTCATAATAAATGGATGTAAAATATTACAAGGTGCTAATATTTATGCGTTATGTATTTAGAATAATTTTATCTCATGTTTGACATCATTGAAACTATATTTGTGAATTCAATAAAAAGAAATATTGCAAAAAAATAATCCTTTGTGACGAGGTGTTACTGTGATGCAAAACACAAAAGCCAATAGCCTTTATAAACACCAAACCTCTTTTTTTCTTTAAAAGCCTAAAGCACTTAAAATCTTAATATCTTCCTAGTGAAATGTGCAAGATGAGATGTGATCAGAATCATCACTGACACTAGTTGTTGTTTTCTGAGCTGAGATAGTGTGTGAGTAACTTCAAATAAAACTATTCCCCTAATATTACTTCAGCAAAGAAATAACTTCAAGTACGTCACTCTCATCAATCCCAATGACGCGTGTGTGCATGTGTGAGGGAGAGGGAGGGTGAGAGAGAGAGAGAAAGAGGTGGTTGGGGGGGAAAGTATAGATTGATAAGTGAACTAGTGACACGGACTATAAAAGCCTGTGTCCGCTGACCAAGAGGGAACAAGAGGAGGAAACTAAGACGGACAAATTGTAGCATCTTTTAAAACTTGAGCAGACTCAACAGGCTGCAACAGAACTCTCCCAACAGCAAACACATCAGAAAAAAAAACATCAAGGAAACCAGAAGGATTTGAAAACACTGATCAGATCTGAGGTGGAGCACAGCTGACCCGACCCACTGGTGCAGCGCAGACACAGCAGGCTCCTTCTGTTAGGTTCAGGACAGGTGAAAATGCTCTGGAGACTGACTCTTGCCGTGGCTGTGGTGTGTGTCAGTGGCATATGCGACTGCGTTACTGCTGATGTAATGAGCAGACTGATCGTACCGAGGGACTACGGGGTGAAACTGTGCGGGAGAGAGTTCATCAGAGCAGTCATTTTTACCTGCGGAGGATCCCGGTGGAAACGATCCACAGACGGGGACTTAGGTGGGTTGACATTACTACACTTCCATTAATTTCCTATTATGTGCACAATTATTGGACAAGTGTATAAATCTATTTATCCATAATAAATAAATAAAAATGTCTTATCTCTAATATATTCTGATGCCCAGAGGTAGTGTGAGAAATTGATTTCTAAGTAAGACTAAAGAAGATTGAAGATTGAAGAGAGGCTGCACAGGGGAAGAACTATAATTAATTCTCATATTTCCACAAATATAACATTAAATGGTGTGTTATTACACAACTGAAGGTTAGGCTGCCACTAACACATTTCTGTTTGATAGCTGATTGGCTGGCTGTTGATAGTCCTCCTTTGACATTATTTATATTTATATTCAAGTCCTGTTTGTCCTTGAGGTAATTATTATTCTATCATTTTTCCTTCTCCAGACCCTTTCCATTGGAGTCCTCGCAGCGATGTCACAGTGGAAGACAACCAGCACACCTGGCAAAGTGGGGCAGAGCTCCCAGATAACCGCTCTCCTCTCCATATTGCTTCCTCTTACTCCCTGGCAGACCTCCTGGCTCTTTACGGGGCCATAGGAGAGAGGCAGCACCAGCACCAGCAGTTGCTGAGTGACCCGGTCCTGCTGGAGAAGTCTCAGCCATCCATAGTTTTAGGTGAGCAAGACGGTAGTCCAGCGGCAGCTGACTGGCCCATACCAAGTAAGAAGAAGAGGAACTTTTCTCTGGGTGTGGCAGGGATGTGCTGTAACCAGGGCTGTACCAAGAATGATATTGGACGTTTGTGCTAAAGCCGGGAAGGGAGGAGGAAGAGGAGAAGGGTTGGCTGATGGCAGAGGGGTCGTGACATGAAGGTGGTGTGATGGACAGTTATAGACAGTTGAGGAAAGACGTAGGAGGTAAAAGAGGGAGGAGAGCAAGTTCACATCTGCTGTTTAATAGGCCGTAGTAAGCTATTTATGTCTAATTGCACACGTCACTCCAACTTCGAGTCTCTGTCATATTTTATTTATTCTTATTTCATATTTTGTTAAAAAAGAAAAAAATCTGTTCTGTGTGTACTTTGTCACCCTTAAGCATCATTGACAATAAATTTTAAATACTGTGTTAATATGAAATGTTGAGCCTATGTCTTGTCTACAACACTTGTTTATATGGGTTGAGAGGATTTGGAGCAACAACAGCTGCCATATTCTCGCCTGCAGACTGTCTGACTAAACTGCGTTTATACTAACACGGGCCAATATCGCACATTAATGTCATTTAGGCTGCAGTGAAAATATTGCTGCCCTCTGCTCACAACATTACACCTGCCTAGTCATTTTCTGTCAACACCCTGAGGACGTTACTGCAAAAGAGTGGACTCATACATTCATTTGACCCCCTTGACAAAACCTGCAATACCACTTGTGTCTTAAATGGGTGCAATGTGATGAAGCAACATTTAGATTTTTTTTAAGAAAGTACAATTTTCATGTCCATAGTACTGCAGTATGTTTAGTTTAATAAAAAAGTATATACACACCTGGAATACACAGCTCTACATATGCGTCTCAATATTTACATATACATGTATTAAAGGCAGCTGCATGTTGCCACCACATGACAAAACCAGGCTTCATTTCATTCACACAGCAACAAACTGAATTTGAAATAAACGTAAAGATGAACCAGCAGTTTCATCTGCTTTTCCTGAAAATCTTTGGATAAAAACATGGATAAACATATTTCATATTACACAGCAATACACATATATCACAACAATAGACGTATGAATAAAAAACGGAAAAAAAAACTGAAAATCCTAGTCAAAGCAAACACAAAGTCTTAATTACAACAGACTTTACATCAAAGGAGTATTCAGGACAGCAAGATCATCAGTATGTGAGAAAACTTACAATCACTAATCCTTCACAATGTGAGAGGGCATCTATCCTTTCACAGTGTGTGTGTGTGTGTGTGGCTTGACTTGTATGGCATAAAATAACCTCAGAGAGTGATTTGTTTTTTTGTTTGTTTTTTTCCTGTTTATTTTAAGTTAGAAAATTAAAAAAAAAAGATGCCATTCTACAAATTAGTTTCCTCTCACTAGTTGGTCTCAACACAAATCACACACTTTAGTCAATAACATTTGGCTTGTAAAGTTGTAAACATTAAAAAAAAAAATAAATTAAAAAAATCCCTCTTGTGAGCACTGATAGATTTGCGGATGACAATGTAATGCACATGGTAACACAACCTCTTTAAAATGGATCCATCTAGAAATGGATTCAAAAATAATGACATGAACAAAACTCAGGTAAGTTTTAAAGCATCTCCCTTCGTTACTTTCATTGTGCACTTTTTTACATTAGTATCCACAGACGGATAGTAAAGCCTTTTAACATTGAAAATGTTAAACTTTATTCATAAAATATATTTTTACCCATGAGTAATTAATAACAAAGGCAATATCATCATTTCCCGAGCTGGTATCCATCAAAAACAAGGATAGTGTATGAGTCCATGATATTACACTGTACTGTCTACCTAGCTGTCAAAGAGCTTAATGAGTAGTTATTGCTATTGTTTCCACATTGCATTAAATGATGTAAACAAAGAACACATGGTTTGTGTTAAGACCTCGTTGTAGACAGATGATGTATTTGTAGCAAACCATTAAAGGTCTGTTTCTCCTGTTTCTTCATCTGCTCAGAAGGAAACACAGAATCAACCTCAAAGTGCAATGAATATCTGTAAAATATATGTCCACTTTAACAACAGAAATCTGACTCCAAAACCACTTGTAGAGATCTACATAGTGAGTTCCTTCGTGACAGAAGGACAGCTGTCCTTTACCAGTCTTAAAAAGTATCAAGCAAGAGTCCGTCTGGGCATCAACAGGAGGAAATCTGTGCAGTCCCAGTCATTCATAAAAGTAAAGCCATACATGAGCAGTGCAGTAAGGTGAGGTTCAGGTGGATCTGGCTCAATGATGTGAACATGGTTGGAAGTTAGTTCTTGATTTCAGAGACAGTCAGATGGCTAACAGTCTGTTAGAATCCCGTGGTCTCTTCGGTTTAACAAAAATAAGTCGCTAAGTATCTCCTTTCTCCAGTCAACTGTTACTATTGACTATTATCAAATTCAGTCTGTAAGACACAGCATGTACAAATTAAACACAGAGAAAATAATGAATCCCATAATAAAATGTTCTTGAAGGCATCAGAAATGATCTGTTGTTTGGTGCCTGAGTCAGATGTGGTGTAGTAATCAATCTGATCATTTGTATACATCATGTGGCCACAGAAAGAAGTGAGTAAACAGGAGCCCAGGAAGTGGATATTGCCGTCACTCCAGGCTGACAGGCAGTCCGAGCACCAAGAGAAAAAAAACAAGTATACTTCTGACTGGTGACTGCATTGCTGCCGTAAACCCAGGCATCACAGAGGCAGTCATTGTTCTGTTCTCTAGATCTGTGAGGACTGATTCCCCGAATTCAACACCCACAGTTCAAAGGTTCAGGGATGAACGCCGCTCATCCGTCCTTGCTGTCTCGTATTGTCTCCACACTGTGGATTAATGTCTTGAAAGTAGGCCGCAGTTTCAGGTCACCGCTCCAGCACTCTGTCATAATCTTGTGAATCTGAGGGAAGCATAGGAAGAACATTAACACAAAAAAGAAAATATAACAGGTAGAATTAATGCACAAAGTCACATTTACAGTTTTAGAAGCAGCCGTGATCTTTTTTTAATTTCTCGCTAACTATTGGATGAATTGCCATGACATTTGGTGCATATACCCATGGTGCCCAGAAGATGAGTCCTACTGATTTTGGTTGATCCCCTGACTTTTCCTGTAGCACCACCATGAGGTTTCTCATCAACTGGTCAAAAGTGCAATTTGTGCAGTACTTTGGTTTATGACCAAATACCTGCAAAACTAATTCCCCTCTACCTCATCTATACTTTGGTACAATTTCTGAGACAAGAACCTGGTCTGTTTAATTTTACATGCAAGCAGTGCATTTGCATTGCCCTTGATTCACTGGACATTTTATTTAAATATTACCAGAGACAAACAAACTTAAGTATGTATGTTGTTACTGACCTCCTTTGGACAATTATCAGGAGCAGGCAACCTGTATCCTTGTTTCAGCAGGTCTATCAGATGGTAGACAATCATCTGGCCCTGCTTCTCATTTCCCATCTTGTCCATAAACACCTGGAACAGTAGTTTTAGTGGAAACACCTCAGTAAAACTTTTCAAAATTAAAACTGCATTTCCTGTTTTTAAGTACATTGCTCTGCAACAAATCAAGATTGCTCAATGAAGTGATTTCCTCAACACCGCAGTACAAACTAATTACATGGCTATTGTTTCATAGCTCAATTAAGATAATCACAAGTAATTAAGGTTATGAAAAGAAAGTGGCTACGTGACAGAAAAGTCTAATCGTAAAAGTAAAATAATAAAGAAGAAGTGTGGTACCGCTGGGGGGCTGCAGTTCTTGTCACTGTAAGTGAAGAGTTCGTAGAGGACAACGCCGAAACTCCAAACATCTGATGCCACAGAGAACTTGCTCTCTGTCAGTGACTCTGGAGCATACCTGGAAAACATCACAACATATTATATATACATATATGTGAATAGATGTGAATGCACACATCTTAAAAACAGGATTTAACACTACTGTCAACACTAGTCCTACATTAAAAGCAGATGGAAATGAAGGCATGAAATAAAAAATGGATTTAAAAAAAAAAAATCTCCATGTGTAAATCATACAATCTTATCTTTATCATCTGTGTTTAAAGTCAGTAAAACGGCAATTAAGTGTCAAATCGTCATGCTCATGAATTTCAACTGACATACATATGAAAGTACTTTTTGAACTGCTAACAAATACTTGTGTTGTCCTAACCAAAAGATGGGACTTTCCCCAGGCTCTCTGACAGTGTAGTACTCTTTGTCCTGCGGCAGCACTTTGGTCAGGCCAAAATCACCGATCTTCACCCTCATCTCACTCTCCACCAGAATGTTTCTAGTGGCCAGGTCTCTGTGGATGTAACGCTTTGTGGCAAGGTAGTCCATACCCTAAGAAAGTAAGTAAAGTAAAACTAAGAAATTAGTTAATTCATGTCATTACTATGTATATGGGGGGTGAATATGAAAAATAATTTAAATGGTATCAAAAAGAGTTCTAGACCACTTAGAGCCTTGAACACCTTTTTTTTTTTTCTTTTTTTTTTAACAGGCTAGCTACAGTGGAGTCCAGCTCCAGGAATATTGTTTCAAATATTCGGTACACCATTACATAAGTATGCCTGTAAGTTTGTACAACATACTGCACTGCATCACCTTGCAAATCTGTGATGCGTAGTGCAGCAGTTTCTTGGAATCAAAGTGGTCCTTGTGTTTCATGAGATAATCTCTCAAGCTGCCGTAGGGGAGATATTCCATGATCAAGCGAAGGTTCCTTCGTCCTGCGGAAAGTAAGAAATGTGAGACTTAAGAGAGAAAATATTCCTGAGAAAATCTAGATTTATTTGTTTCACGGACAAGGTCATTGACGCCCGGGGCGGTGAATGTGGAGACTGTCAAGACGTTATTATGTATAAAAAATGTGCAAAGGTGTTAATATTAAATCAAGAGTAGTTGTGGGCTAAACAAGCTGATCAGTAAAAATTGCTCTTTCAGTTGCTCTTACTGTGTCATATATTAACGCATGTCAACCGGTCAAGTGAGGAAGTCTTACTTTTTTTTATTACACTGTTTTCTCATATTGTGTCACAAGTTTCCTTTCAAGTCAAGTATTAAGTCAAATTACACAGGCACAGAAAAACGGAGAGAAGACAACAGGATATATAATCACACCCCTTATAGTGATTTTCCTGACCACTTCATATAACACATATAGACATCAGACAATGTGCTCATACCTGCACTGTAGCAGACACCTTTGTATTTGACAATGTTTTCATGCTGGAGAGATTTGAGGATTTCAATTTCCCGCTCAAAGTCCCTGAGGTGCTCGGCTGTGCTGTGCTGTAGTTTCTTCACCGCCACCACCTCCCCTGTGCAGTCCTGCAGGGGGTCGTACCTGCACATCTCCACGCTGCCAAAGTTTCCCTGCAGCGTGGGGTAGGAGGGAGAACACACTTTCACATACAGAAAGAAGCGCTATGGTTTCATCTGGGTTTCAAGAACATGTTCATTTTGCAAAAACACAAAATATAATTTGATGCATTCCCATCAGCTAGGATGGAATCACTGAGACGTGGGTTAAATGTTTGCTTCTAATAAAAGTATCTCCACAGTATGTGTGCGCTCGCATGTCTCACTTTGCCCAGCTGCTTGAGAAAGATGAGGTGCCTCTCCTCAAACTGGGCAGGCTCCTGGTTTTCGGAGGCCCATGGGAAACCGAAGCCTCTTGTCCTGTTGGGCACCATGTCGCTTTCCACCAGCAGGTCATAGTCTATAACACAACAAGATGCATGAAGCCATTTTCTACAAAATCTGGATGATTAATATGTGTGGGATCCAATGAACTCCCATGATTTGTAGATCTGTCTGCCAGATGTGAAGAAAGAGGAAGTCTTGAATTGTGAAAGGTGACTGGCAGAAAGTCTTTTTCCAATTTAGTCTTCCTACCTGGTGTGAAAAGGCTCTTGAGATCTCTGATAATTGCTTTGAAAGATGGTCGGTGTGAAGGCTCGTAATTCATACAGTTGTATATCAGATTGGCCAGCTCTGTCCATTTGGGAGCTGGCAGCTGGTGCCTGTCCTCGTAGAACAAGTTCTTCTACAGAGGAAAGGAGCAAAAGTCAGGACCTGCATGTTTTCAACCTGGGTTGGAAAATGATAAAGACACTGGGGAGAGAAGTGTTTGCATTCTTTAAACAATGAAGAGTATGTTTTAAATAACCACCTGCCCTTCTCATTGAAGAAAAATGTTAACGGAATAGTTTAACATTTTGAAAATGTGAGAATTTGCTTTCTTGCTGAGAGTTAGTTGAGACGACAGATACCACTGTCATGTCTGTGATAAATATGAAGCTATAGCCAGCAGCCAGTTTGTTTAGCTTAGCATAGACTGGAAGCATTCAGAAAAGGCCAGTCTGGCTCTATCAAAAAAATTTAAAATAATTACCTATCTAGCCTCTAATTACTGCTGACGAATTAACATGCTACATCTGATTTGTGAAATTGGCACAAAATCCAAAGAGTAAAAAGGTTATGGTTTTACACTGGCTTATTTGTTGGAGCTATTTCTCAGCCAAGAGCAGTGGCCCATTGGAGTGGCTGCGGCCAGGCGACTAGTGGAAACTATTTTTACGCTTAATTCAACATTTCCTTTATTCCAGATCACTTTCAATAAGTCAATATTCTCAATGGATCCTTTTATGACCTTGGAGCAGTCCAGGGTGCTGAGTGGTTTGTCTCCCCCACTGCAGATCTCCCACAGGGTAGTCCCAAAACCCCACTTGTCCGTGGCTAAACTTAGGTTTTGGGGATTTTCAATGCACTCAGGGGGCACCCAAGGGATACGCTCCACCAGTACTGACACATGGAGAAAAAGAAAGAGAAACATTAATAAATGAATATGAATAAATCATCCCTCTGAGGTCCACTTCCTTCAGCCAATCATGATTTTCTGTAAGGGTTAGGGAATTCTTGAGTGGTATTTTATTAACAACCTGATAAGTTGTCTTGTAACTTTATCGTACAAGTCTTTCAGCAAGATCAACATACTGATTACTCCTTTGTATTTATAACTACTGTTTATTGCCACTCCTTGTGTCAGCATGTAAATGGTCGTCGTTGGTGTTTTGTTGCTTCGTGCTGCTTGTATGGTGATATGTACCGAAACAGTGTTTGCTGTTACTGTATTATTGTTGCTTTGCATGAGCTGTGTTTATGTTTTCATAATTCTGTTTGTTGTTGCGGCTGTCTTCTGTGGCGTCCCACTAAATGTTATCACTGTCTCCAGTTGCTTTGCATGGCCTGTGTTTATGTTTTGATAGTTTTTTCTTTCTTTCTTGTTGCTGCTGTTTTCCGTGGCATCGCTATAAATTTTATTGCGTTGATGGTTTTTGAAAGGTCTGGTCGAAGGACTGCAGTTGAAAATTAGCCAGCAGGTTAACACTGGCACATTTACAGTAATGGAGTAGAAGTTTGGGATGGTGAAAACGACGGCAGAAACTGTTAGAGAAAGGTAGGCTGACCAAACTTTGTCCCTGTCAGTAACTGAGACAATCATACCAAGAGAAAACAATGTTGGTGAACATTATTGCCACATGGCAACACACCGGTGTGTGTCTTCTCACCTCAGGACAGTACATGAAGCCATGTGTCTCACCTTCTCTGGGCAGCACAGTGATGCTGATCCCAGGGTCACTGAGCTTGATAAAGGGCAGGCTGCCAGTTTTCCGATCCTCCTCTCTGATCAGAAGAACATTCTTGGCGCAGACATTTCCATGAACAAGGTTCTTATTCTCCTGTGACCAGATACGACAGGGACAACATAAAATTCCTTGATAGAAAAGTATTTCTCATTACATTTCATTTGTCGAGTGAAAAAGTGATGGTGTTTGTACATGTCCGTAGTCTTACCAGGTAGTGCATAGCCCAGGCCAGCTGCTTGGCCACTTCTAGCTTCCATGTGATGTTGACACAGCTTTTGTTCTTTTTCAGATAGGTGTCCAGAGAACCAAACTTACCGTACTCCTGCACCATCATGTCTGTTAGGCAGATGAGAGGGAGATAATTTTATTACTCAAACTCCTATCTGTATTCAAGATCACAGTATATTCTGTCATCCGGTCTTTTTCAACAACTCCTCCTATTATTCATTGTGTGCTGTGCATTCAGTCATTTCTTTGTTTACAAAGAAAGCAGTGTGGGCTGTCATATTTTCCACACGATTCACAGGTGAATCATCTTGTTTTCTGGCAGACTAGGCAGGGGTTAGTGCATTGCTGCCTCCCACTGGTGTAGTTAAGTCATCGCCACTTTGTATTTGTGAGGTCTCTACTGCTCAGCAAGGTATAGTCACAATCCATATCGGAGGGCAAATTCATACTAGTGTACTTTCTTTACTGTTTATACCATCCATCAGTAACTATAATGATGAAGAGCAGAGAAAAAACAGGCCCTATAGACACATTTCAAATAACTTCCAAAATCTTCCATCTTTTCTTTCCTTTCTGCTCTTTCCCTGCATTCAGTAATGTGAATAGTAAAGATTTCCTGACATGCTGCTGTGATGTGTGTGGGCAGTTGCAGGTAGAGTAAAGATCAAGACTGCAGAGGCCCATTAATGACTTGTTGAACCTGAGGGCTTAACCCAGTCAGGGCAGAGCACAAAGCAAGTCAGCAGGTCAAAAACCTTATTTCCTCTCCGTTTGATTCTTTGCATTGATTCCTCATGGGTGTTTGACTGCCCACACATTCTGTTTTCAGCATCCCCACATATCTTTAAAAAAAGGTAAGGATAACCTAAACTCTGTGTGTGTGGGTGTGTGTGTGTGTGTGTGTGTGTGTGTGTGTGTGTGTGTGTGTGTGTGTGTGTGTGTGTGTGTGTGTGTTGTAAACTTACTCTCGTTGCCACAAACACACACACCATAGTTGAGGAGTAAGTGCTTGTAGGAGAGCTGGCTCATCATGCTGGCTGCTTCAAAGAATGACTATGATGAAGGCAAACGGGAGTACAGGAAGAGAAGAAAATTTGATTTGAAATCTTTATTTAATCAGATCCTCTCACCCACTCATTCACCCAGTAAACAAACAAACCTCTGAATAATTGCGGTGAGCCTTGTCCAGGATCTTGATAACAACATCTATCTGATGTATCTCTCCGTAGTCTCCCAGCTCTTTCCTCACACCACAGAAGATCTTGGTGAAAGTTCCTTGACCCAGACTCTCATTCTAAAACACATTTTATTGTAATCTTAAAAACCTGCTTTGGAAAGGAGGCAGAGCACATTTTGTAACTATATGTAGGTATGTTTACTGTATGTATTACTGTGTGTACCAGTGGAGACACATAATTTTGTTGTACATTGTGCAATGACAATAAAGGCATTGAATTGAATTCTGTAAAGTGTAAATTTCAAATGTCCAAAGCCCTGAAATAATTACAGGACATAGCTGAACCAATGTTCAGAAAGAAACCGCTAAAAAAAATGAGTCAGAAAACAGTATAGCAATAAAGGAAATACCCCTGAACTCTGTGACTGAACGTGTGGTTTTCCTGTGACAGACCTGTTGTACAAAACTTCAAGTGCTCAACCAACAAAAAATATGGTGAGGCGGAAATGGACCAGTCACTGAGGTGAAAGCATAGCTGACACACTGTCACAAGCACACATCCACAGGGACTGCTACTGATGACGCTGAGCGATCATCGACTGAGGCAGTCTTTTTGTTAACTGCATCAACCTCACTGACCCTGCAGGAGTCAGGCTGTGGCCTGTTTCCTTGTCGACAAAAGGCATACATATTTTGGCTTTACCTTTAATGTTCTTTCTTAATGAGAAAGTCATACAAGGGCTTTTTCAATAAATATGTACTGTGTAATTATGTGTCTAATCCAATTTATACAGTGATGCAATCTACTAAGTCTACAGAGGTGGACTAGTTATGTGTGTTGACATTTTTCTGCTGAGAGAAAAAGCTAAAGCAAGAAGTCAAAGAGGTTTAACTTACGATGATGAGGTCCTCTTTTCGGATCTTATGGAAGACCATCTGACTGATGTGTTTGTGTAGGGAGGGGGAAAGAGGAACCTCTGCCCCTTGATTATTTCTACACACCAGCAGGTTGGATTTATCTGGAGAGGTAAAGGTGGACAGGAATTAGGATCCGTCACTCACATTTTGACACCACATCTGATTAACACTGTAGCAGGGTAATGGCTTTTTAATCTGACATTATTCAATTTGAATAGACCAGCAACAGCTACTAATTCTAAACTTAGATTGCTTAAGAGTTTTGCCAGCTGGAAACCTAGTGAAGTAATCATTGAGTCATTAGTAGTCATTGGTAATCCATCAAAACCCCGTGGAGACATAATGGCCAGGTTGTGCTGGGCAGTAAAAATCTGACATTTTCTGCCTATTTAAAGGATAATGTTTGATCAAACATTTCCCCCAAATTCTTTCAACTGGCTTCACCTTAATCGATATGGTGCCTTGATGTTTATTTCTATGGGTAAAAAGTTGATAATGGGAGCATGTAAATGGGAAAGCAAGAAGGTGCGCTAAAGCTAAATCTTAAGGAACTCAGAGAGCAGCGTGTTGAAGAGTAACAGCTAAAGTGCTGAATGATTGTAGTGCCATGCCGTTTCCCAGATTATAACTCCATGGTCCATGCTGTCAGAAGTTGCACCATTATGTAATTAAATCCAGTTTATTATTAATTAATATGCTGCAGCGGTTGGCTTGGCTTGAATCCAATCGGAATTCAAGGACCTCCCCTATGAAAAACTTCAATTTTAAAAGGAAAAGAAGTGCTCATATTTTAAGTAAGTGGATTTTAACTAAGGGGAATGCATAATGTTTACCTGTGTAGGGACACACATTTGCTTCAGTGCTCATGTGTGCGGTATGGTCTGTACGCATGGCAATAAGGTTTACCTTGTATGTTTGTCTGTGAACACTGACCTTTGGGGCTGGGTGGGCAGCACTTGGTCAGCTGAAATGTGTATCCATCTGAGCGCAGCGCCTCCTTTTGATAGCAGTTAAGAAGTTCCCTCAGTGAGCCGAAGCTCCTCTTAGCTCCACTCAGAATGTACTCTCCTGATTCCGTCTTCATGATCTGACAGTGCTTGTAGTCCACCATAGTTTCATACTGAAAATCAAGAGGGAAATGATAAATCAAAAGAAAATCCTGACAGTTGAGTTGTGCTCAATTGCTCTGCAATGGCTAAAAATATGGGCAATAGTTTAGAGGGTCTGGTGTGTACAACTTTAAGACCACCTCTGTTTTAGCAAACCAGTGAACCAACATAGTAGAGATGCAGCAGTTATAGTGACTTTGACCATCTTACTCCTTACCTGAACAAAGACTGTTACACCAAAGCACTACATTGCATTTACATTCTAGTGTAATGGTCCTGGTTGTTGTGTCATGTTGCATCAGCCAATTGAGGAGATAATCTGGTCTGATAATGTATTTTGCTAGTCTGCATGTGGTCATGGCTGACGAAGGGAGTTTGTGATGTCAATCGATTAGCAAAGACTGTGTTGACATAGCCCATCTCTTTGTACAGTCACGTGAAAGATACTGTGCCTCACACTGATGATGACCCAACATTAACTACGTACCCCCACTACAAAGGACATGAAGTATTTGTCGTAGTCCCTTGGGCTGCAGCGAAGGATGTACAGGCCTTGGTGGTTACCAGAGCGACGCAGCTTACCAATCGTGAAGTCCATCCTGTGATCAAAGAGACAGAATATGTGTCTTTGTGTTTGTGTGAATGGTTCTGTGATTCATGTGTGATGTGCTGCAACTAGGCATATATGTGACACTTACGACACAGGGCCATGGTAATAGCTCTGAATGCACTCCAGAAGTCTTGGTGGAGCCACTTCTTTACACAGGTAATGATGGGCATCGGCGACAAGTCTGTAATATCCATCAACTAATGATACGAATGACAGAGCCTCTGATAGGGAATGAAACTCCAGTTCCTTTGTGGCCAGAGAGAGAGACAAGGAGACGGGATGCAGAGGAAGACAAAAATAAATCACTCAGTACCTGCTTTGAACTTTAAATCAATATAAACAATCACATTTCAATTAGTATATCTATGCATGTAAGCATAACAAATTGGTATCCTTTCAAGGAATTAGTTAAAAATAGGTCAGTGTATCAGTCTACTTGTGATAGTGATGCTAACTAAGTGAAAAAGGTGATCTTTATATCCGGTGACTAATTTGCTGATCAAAATTGTCTTTCAAACAGGTGAAGAACAGATGTTGCTGTTAAGTCCAGCTGCTGTAACAAACCACTTGAGCACTTTGCTTTGACAACAGGTATGTGGTCATTAGGGAAACACGCTCCTGAAATAATTAGATTAGAATACAACAAAACAAACAATTATTAATTTTAGAGTGATAGTAGAGCATGGAATAGAGAATACTATACCAGGATCTGGCTGTTCTGTCTGGTGAGGGTAACTATGCGACTCTCTGCAGAGCCTTCTTTATTGGCCTGCTTGATGCTGATATCAATGACATCAGGGAAGTCACAGTATGTCTGTAGCTCCTGGAGACACAAAAAGAGTACAAAATAGTAGTTTGCATTTGTATTAGATGAGGAAGCATGTACACACATGCGCACTTGTTGTTACTGGCATTTTAACCATTTCCTGGAGCTCCATCTATAGGTGAAAAAACAGCCATTACAGCATTATACTGTGGCTGACTGGCAATGTACAAATGCATTACCATGGCAACATGAACTCATCTCCTGGTCCTCACCTCCTCTGCTCCCTCTTCCTCTTTCCCTTTTGACCACTGGATGCCCTTGTTGCCCATGACAACGATGGTAACCTCGCGTGCCGAGAGGTCGGTGACTTGGAAGCGCTCAGAGTAGAGGGAGGGCAGCAGCATCTCCAGGCTCATTAGGTATTTGAGCTTGAGGTTACACACCGTGGCCTTGCATTCACTGAACTGCTGGATAAACCTCCTGAAGCGATAGCGGATCCTCTTCCGAGTCAAGATGTTATATTCTTGGATGCGGCTCTGCATGCATCTCGGCAGGAAGGATTTGTAGCTAAAAGCCATGGAGGGTGGGGTTGGTGGTTAGGTGTAGATGGAGTTGGTGATAACAAAAAGAGGAAGGAATAGTGAACAAAAATCAAGAACGATAAAGAGAAAGGGGAGGGGCAAGTGAAAGGAAACAAAGTTAAAAGAGCAAACACTATCCTTACTTTCTGCCAATCAGTTTGCATGTTGAGTCTACCTCAGGAGAATCAGTCAATAGTCACCACATAAACTCATTTAAATGTAAAGGTAATGTGAAATAAATTATTGATGAATTAGATATTAGAGGAATTATAGGAGAATTCACATTTCAAGTATAAACAGTGTATAAACGTAGTATACATCAGATATTATAGACACGTTTTCAACTAAAATATCTCACACAGAGATAATTCATTCAGCTGCATGTACATGCATAATGAAACTATCTTGATGCTCACTGTGTCCTGAGCAGCTTGTTATTCACAAGCTGTACCACATGAACGCCAGCATAACAGCTAGCATTTCACATTATTTAGGTGAGAGAGAGAGTGCGGCCAGACTGTGGTTCAGAGAGACACATTACCAACATTTTTTTTCTTCTCCAAGATCATTTTTGCCTTCCCCTAGTTTGGACGAAATACTGTATAAAAGCAGCAACACTCACCCAAAATATTGTAACATTATTGTGGTATCTCTAGTGAGTGAGAGCATCCTACCTGGTATCATTGTAGATGTCCACGGGTGACTGACCATTCTCTTTAGCAAGCCTCATCATGTCCAGTACCGCCATGCCCAGACACTCCTCCTGGGACTCGTGGCTCACCGGGGTTTGAACCCAGCCATTAAGAAAGTCACTACGCCACTGATGAAGGAAAGAAAAACACAAGATGCAAAAAATGGATGAAAGAATGCATGATATCAGACCCGTGAAAGAAAAGAGTAGAATTATGAGTAATCAGACAGATTATAAACCTCTTTATAGAACATGACAATTTATGTCATAATAGAATCCATGTAGTTTAAATTATTCAATATTCATCAACAATCTCATGAAGCTGTACAGAGCTGCAAAGTTTGCACAAGCACATAGAAAAAAAAGCAGAAACTATTTCCACACACACACATAAGCACACATGTGGGCAAAGACATACAAACAAAGTGAAAAGAACCCTGAGATACACTTGTTCCCCATTTCTGCTTCTTAAACACACTTACTACCCCACTTCCTGTTTTCTCAACTTTAACAAAAGAATGGGTTGAGAACAGACAGACTAACTGACTCACCAACGTTTGTTCTTAGAAAAACAGAAAAAAAGAAAAAGCAAAACAAGAACGAGAAAGGGTGGAATGGAGGTTAAATTGGGGACATTAGTCATGAAGACACTGTTCTCTGGTTTGCACCCAAAAACACACAAATGATCCAGACTAAGGATAAACCATATGTTTGAAAAACACAAATACAAAGACACAATACAAATATAAAATACCAACATACAAAGTACACTTTGCAGAAGAAAATAACTGACTTAATGTTGACTGAATGTAAGGTGTACATCATAAAGACTAACCTGAAAAAACTGGTATGCCATTACACAATCATCCATCACAGGGCTCTCCATCCCCTTAGATACACCATAGCGATGGGTATAGAATGAACTGCTGTTGTTATACCAGCCAGGAAAATAGTACCTGGATAGAAGAGGGAAAAAAATGAATCCAAACAAAACAAAAAAAGGAAAAAAAAGAAAAATATAACAAGAAAAATCTGAAACAGATTAAGGAAATTAAAAAACTAAATGTCTACCTGATTCTGAAGTGCAGGTTCTCACAGGCTGACTGGCAGAGTTTAAAGATGTGATTAGGAGGGAACCATATCCGGTCACTTTCCCTCATCAGGCCAAACAAGTTGCAGTACACTGGAGCAATCCCTGGAGAGAAAGAAAACAATCATAATTTTTTATCAAACAAGAATGAGTCATGTTATTCAAATGTTTATTATAAAACAGCACAAGCACTTTCATTCTGGTGCTACAGGTCCATTAAAAGTCACAAAAACTCTCTGTACTTAGATTGAATTTGCTCCTTCAGTAACTGGTGCACATATGAGTGAGCAACTATTTTCCATTTGGAAAACTCTTTGTAACTCGGCATTGACAGTGTGGAGCATCCTGCCTGTAATTCAAATTTGGAGAGCCTACTCATGTACTAATCCTGTATGCAGGTCTGAAGTAAAGTACTCCTTTTTACAAACAGCACACATTACTAACCAATTCCTAAAAATGAAACTGGTCAAAGAATGACAACTGGCCAATATGTCGACATAAGCATACACATTCCTATACTGTATGTATGTATGTAAGGGACACGTCACTCCGCTACTCATCAACCTATACCGTCTACCCATGGCCGTCCAAATCAAATTCAAGTCACTAATGCCTGCCTTCAGAGTGACTTCTAGGTCTGCTCCCATCTACTTGAACTCAGTCATACAGCCTTATGCTCCTTCTCGCCCACTGCGTTCCTCCAGGGAATGTCGTTTGGCATTGTCTTCCTCATCTGTGGTTCCCTGATGGTGGAACAAGCTACTGAATGCTATCAGAGCATTCTCTATCTTCAAGAATCTCTTGAAGACTCATCTCTTCCGAGAGCACTTGCTCTGTTAGCACTTTTGGTGCATTTTATCTCCTTGCACTTACTTACTTCCTAAGTACTACATCTACTAATAGCACCAAGTTTTCCTACTGCACTGAGGCTTTAGTCCATCACTTGATTTGCTTTGGATAAAAGCATCTGCCAAATATAAATATATACATACACAAACACATCTTGTAGTAGCACTTCAGACTGCAAGCAACGGTGCTTTGACAATGACAATACTAACTTCTTAGTTGTGTTGACACAATGAAAACCCAGTATATGGCTGGGCTGTGTATAATCTGAGGATGTAATATATAAACAACTGCTTTCAATAGAAAGCACCCAAAGCCTGCTGGAAAAGTTGAAAAATATTGCTAGATAATGTAATACACTAATTAGCATAATAATGACGTAATTGTGTCTTATTCGCATCCTGCCTAGTGTCAGTCGGTTTCAGGCCTTTATCTGTTTACTTCTCTCCTACTCACATATACAGTTTTAAATACATGTTTTGTACATGTACATTGTTTACATGTTTTTCTGTTTCTGTTGTCAGACAACAGAGCAATTGAAATAGTCACTGAATTGCAGTCCATTAAGACTCCATGATAACCAGCAGTCACTTCCAAGCCATTTCCACTGCCAAAATCCTGATTTGATAACTAACAACATCATCTGACAAAATCACCATACACATAAATTAAAGACAAAAGACTGTGCTGTGTACTTGTAGAATAATCAATTCGAGACAAAGGTAGGAGAGACAGAATATCTTGTTTTATTTTGTCTCTTGCACAGAGCACAGCCTCTGTCTGGTTAACAAACTGCTGCCTCGCCTCTCTGGCCCTCAGTAGATGCAAAGAGTGGTGTGACTCTCACTCGTGGGGCAGTACTGGTGACTCTCCTCTAGTAGCTAAGCTAAGGTTTGTCCAAATCATTTTGCAACAATAACAACATTCAGCCAACCAATGGAGTAACTTCATCGCTCACTCAACTCTATTACTTACTAAGTCACTCACTCGCGGACATTCAGGGATATATAACAATTAGATTTCCTGCTAAAAAACAAAAACACCCATGAACTGCTTTGCAAGTTTGCCTATTTGCAAGAAATTCTATCTTGATGAAGACTTTTTATGATCAAAGACGATGACAGTGATGCACAGAGTATAGCAATCTCAGTATGGATGACTTTTACCACTTCATCCGACAACAATAGCCAGCTTAACATTGCTTGAACATCAAGCAATCCTGAAAGACATGTTTATGTTTTTGCCTCTAACCATTCCCACAATTCCTCATTCTGTCTTCACAACGCTAACACCACTAATAACAAGGTGTTTTATCAGCTGGCCCAAGTGGTTCACTAGCAGACAGAAAATGTCATTATACAACAGGAAGCACTCACAAGAGTGAAGCAATGGTAAGGGGATGGGAGTGCTGTGTAAGAGGATGTATGCTCAACCACAAGAGAGGAAGTTGTGTTAAGTATTAACAAGGTTGATAAGTAATTCCTACCTTGTATTAGTAATAATAAAGTAAGCAATGCGCTGCAGAGTAAATTACTGTATTTTCCACACTTTAGGAGCTGAGATTTGGTGCATTTTATGAACTTAACTATATAATTCATACAATTTAATTCAAAGACCTACCATAGACTTTGAATTGGCAGAATTTTTCCAAATTTCTTACTGTGAGGCCAAAAAATTGGAAATTCTTCTATATCATCATCATAAGCATATTAGGTCTTAATATATATTAGATCTGAACTATATTTGTGAATACATTTGACTTCATTCTGGTGGTGATGCAACATCCCACCCACCTCCTTGCATCATCAAATTTTAACTTGATGGTTTGTCTGCTAACTTTTATCCTAATGCCAAACCACATAAAAAAGTGTCATATCCAGGTGGAGAAAGCACATAGAAATCCCTCTTGTGATTATTATTTGACTGTGGTTAAACTATGAAAGGGACAATTGGAGAGTAAGACAGGTGGAGGGAAGGTAGAAATAAAGATGAAAAATAGACAAAGACAAGAGGCAGAAAATAGGAAATGACAAAATTAAGAAAAAAAAAAGAAACGCAAAGGGATACAGAAAAAGCGGAAGATAAAAAGGAGAGAGAGAGGGGTTTGTTTCTTATCGGCTCAAAAGGGAATGGAGCAAGAGCGCGTGGCAGTAATAGATAGAGCTAAGGCGGAGAGGAAAACAGACACAACAGTCGACAACTTCCTGATTTGGGTTTGCTAGAAACAGAAGGCTAAAAAGCCAGACTGAGTGCTGCAGTTCTGTTTCCACAAAATAAACACTGGATTGGCTCCAATAGCCAAAACACCTATCTCCATTTCCTTACCAGGAGATTCTTATGAATGCTGAATATACAAACAAGGATTTTTTTCTGCATGGTTGAAAGGTACATGATTGGTTACATCACACATATTTACAGTATATATATGATGCAGACTCATCAGAAGGATTTGTATCTTCACAGATTAATACTAATTACCCCACACTTGTTATAACTGAGGAAGGCATGTAAATAAACTTCACAAAACACTCCTTTTGATTATTTACTTTCTTGCTAGGTACATAGACCCAGCATTTTTCTTGTTATATGCATGGGAGGCAAATTAATCACAAGCTGCCAAAACAAGTTCAATAATAAAATGGAGGGATAAACAACATTCTTAAAAAATATATTCCCCGATTTGGTGTGGAGAGGACTGTATATAGTCAGGCTTTTTTTTCCTTAAGAAGTTAAAAGCTTAGAGGGCATGAGATGTGTGTGATTGCTCTATTAAGAGGTATTTCAGACTATCACAGCTTGGTCTCAAAACACAAGCTTCAACAACTACAGACACCCTGTCTATTTATGGCCCATTCCATGATCTACACAGACAAAAGTACCAATGCAAGTAGTAGTAGTATTTGTTTTATGAGCAGTCTGACATAGAACATAATGCTTTTTTCACTGACTTGCTTAATGCCATACTGCCTTGCAAATGCCCTTACTTCTATTTAGGATTCAATTTAATACCTTACAATAGTGTCATGACATTTTCAATACAGCAGAAATGTCTGAATGTCTGTTTCTTCCATTTCCAATTTCTGTAACAACTAACTTAACTGTATTTAAGTGTAATATTTGACAGTTTTCAATAAAATTATGTATTTGGCCTGACATATTTAGAGTTGGAGTGGTTTCTCACAACCCCACAGGAGTACAACACCAAATCACATGTGATGATAAAAATGAGGACATCATTTATCCAGTGAACTTTTCATGGTTTTATATAGTATATACGATAGACTATATTTTTACTGTCTTTCATTTCTGCTTTATTTTCTTACATGTTTTATGCATCATGTAACAGCTATATTTCACGGATGTTGCTCAACAATGATAAAAATGTATTTTGTGTGTGTGGGCAGACATTAGAACTGAAATTCTCGTGACTCACCACAAGCTTTCGCTGCAGTGATGCACAGTTCCTCTGCTACGTACTCCCCAGGTGGAAACGTGAGCACACTTTCTGAACCTTTGGCCCTGTCCCTTCCTCCATCCTTCCCCAGGTAGTAAATGTGGACAGTGAGGCAGGTGGCATCAATGTCCTGCTTGGGGTCACATCCGGTAGCTGTGTCGAGGTCGGGGCAGAGGCCATTGTGATGTGCTGTGGGACCAGAAGTGGGCGGGTCCATGTCTGTCAGCAGAATACAGGCCATGTGCTGCTTAAAATAAACATTCACCTGTCAGGGATAGAGGAAAAGAGACAGGTAACAGTGAGAGTGAGTAGAAAGGTTCAGTATACTCAGTTGTTCTTGGAAGTTAATTTGATTGGAGGACATTATTTTTGACTGAATCTAGCAGTGTTTATCAGCAACGTTCTGACTGACCACTTTATACATCTCATACTTGGGTCACATGGCAACTAAGCTTTTGAGATTTTAATGTGTTTACACAGTAAAATCAGGGTGAATTGGGGGATGAAAATTTTAAATCTTGTCACGAGGCAAGCCCTCAGATGCACCTCAGTCTGGAAGAGGAAAAAAGGTCTGAAAAATGCACAGTGGGTGGAAGTAGAGGCTGAAATTGAGATAACAGGACACAACTAGAATAGAAGAAAGGAGTCACAGTAGATGGTGAGAAGCCATCTATTACTTATGCTCTGAATGGTTTTCATTTAATAGAGTCACATCAATGTTTGCTGCCAGTATTATAATGTGTATCTTGGCTGAGGCTGCTTTGGTTGTAGAGAGCTCTGCAAAAATAAGCCGTTATGTAGAATTAAGTACTTTGTATTTAAATGAGAAAGGGATCAAGAGTGAAGCTTGAAGAAAGAACAGAACAGCACAGCTTTGCCTGGTCAGTTCACTTTTAATTTGCACTTGATCCTAAATTGCGGTTTGCTGCATTTATCAGCACGCAAAACAGTGAAGTTGCACAAGCTTGGTAAATGTATGGAGACCATAGCCCTTTAGAACAGTGGCTGATTCAGATGCCTTAGATTCTATGGTATCTCTCTCTATAACCATAAAATGTTAGCTGACACGAGATGAGCATTACTTATCATCAATTGTATTAGTTATCAGCACACAAAATTACTTAAAGACTGCAGTGCAGTAGGCTTACTGTACAGACTGCGCTGGGCTGCCTACAGCGGTTTTGGTCTTCAAGCTATGTACATGGAAAATGCATGTTTTTTGCACATGGAACATTTGGTACTGTCTCTGTTACAAATTCTAATATTTATTAGTACATATGTTAGGTAAATTCTTGAATTCTATAGTTTTTAGTTATGCTGCCAGCATGGCTTTAACAATGGCAGTTTTAGTCTTTTGATCCTCCATTTTGATCCAGACTAAAATATCTCAACAACAACTGGATGGACTGCCATGCGATTTCAGATATCCATGAGGTGCCCAGAGGTGATCCCCTGACTTTTCCTCTAGCACCATCAGCAGGTTGATGTTTGTGGTTTTGAGTGCGATGTCCTGATAACGATTGGATGCGCTGCCATGACATTTGATACACACTCAAGTCCCTCTATTTGTGGTGCTGTGTGGTGTTTCCATTGTGTATGTAGCTCAGAACCTCCAAGATAACAGATATATTTTACTACTCTGCAACGTTGGCATGCATTCTCCTCTCCATCTGGTGAAATATTTCCATCATGTGTCACTGTGACTACAACAGCTGTTGTTGACTGATCCCACAGAGCAGGTTGTTATTTAGTGTTTTTTAGGGGTTTTTCCCACTGTCTTCTAGAAAGTTTGGGCTGGGTTGAAAGCAGTTGATGGCCTGTGCAAAGCCAAATGAGTCAAAACCAAATAAGCCAAATGACTGTGATGATGGATGCTTATACTTTTTCACCAATTACCATTTCTCATCAATCAATAAGGGACTGAAGCCTTGACCTTCAACCTTTGATAGTAGTTACAGCTTTGAAACTTTGAACTGGATTTGTTTGTGTCAGCTTTGCACATATGGACACTGGAATTTTACACCACTCCTCTTTGAAACATTGCCCAAGTTCTCTCAAGTGGCACAAAGACCATGAAAGTTTTTTTCCCCCCAGCATGATGCGGCCAGCACTGGCTCCATGTTTGGGATCATGTGTTTCTGCTGAAGTGTCTGCAACAGATGAAGCACCTTGGCAACAATTGTCTTATGCTCACTGTCTCAGCCTTGGAAACCTGTAGCTCCTTCTCATGGCACCATTAGTCATCATCCCAAGTTGATGTATTCAGCTTGCTTTGTCTGACCAACAACATTTCAAGATTTCTGTTTATTAAAAGATACTAAACTAAAACTGAACAAATATTTACATTTGAGGAGCTAAGACCAGGATTTATTTTTTCCTTTTTTGTTCAATTCATAATGTAAGCAATAACTCAAATTTGTTACAGATTGATTTTCTGCCAAATGACTTGTCCTTCTGGTCTAGTCTAATAGTGTGAGTAAATTGTTTTGATTCCAGTATCACTTCTCACCATTTTGTTACCTCAGTAGAAAACACAAAGACAATATTTTGACATATGATCATAAATATTTAGTAGAATGTTTAGACTGCTTGGTGCAAATCTAATATCATTTATCAAAGTCCAGCTGCCCTCAATTCAACTCTTCTTAGATAACCATGACCTGCATGACTGAGAACCTTCACAGACATCTTTACTAAGCATTTTGGGATGGACCCCCTCAGTATGGTATGTCACTGTGAAAGGACCGCCAGGAAAATTGCAGACTACAGAAACCACTTATGGTTCAACCCGAGATGCCATCAACACAGACTCATACCAGACAGACTATGTCTAGGCTCCTTAGTGAAAGGCTACAGAGCCTGGAGAAGGCTCACAACCAGCTACTGAATGAGAAAGTGAGAAAGGTCCATTTCATCGTTGAAGACTGACTGTTTACTCCAGAGACTGACACCACATCTGTCCACTCTTGCAGAATGTCACTCATTTCATTGAGAAATTTGCACACACCTCCATATAGTCTGTGTGCAAGCATCAATTCAAGAAGAATCACATCTTCAGTACCTAAGACATCAACTTGGTACCAAAGTATCGGTTCTCGTGACATCCCTAGCCTGGAGTACCTGAGAGAATCTGGAGATCTTCAACAAGCATTCAGAAAGAAACTGGTTCATCTACACATCCAAGTCTACAAGAAAAGCAATCTAGTGTATTCATTCCAAAGCAGTGAGACATGCACTCCCTCGAGGACAACAACGCACATATTTTGGATAGGGAGGACAGGTGGTTTGAAAGGGGAGTGAAGGACACCATCTACGTTAAAATAGAGAAACCAACCCTCAACAGAGGAGGAGGTCTATGACACAACTTATCCCCCACCTACAATTCTGTCCTTTCATCCTTTCCCAGGAAATTTAACAACCATTGAAACTTGGCTTCAGGTGACTCCAACAAACCTAACCAATGTCATTACAACGGCCAGGAGCCTAACTAACAAATAACATCAGTGGCCTTTATAATAACCCCACAGAGGTTAAAGGTCACACCGCCAGTCAGTCAGGACAGAAGAAGCCTTTTGGAAGAGAAGTAGAATGTCTGAGTGACTGTGGCTTGTGTGAATATCATATTGTGTGAATAAAGTTTATAGTATTTTTCTGGCAAAGGAGTTTTTTTGATCTTTTGATGGTGGACACTTTCAACTAGAGTAACCCACTAAATGCAAAGTTAACAATGCTCTACGGTGGTCTTATTTCAGGATTCTATTTCAACTGAATATTATCACCATAAAAACAGAAATGCACAATCAGTAAAGTTAGCTGCTATACTACATGGTGTAAGAATAAGAATAAAGGAAAACACTGCTCTCTCACCAGTTCCTCTGTGTGTTTACACACCCAAAACGTTTATCATGAAGCAGGCAGGCAGAGAGTTAGACCAGTTCCTTGCTGGGTCTTATCAGGGCCTTGGGGCTAGTGGAGGTCAGAGCTATCAGCTCACCCACATTTTGCCCTCTATGGCTGATCTGCTCCACTGCTGGCTACTCTTTAATTGGTCTCTGGACATTTTTCACTTATCTACCAACTGCTGGGCTTCCTCTAAAGTTTGGATAAAGTTTCATATTGGGCAACAAAAACAATTACAACAGTCCCTAAATCGTTTTGGAGAAACTGAAATCTTCAGTTACTGGCTATGCTACAGCTTTCCCAACTAGAAAACAGAGCTCGCTGTGTCTTGCAGATGGGTGTTTCATTCTTTCATTTTTCTCTCTCATCTTTAGTTATGTCAATGAAATGCTGTATTTGAAGAGTGATACCAATTTTCTCACAGAGGAAATATGGACATGTCACAGTAGGAGAAAAGCACATTGATTCAAGGACAAGTCAGATATACAAATATATACATATATTAGATTTGCACAGAGCAGTATAATCATTCTACTAAATATAAGTCAAAACATTATCTTTGTACGCTCTAATGAGGTAACTTAGCATAAGTCCGAATAGCATGAAATCAGGTTGTGAGGCACTGCCAAATACTACTGTTATTTGACCAACATTTGAAAAGTTGAAACACAGTCAAAACAGAGGAAACTCCCCTGATAACATAAGGGGATTTTAAGGCTGAAGAAAAAGGAGCAGGGTGGTCTACACAGGGTGTACAGTGAATAACAGCAAATACAACCACGTTATGTTTTAGCTTCGGATGTCCCAGAGGCTTAGTCAGACCTCACATGTATGAAGAAATCATCAATGAAATAAAATGATTGAGTATTAAATCCCAATGAAATCTGCAGAAAGAACTTTGAGATAAAACAGCTGTGCTCCCTTGCATCACAGCACCAAAAGGAAGTAATGGAAATGAACCTGCAAATCCAAGGAGCCATGTACATATAAAAAGTAGTGTAGGAAGACGCTAAAAAAAAAAAAAACTATTTCGTTTTGACATCTGGCTGTAACATAAAAAGCTAATCAATGCAGAAACAGTGATTATCCAAGTCTTACTGCAAAACAAATGTAATAAGCATAAACAAAATGGTGAGAAAGGATAGTGAAATTGCAACAATATACTTGACCTACTAGACCTGAAAAGACAAGTCATTTCACATAAAATTAATCTGCAACAATTTTGAGTGTGAAAAAAATCCCTGGTCTCAGCCTCTCAAATGTAAATATTTGCTAGTTTTTAGTTTAGTGGTGTAGTGTTTTTTAGTAAACTCAAAATTGGTCAAACAAAGCAAGCTGAAGATATCAACTTGGGGTGATGATTAATCCAGAAAATAATCATCACATTAACCTACAAGACAGTACCTAACAAAGTATTCATGAGAGGGTTACGAATGAGGGAGGCTACCATGAGACCTATGATAGCTCTGAAGGAGCTACAGGTTTCCAAGGCTGAGACACGGAGCATAAACAACTGTTGCCTGGGTGCTTCATCTGTTGCAGCTTCATGAGAGCTATGACTATTACACAAAGCAGTAGGTTTGATAACCTGATACATCTGCCGAAACACATTATTCAAAACAGAGAGCAAGTGCTGGCAGCATCATAGCTTTGGAGAAAAGTCCATTGATGGCCCTTGAGAGAACTTGAGTATTTCCTCTCTGACAGCTAAGATCGGTCAAAGTCTATCCTTTGTTTGTCAAGGCGTACAGCTGTAACAACAGGAGAACTGCTAGTGTTCTCGTCAGGATTAGCTCCCCGGCCATCAGCAGAAGAGCTGCTAGCATCCTCACTGTCACTAGATTGCATGTGTTTACAAAACACTGATATTTTGGCCTGACTTTCAGACATTTTGGGTCGACATCTTTCCATCTCTGGATTTAGAGGGATTTATAAGACTTGTTGGAAAGCTTTTATTGCACTTAACATAACAAGCATTTAACCTGTGTCTCCACTGCTACACTCCATGTGTTTGGAGAGGGGATAAGACATACACATGGTGAAACAGAAGACAGTGGAGAGAAACAGAACCATAATGACAGCAAAATGCGGATTCACTGAGCTGAAATGAAACAAGTGCACATAGATTAGGTAAATAACATGTATAACATTTAGTTTTCTTCATTTAGTTTTTCTTAATTTTGTGGTTTCTTAGGGCAGTGGGGGGGTCCAGTTGGGGGAGGCAGGCCCCCAAAGCAATGGTAGCGGAAACACTGAACTACTTCCAAAGGTTCCTCCAGCAACTTGGGGGCTGATTACTCAGTTTGTCAAGGCTGCAACCGCTTGTTGATTGATTCGAAATGGTAAGAAGTGAAAAAGTCTGGCTGACCATGATCACATACTAATTTGGCTCATCTTTGTACAGGCCATCAACTCTACAGCTTTCAACCCAGACCAACCTCTCCCGAAAACAGGGGGAAAACCCCCTAAAAAACAAGGGGAAAACAACAGAGGACCCCTGGTGACATCAATCACCTCACATCTTTAAACAGCTGTTCTATTTAGAGTGGCACATGATGAAAATTTTTCAGCAGTTGAAGAGGAGGGTTCACACAAACTTTGCCGAGTAGGAAAATGCATCTGTTGTCTGGGAGGTTCTGAGTTACGTTTGAAATGGGAATACCACACAGCACGACAAATATGTAGCCATGGGCAGATGATAATTTCACAGCTCACACAAATAACTCTGGCAAAAATTTGAAGCTGTCTCCCTATCACTAGACTGTGACACGACATGCAAGGTTCAGGTGAAGAGATACAAATCCTGAAAAGCTGAAAAGCTGCTGTGGCCATTACAGATGTAGTCCATGGCACAAATAGTTTTGATTGGTTGATTGGTCACATTGGCTAGCTCTAATGTTAGATAGCCTAGATAAATATGCACTGTTAGGCTTTTCCAAGTGTTCAAGGGAACTGGGGCTAAACTACCTCACTTACTGCATGTTTGTGCATTTGTGCACAATGTGCATTTCTCTCTATATCATGTTGATGTTCTTACACATTCAGAATCATGACCGCTTTTGCCGGTGATGTTTAAAGGCAGCTTGCTTTAGGCATTTGAATGTTAATGGTTCATTATTGCAGGTTTGTACTGTACATGTAGCACAGTGTTAACAATGTTACTTGTAACATTCTTTCTCAACCCTGGAACTCAAACCATTTTCTGATGCCCTCCCAAAAAAATATATAATAATATAATTATAATTATAATAATTAATACCATAAATGTGTGACAACTAGTCAACTAATGGCTTGAACTAACTAGTCAATACTAGTCAGCCATGCTAAACTTGAGTACCTGGTCTTCAAACTTGCACTAGAAACTGTTTCAGCTCAAAAGTCATTTTAATCTGTGTCATATGTAGTCTTGGTTTGACAATTCACCACACCCTCTTCTATTAAAGTAAACTATGCTATCTGGTGTGAATCCCCCCTCTCTCTGTTCTTGCAAGCTAGAAAGGAAATCAACTAAAAAGGGGCAACAGCAGGCTGGAAAAGCTCACCAAAAGCATTGCTTTGACTGTGGAATGTAATCTTTAGCCACTGAGCAACCAGTGTGCGTCTACAAGTCATATTCCTTAGTGTTACTGCTCACCCACTTCCCACTACACTGATGCAATGCTGTGGTTGTTTCAGCATGTTTACACATCCCCATAAGTGTCTACAAAACTTTAGCCAGGCAATGCACATTCTTTGTGTAATGATGATTTGAAATCAACATAATATTCTTATAAATTAGACTTTCTTTCACATGGTTCTGAATGTTGATGTATTATGTGTCTGTTCTGTGGTCTTTCTTTGTCAATGTAGAAACAACATACCACCCTCTTACACATTCTGTGTAGGCTACTTTCTTTTGCCACACGAAAAAAATGAGGTGTGAGTAAATGGCAAAACAGGCAGCTTTGTCAGAGGCACTTCCTATGAAGGGACCCACAGTTAAAGTGACAATCTGTAGTTGAGAGTTATTCACACATCAAGCCAGTAGTTAACAATATTTTATGTCCCAATATCAGTGTGTAATCCCTGAGGGTCCACTGGAGGAACAAATATGCTACAGGATCACTATTTCACATTGTACTAGCCTCTATCATGCCCTTCTGTCACCCCTTAACATCTTAAAAATATAAATCTTCACATTATGTCATCAACAAAATGTACTTAACAGATTAGTGTAATATAAGTGAGATAGGGAACACAGACATTTCCTTTCCCTGCTACAAAGTATGTGTGTTTACACACAGAGAGGCACTGTGTTTAAAAGCCATTTAAAAAAGATCACTATGGAAAACATTTTGTGAGAGGTATTCTCTTCTGAAATGCCTCCCTCTGAAACCATAAACGATGGCTACAATAATGGGAAAATACACTGGCAGAGAGGGTTAACGTTGTAAACACTGTCACATGTGTCAGCAAGGATTTTCACTCACCAATGTCAAAGTCAGTGAAGCTGCCTAAAGCTGCATGCTTCAAAAGATAAACAAATCGAATCTCTGGGAAACACAGGGCTATTTCACATTTTGTCTTACCCTAAACCACAGCACACTATAGTGTGGGATGTTTTCATTCTCTTGTGTTCAAATCTAGTTGCAAGTCTCTCAATGATCTGGCACTCCTAAGATTGTACAAGACATTATTCTGGCAAAAATGTGAAATGGAAAAATGGGTAACTGTTGCTTTTTCCTTGCATCTTGTTCCAGTTTAAATAACCAGCTCTTTTTCCCCCCATTACAGCTGACAGTGCTGTTATTTGTCTGTGACCTCAATAAAACACACAAAATGTTACACATAACCCCTGATGCAAGAATAATGTACTTTCCCTATAACTGTCTGCACATCTGTGTCACTGACTATGTTCTTCCAGTAAAGATCTAAATAAAACTGCTAAATGTGCTTTGACAAGAAATCTAACAAATCAACACTGCCAAGATAAAATTGAAACACCCTAAAGCAAATATCCTTCTAAGTATATCCTTGTGATAAATGTTGAGTTAATACTGTCTCCCTCAGCCCAGCAGTCCCCTTAGCATAGCATACTGTCAATTTAAGAATCCATATTAGTATCATTGGTTGGGGATGACTAAAATATTGCAAACAACACTGCTTCCCCTCTCAAAACTAGAAAACAGAAGCAACATTATGAAAGCTGAACAGGAAAATGAACTGACTGCTCTGAAGAGAATTAACTAACCTGGTTTGTAAAATCTGTAAGATAAGCATGCATATATCACATGGCAGCACCATCAACAAACTAAATATATACTCAGTTACAAGTTTATAATGTACATCTGCCTAAAACTAATAAAACAGCTCTACATTACAAGTCCTACCAACGAGAGGTTATGATGTCCAGATTTAGTTTCAAAGAGGTGTTGATTCAAGGAAGGGAAAGGAATCACCTCCTCTACACCTTACTAATAAGCTCTAACTGTAACCATGTCCCCCAGAACTCATCACCTGATGTTGATTCTCATTTCTATAAGTGAGGGTAGACAACATCTCTCAGTATTATGCTAATCTAAAACCTCTTCAACAAAAACTGAACATTGAATCCCTCATATATGCAGGACTCTTGTATTAGAGTGATGTTACACTAGTTTCAGTTAGGTGTACATTAGGGATGCAACTAATGATTATTATCATTGATTCATCAATTCATCCTGTTGTCTATAAAATGTCATGAAACAATGAAAAATACCAGCTTGTTTTAAACAACCTACCAAAGTCCACTGGTATTTAGTTTACTTTCATATATGATAAAGAAAAGCATTAGATCCTGACATCAAAGAAGCTGGGAACAGAGACTGTTTGGCAAATTTTTGCTTGAAAAATGACAGAAGCTATTAACTGATTATAAAAGTAGCTGCTGATTAATTTTCTACCAATCAACTAATCGATTAAATGGTTCCACCTATTAATGAGAAGAAAATAATATCACACCTCTCATTGCAATATCTTAATGACAGGCTGTTTTTAACTTAATAATCACTGCTTTCTGTATTTTGTCCAGCACTTCCATATTTATTGAAGACAAACAAAAAGCACAGTGAGTGATGTGACTTGTGGCACTGACAAACTAACGGCTTCTTTGCCCTTGGTCTGCTATGCTAACTGTAACTGGTGTCAGCTGGTTTGCAGGAACTCGGGACGCGACAGCGACGGCTCACACCGTCCGTCTCCCCCCCCCCCCCCCCCCCCCCCCACACACACACACACACACACACACACACACACACACACACATAGACACACACATTGAACACAACTTACTCTGCTTGACTTCTCCTGAGTTGGAGTCCACCGGGGTACACGACGGACTGCTCACGGAGTTAGCTAGCTAAAGTCTCGCACTTCAGGGCTTACGTTAGCTGTCAACAAAAGTAGATGCTTCTTTGTTTGCCATTCCGTTGGTCTTCACATCTTTTCACAGACTGTTTTCATTTATCGCTTCACTGCGACCACTCCGTAGCATTAAACGACCTCATTGTGTTTTTGCTCCACGTGACATTCGGGTTCACTATTGTCTTACCACTACCCCGGCTCACCCTGCAGTTGTCTCAACATACGAACCGATGACAGTAATAGTCCACTGTATGGAGATGGTGATGATGATGATGGAAGTGGTGGCAGCGATGGTGAGGGCGGAGCAGGATGCCTGCAAATAGTTTAGCCTACTCTCTCACACTGACTCGGGGTTTGATTCTTCCGTGTTTGTGACACGGAAACATTTTTTCTTGTGCAGAGGAATCCCCTTTAGTTAACACACAGCTCCTGCACGTTCTCCAGTGGCGGAGTGTAACTAAGTACATTTACTCGAGTACAATGACATTTTAAGGTAGGCCTACTTGCACTTTACTTGAGTAATTTCATCTCGTGCTACAGTACTTTATGCACGGGTTGGTTCGTGCTGAGTGCGAAATCAGCTTAAGAAAAGTAGATTTAAAGCATCATCCCACAAAGTCAGATAGAGAGGGACAGAGGATTTCAGGTTGAGCACTTTCAAGCATAAAAAGTGCAAGTCAGTGAATTAATTATAATGCTAAAACAGCAATGATTTGTCCATTCATTTTTAATAACACGTTTTATAAATATGTAGGCTACACAGATAGCAAACATTATTTGGCACGGATCGGGCCCGGAGCCATTATAAAATCTAGGCCAGATCCGCACAAAGGACCTGTGCCTTTGGCTTTTGGCACAATGGGCAAATACCGCCGCTGATCCGTTTCTTGAATCTCGGCCAGAACTTGGCTCCGGGCCGGATGGAATTTATTTTATTGTGATCTGGGCCAGATCTGTAGGTCTACTGGATCCGTTCTGGATCCGTTCTGGATCCGGTCCAGATCCACTACGGATCAAGTATGGATACTGGATCTGGCCCAGGTCTGTATTGTATCTGGTCCAGATCCATACCGAATCCGTACTGGATTTGGCCCAGATCCTTATTGTATCTGGTCCAGACTTGAGTCATATCTGGGCAAGTCTGGTCCAGATCCGATCCGTACTGGATCGAGTACCTATCTGGTCCTGCACTTTCAAGCATAAAAACTGCGAGTCAGTGAATTAATTAAAATGCTAAAACAGCAATGATTTGTACATTTATTTTTAGTAACACGTTTTATAAAGTCTAGTATGTAGTATAAGTAGAGGTAGCTCATATTTTAGACTACAGGATATGACGAGAACAATGCTAAAGAGAAAGGAGAGGTGAAATAAAAAAATAAAATAAAAAATGGAGTACAGCCAAAGAGGGAAAAATATGGATGAATAGGAGCTGTTGGCATGCAAGGGCAAATAGACAAGGGGCACTGTCCAAAGAAGCTATAGGCAAGGCCACTTTAAACAAGTTTTCTCTGATCATTTGTTTTTAATCAAATATTAATAATCCAGTTTTTAATTAAGTGAAATTTAATAATTTTCTTTAGTTTATTTTCAATTTCCATCTAAGGACAGTGTTGGCTCATACATTATAATTGGCAGCATTGTGCTGGACAACTGAATACTTTGAATCAGCCAAGTGGCTATTTGGATAACCTTTTGGTTAAACAAAGATAACTGAATAAATATTTTTCAGTGTTTGCAAGTTTCAGTACAAACGTGTTCCACTCAACCATAAAGTTACACTTCTGCAAAGAGGGTTACAGATGGGGTTAATGTCAATACAACTTCTACTATTTCACTTCACTGTGGCCTAACTGACAACAAATAAAATGCTATTTACACATTAAGCATAAGTGGACCTAATAATAATGCAATGATAAAAAAAATGAATATTATAATCACTTAGAGCCATTCTATTAGATTTTAGGAATATTTTGCAGATATTATTTTTATGCTTTTACTTGAGTCAATATGTTTTCTAGTGATTGAGAATTTACTGTGTATTGGTGTCATCAGGTGTCAAATACAAGTTATATTTTAATTTTTGGAAGATTTATATTTCATATTAAAAGGAATATCTTACTGGAATTATTGCAGTTTATAACAACAGCAGCAACTATTCCTTATAATGGGAGCAACAGAACAGCTTGACATTGTCAGAGAGCCAACTGTGCTTACAGGGCTTGTTCTGATTGTTTCATTGCCATTATCTTTTGGACAGTGTGTAACTGCTCTGCTGCATCACTTTTTACTATAAGAGACCACCAGAACTTCAGATAGAGCTCCAGATCTAAATGGCAAAAAGTTAGATCAGATGAAGTTAAGCATATGCCTTTCCTTTCTCCAGTATTTATAAAGATTACCTTTTTTGTAAATACTGTAATTATCTGGAGTTATCTCTGACTGTACAGAATACATACAGCCAATGTTAAAAAAAGAAAAGAAAGTGTCATTCCAACATCCACATTATATCAGATCTGTGTTGCAGAGTACCAATTGTTTTGTTCAGATTTGTTGTAGAGGGAGATGAAAAAAGTCACTGCAAGGAAATCTTTAGGTAAATAAAATAAATGAGTCACCATGTCACACCCCATTTTTTGATCTTATTTGCAAAATGGGAATAAATATTAACAGAGCTGGTGGAGTCTTTTTTCTGCTTTAATGTGTAATAGCCTTGAGCAACAAGTGCAGTGATAATGTTGTAAGCATGAAAGCTGATTATTTTTTAGTTTTTTCCCTCGAAACTGGATTATATTTCAGCCTTACAATTAAAACCCCATATTGTGAACTAGTACATACTGTACCATCTCCCTAGAGAATGACTGACAGGTACTCAGAGAGGGTGGTTTTGATGACTATGGAATGATGCGATTATGGAGGTGGTGTTTCTGGCGGTGACTTAACCTCATGATATGACTCATCTTTCATAAGACTGGCTGCATTGGAAGAATTGGAAAACGGTTTGTTCCAGGATACTCACGTGCTCCTCTTTTTCTTTTTTTCTGATATGAACTCCTGCACTCACTCACTTTCATTTGTAACTTACATTGTAACTGATAGCAGGTTCTGTCATCTGATGGATGGCTGACAACACAGATGCTAATAACATGTTTTAGCAGAATAACTGTAACAAATTCACTAAATACTGACAGATGTCTGGCTCCACCCACTGACTTTCCTCACATGCTTTCTCTTTTGGATTAACTCAGTAAATACATATTTTGTGTGTAGGGTTGTGTGTGTGTGGGTGTGTGTGTGTGTGTGTGTGGGCGGTTGGCATTTGGAGTTCTGCTTCTTCTTTGCGAAACAGAAATAAAACAATGCTCAGTATGTTTAAGTTCTTGTAGACTAACTCTCCTGTGACTTCTGTTTCACCTCAGGCGGTTCTTGTGGACCGCAAACGTCAGTCTCATCGCCACTGCAGAGTTTACTGAGCATTATTGACTAAGGAAGTGAAGTACATTTCACAATAAACCACAGGCGCTGCATATTCTCCACGACATATGGAGGTGAAGTTCTAACCTCGCTTCTTCACATGAAATACAGTGAGAAATCTGAACTACCAAAAAGGCTCACAGACAGCAGGCAGCAACCCCAACATATGAAATGCTCTCTTTTTGCACATCAGAAGCTTCAATATTTAGTTGTTGGGTTTTTTTTCTTTCTTCTTTGTTTTTGTTTTTTGCAAGCAGCAAAATTTTATAATTGTCTTCATGTTGCACTTTGAGCACAATGGGAATTGGGCCTCAAAGGACAAAAAAATCTATTCTTGAATTAATCTTTTACTGTATATGCTTATAGGCTATAAATATAAACATAGATAATCAACTCATGAATTCATTCTATTGCATTGCTAATGTAGTCCATTATAGAAAAACTAAACTGTGCAGCTCTGAGAGTGATGGAGCTGCTGTAGATTGTGTGAGCATTATCACCACCAAGCGGTTGGTTTTTAGTATTGCACCTCTTTGATGATGCTGAGTTACACGCTCGCTTGCTTATGTAAAAACCCACGGGTGAAGTAGCGGCACTGAAGGGGTGAATCAGTCCATGCGCAGCAACAGACCCGCTGCCTCACGTTCAGGTCATCAGCAGGAAGCCACAGGAAGTCGGGATGACCGTCCAAAAGATGCATCTCATCCTCCTGCATGTGTGTAGCATCATCAACGTCTGTCAATGACGGTGGTTAAACTGTGAAACGTCATTCGAGTATAGAGACCCACTGTTCTCTAAAAGTTAACTGTGCTTCTGGACCAAGAAAAGCAGCGTTTCCCCACCCGTTGGATTCATCATGACGGGATGAGCCTGCTGTAAAAGGTGGGGCTGGATCATCGTGACCATGTGTGCTCTCCCTCTCTCATCCTCTCTCTGGTACTTTACTGTACTGCACAGATTTAGCTTCATCACTCAAGTGCAGACTAAAGCCCACTCATGATGATGATGATGTGGGAATTGTGATTTGGCTTTAAATCAATTGCTATAGGCCCAATGTATATAGTGTCACCTTGATCATGGTTCAATGTCAATATGCTCATTGTTTCAACTACAAGAAGCAGAAAAAAACAGTAACCTATTTGTCTTCGTACTAACAGACAATTATGGGATAATAAAGCTACATTAAAGCTAATATTTCTGTATTTACACACTAACAAAACTGTGCACTAACTTTTTTTTTTTTAATTAGACAGACCATCATGTCAGGCTCCTCTGACACTTTAAAGTTTCATCTCCCCACCCACGGCGATTCCATCCTCAGCAAAATGAACGCTCTGAGAGAGGATCGCCGCTTCTGTGATGTCACACTACTCCTTGGTGGTCCTCAGGGCGCCACTGTCCAGCCTCTCCGCTTCCACGCTCACAGAGTGGTGCTCGCAGCATCCTCGGATTTCCTCCGTGACCAATTCCTGCTCCACGAGGGCCGGGCAGAGCTGAGTGTGGGTGTGGTGTCCAGCGTGGAGGTTGGTAAGAGACTGCTCCTGTCCTGCTACACTGGGCTCCTGGAGGTACAATATAATCTACAGCTTCTCTGAACTATACAGAGCAGAATATCCAGAATATATAGCCACATCCTCAGGTTTCCTGTTTTACTGTGCAATCAAGATGAAATTAAAAACACATCAAAAAACAAAGTGTCAGAATGACAGGATAAAAGAACAGCATCAAGAGTTGTCGAATCAAAACAGAAATAAGGAACAAACATGCTGTGACAACAACAAGAGTGAGTGGTATGATATGAAAGTGATATGAAAAGTTATAGATGACTGAGAGGACTTTAATCAGGGTTATAGTTGTCTGGTGTGCATGTTTAAAGTCTGCAAGGGGAAGTTTGATTTGAATCTTGTGTTGTTGTTTTTTTCTTTGTTGTTTTACTTGATTTCCATGATATATCTATTACTGCTACAGGTCCCTCTGAGGGAGCTGGTGAGCTACCTCACTGCAGCCAGTGCGCTTCAAATGAGCCAGGTGGTGAAGAAATGTTCCCAGGCTGTGTCCCAGTACCTTAGTCCAACTCTGGCTTTCTTGAAATTGGAGGGACCATCAGAAGAGAAGGAAATCCTGCAGCCAGACAGTGGCTGGCCAGGCCCCAGTTCAAAAAATCAGGAGGAAAGGGATGCAGCCCAACCCAGCACCAGTATCCAGGAAACAATTACCGAGGGAGGGGGAGCGATTGTGATTCAGTCCAAGTTGAGGGTGAGTCAGGCAGCCAAGGTGCATAATCAAGGACTGAGAGAGGTTAGAGGGGATAGGAGAGTGGTTAAAGCTAAAATAGAAGACACAGCATGTTGTCTCAACATGCTTGAGTCAGAGGACGGTGGAGGCATCCTGGCTGTTCACACAAGCAAGCCATCCTATCAAGTTCACCACATTACAGAAGCCTTAAAATGTAATCTACACCCTCCTACAGCTGTCCGAGATCATATATCCTCCACAACCATGGGAAGTTCTGCTCAACATGAAGAGGTGGTGGACAGCTCCCGAAGCCCGGATGAAACTCTCTCAGTGGCAGCTCAACTGCAAGAACGTGGAGAGCTGATGGATTCCAATATATTTGGCCTCTCTCCAGCACATCTGTCAAAGAGTCATTGTTCTGGAGATGAGCTGACAGATGATTCAGACTGCAAATTGGTCCAGAGACCATACCTGTGCAGGAGGTGTGACAGAGTCTTCCAGCACTTGGAGAGCTACATGGGGCACTTGAAGGAACACAGACAGTACCTGTGTTTAGTCTGTGGGAAAGGTTTTTCCCAGAAGAGTAACCTGTCTCACCACATACACGCCCACACCGGTGTCAAGCCTTTCAGATGCCCGTTGTGCCACAAGACATTTTCTCAGAAAGCCCCGCTGCAAGACCATCTCAACCTGCATACAGGGGACAGACCCCCTAATTGTAACTACTGTGCTGTGCACTTTGCACACAAGCCAGGCCTCAGACGCCACCTGAAGGATACTCATGGTAAGAGTAGCCTGCAAAATTTGCTTGAGGATGCTTTGCACTGACAATGAAGTCGCACTTTTAGTTTATGTTTAGTTAATGCAGTTGGTCTTAATAATTGTTTAAAGGTGTCAGTACAGTGTCAACACACAATAAGCAATATGTCACAAATGATTCTGACATTTAGGGTAATAGAGAAAAGGTATGTCAATTAAAAGAAATACATCATTTTGTGTTACATTGATTTTGAGCAAAAAATGCTGAGTGCAGATGATCTCACTTCCTGCTACATCAGTGTCTTCCATTACACAGAGTGAGAATCAATGAGTTAATGCATTTGCATTGTAAGATTTGGTCATGGAAAGTAGTGGGTTGAGGGACCCTATGTGCCTTGTGCAGTGTTTTCCTCATCTCTGTGGATACCGTCTAGTGAATCACATCTAGTAGCATGCAGTGTACAAATTCTATTATGGTATATCATCTGCCTTGTATAATAGTAGATGCAGTCTCATTGAGGGTTGAGATAGACATTGTTTCCGACACCTCTGAGACAGCTGCTGCATTTTATAGTATGTACAGACAAGAAAATATGAGCCTCTGTTCCCTCTTCAACCAAAGATTAGTATGCTATTACAATAAGATGAGATAGATAGATAGATAGATAGATAGATAGATAGATAGATAGATAGATAGATAGATAGATAGATAGATAGATAGATAGATAGATAGAAAGAAAGAAAATCACTGCTTCACCATTTGGCCCCACTGAAATTGTGTGCAGCTCGCTGAGCATTATGTTATAAGTGAGTGGGTTGTCCCACATGGCTGAGAGGGTTTCCACGCTCTCTCTAACTCCGTTCCTTCCCTTCACATCTCTCCTTTTCTCTTTCTTTTATCCTTTCGGCCCAGAAATGTCATTGTCACTCATCTCAGTGAATGGAGCACTAGTTGTCGTCCTCCTCAGGGCATCTGAGGCGCCACGGGCAGGAAATTTGTGAGTCTGTGTGCAGACAAATAATGAATGCACAGTGGAGTGCGCATATTTGGTACAAAAATTACTGTGACTATGTGAGTTTGTGTGAGTGAACAAGAGAGCCAGAGAATACACAGACATATAGTCAAAGATGCACCAAAGAAAATGTGTATGAAAAGTGTATCAACCAAATTCAGCTTGCATTAAAAGTGAAAGCCACACCATACCCCAGAACAATGTGCACACAATACAGTGATATTCTCATCTGTGAACATAAGTCACACATCGTCTGTGATAGGATGTTGATGGAATTAGCTGGACAAATAATTTACACTTAATTTGACATGTATCTGCCTGGAGTAGGTCAAAATACATCCATGCACACACAATTTACACACACAGACAAACATAAAATGTGGCATTCAGGGTACCTCCATTATGAATGAGAGACAGAGGTATAAAATATGAGGGTGATGAAGGCAATGGGAAAGATAGAGGAGTAGTAGATACAAAGATGGGAATGAATAAAAGAAGAAAAAATAAGATAAAAGTCATTAGGATATTGAGAAAAAGCATTTTCTTTGGTCTTATAATAATTAAAACCTAAATTTTATATGCATGTGTATGACCATTACTTTACCTGTTTACTCTGATGATAGCGGGATATATGGTTTTCACAAGAGGTCAAGATGAGCCACAAGGAAGAAGCATGAAGCGAAAGAGCAGCCCCCATCCCTCCTCCTAACCCACAGCTGCTTCTGTAGAGCTGAGTAGAGCTGTTCAGTGGCCAACTGATCAAACAGCGGTTGGTCAGTTGTGAGTGTGTGTAACTGTGTGTGTATATAGAACAGGCAATTCCTGAGAAAGATGCTCTCAGCAAGACTACCTTTGAATAATAAAACTCTAAGCATCACAGTGAAATGTGTTTCTGTCTGATGTTTCTCCAAAGCTAGAAATCACAATAATCATCTTTCAACAACATGGAAATTCAAACTACTATTCAGACACTCAGTACAGCTGAGGCAGATTTGTTTTTATTGATTTTTATGTTCTGTGCGAATAACAGCTTAACTTTCTGGCCATAGATGTGACATAGATGGCCATTAAGACATAAACTAATTATTCTGCTTTTTGATTTAATTGAGTTTTTCTCTAAAGCTACTCTGTAATGATGGCCCAGTACAAGGCCCACTGGGGATCATCTCGTTTCATCGTGTAAAAGAGATTTTGTGTGACAACAAAAAAAAAAGAAGTAGCGTTTTTTGGAATTGCCTGTGATTTTCTTCAATCAAAAAAGACTCACTATTAGGGCCTGGGTTTCTTGAAAACTCTATGGCACTGTGTTAGTTTTGTCAAGATATAAATTAAAGGTGAGGTGTTAAAAATGAATTTGTGCTTTTACTGCAGTGGGCTGACCTCCTGATCCCACGTTTGCAACACTGACTGGCCACTTTGATAATAATCAGCCGCTCTGAGTATGCCAACAGCTCATTCCAGACAGCGAGTCACACATGAGTGAAGCACCCAAATAAAACATTCAGATAGTTAGGTCCAATTATTATTTAACTTATCCAGACTCATTGACAGGCTCATATGAGATTGAGTTCCTTCCAGTCCCAGATGCATCACTTAGTAGCACAGAAATGACTTATTCTTTAGCCTCAGTCTCCATCAGTTTTGCTGAAGTAATAATGCATCATACCATACCAACCTTCTATGAAGACTGTTGCATTTGATGACAATAAGGTTGTGGCCAGAACTGAGCCCAGAGAAAGCAGCACAACAACAATTTTCTGCCCTGATAAACAGACTTTAGGATTAAAGTTTTTATTCTCTATATAGAAAGTATATAACATGGTTACAGCTGAAAAATATGATTTTGCACATATGGTAAACTGTAATCATATTATATAGGCTTTCCTCTCCTGTAGTGGACAGCAGGTCCGTAAAGTATGACACAATTATAAACACCAGAGGTAAATGGCCACATGGTCAACGAGCCAGTTAAATGCTATGGAGATGCCTGGCTAAATCCATTATAATGTGCAGGATGAAGCTATCTAGCTAATAGGATTACAACTGTAAGCTAGTCAACATAGTCCATTGTTTTATTGACCACTGCAAGCACTACAAACAGCAATAAATGAAAGGCAACTGGATTATTAGATTTGAATATATTCACTTACTTTAAATGTAATAATAGCCTAATAATGCAAATTTAATTCAAGTCAATTCAAAATATTTTTTTAGACACATGTTATATGCTTTGGTTACGGGAGAGTAAACAGAGGTGGGGAAGGCACCCTGTGCTGAGGCATGTTTTTTCTTCTACTCCACTTCTCTAAATGCAGAGCGACAATAAAGCGAGCGGGAACTACATGAGTTTGTTAGTGTGTGAACTTCCTCTCGACACGCGCACTTGTCGAAGCGCATCCTCTGCTACTGCTGCTGCTGCTGCTGCTGCTCTGCCTCTCGGTCTGTTCCTTTAAAACCAGACAGCCCACGCCTCGAAAAGCGGCTTGTTCCGGCTTGCCCCTTTACATCTTTTTTATCCTTGCTCGCTATTAAAATAGTGCCCTGCGCTGCTCCTCTGACAATTACCCACAAGCCATTTTTGTTAAATCGTCGGATCGAGCTAACAAAACCGCGTCACCGGGGCCGAAGTATGGATGATGCGTAGCCGTGCAGCAGCTCTCTGCCTGTGCATCCCGGTGGTGAGTGCGAGGCGCATTTCAGGCACCATCACCGGCGGAGCGATACAACCATCTCCTCTCAGCCCCGGTTTGTCAAGCTGAGGGTGTGTGGCTCGCTGTACCTGAGTTGAACGTGTCCATCACGTACTAAAGGGGGGCAGAGGATCAAAACTGGACCAAGGGACCTGTGTCTAATGCTCTGAGATGCAGTGCCAAATCGCTCTCGAATCAAGAACTGTCTCCCTGGGCTGGCTGCTGCGGTTGTTTTGCATCTGATGAAGATTGTTTTTTTTATTATCATTATTTTGATGCGCTCCTGTGGATGTCTATGAATATGTTTATCCTGGTGCTCTGGTATAGTGCGTGAGGTAAGTGACTTATCCAGAGGTGCGCGCTACTTTCTCCTGCACCTCTAATTGAGATTTTGTTTGATGTGTGCAAAGCCCGTTTACTTGTTTTTGTTTTCCTCCGCTGAAGATTAGAGATCCTTTAGCACCTACAGATTTCAGAAATTATATATACACCTGGAACTATTCAGCTCCCAGCTCATCACCAATTTCTGCAACTGGTGCTGATGGAATATTACAAGAAGCAGGTTGTATTGAAATGATGGGCCCGTATCTTATAGTCAGTTGCCAATGCAAACCAGGGTTTATTTTAGAAAGAGTTGAGGCACTCATTGCATGCTCTAAATGCAGCATGAAACTGTAGATATGCTGCTGTAATGGTGGAGACTGGTTGGTGCTACGTCCCGAGCATGGTGATAGGAATTTGTGCAAATTCATAGAGCAACATCACTTAAAGTGATTCCTGAGCTGAAAGCTGGGTAGTTTTAGCTCAGGTGTTGCATATTATTTACTGTAGCCTTCAGCTTGAAATGCAGCACTGTCATCATAAAGTTTAAGTATGCAGCAGCCTGTCATGACGGAGGTTACTCTATAACCTGCTGATTTGTAACTTGAAGCAACCTGATATTCTGACAATATTATCGAAGGCTGTAACAAACTGATGGTTCTCTAAGACTGCATATAGCTCCTGTTACTGCAGACACGTCTCACAGGCCTTTACTGTATATATGTTGTATAATATAGCAGCATCTGAGCTATACGTTTGCCCTGCCTCCCATCCAGACACTACCCCCACACACTGTGATGACAGGCATTATGAATAAATAATCTCACAGACCCACATATCTCTACTGTACACTCAAAAACAAGTGAGCAGACATGGTGAAACCACTGTAGTAATCCTGTAATAAATTATGGAGCAGCACATTGCAAATATCACAGGAAAATACCCACTTCGCCACCATTGAAATATGTGTATGATGATGTGTATGATGGTGTGTGATGTGATGTTATGTCATTTCTGCTTGTTCATTTTGTTATCTATACACTTCCCAGCGTGCTGTTTACTGGTGTTTGTGTGCCTGTTGAGAGTCTGTCAAGAGATTAACAAGCTTCATCAGTTCTTAGTGTTAAAGTTTAACTTTCTCTTCATCATTTATGTGCACACTGAGTTGACAGGCATTGTTTTCACTTTACAGTCGAGAAGTGCTGCTTCCCAACCCAACAGAAAATAGAAAGCTTAGAGTTTTTGTTCATATAAACACAATCTTATTTAATTCATTGCACTTTGTTATCAACATTGTAAGACTCGGGCTCAATTTACTGTTTGTTCTTCTTAGCTTGTATGACTTTAAACTGACAGTTAAGTATTTCAGGGTTTTGTTTTTTTCAGCAATGTGGTGGGTGTGAAGTTTCAGTGTTGTGCTGAAACCCCACTATGTTGTTCCCAGAAGGCTGTGCAGTTGGGTTTATGTTAAAATTCTGATTGTACTTCATGTTGCTGAGGGGGCTGCGTGGGTCATGCAGATGTACTGTAGTTGGGGGGGGGGTTAAAAGGTCATTAGCACAAGTGAAGCAAAGTGAGTTGTCATAACCAAAGTTGGCTCATTAAAACAGTGTGTGTGTGTGTGTGTGTGTGTGTGTGTGTGTGTGTGTGTGTGTGTGTGTGTGCGCTTCATAAAGTGAGTGAACTAAAGCAGTGCTACTGTCTTGCAGAATGAGACCGGGATGTTTACTGTGGTCATTGTTTTGTACTGATTAGAGTCTTCAGTAATAGGGACTCAGTTGTTGAAAAGTTTTTGTGTATTATCTGCATCTCAGGTGAAGACACCAACCCGCCTCTCTCTCTCTCTCTCTCTCTCTCTCTCTCTCTCTCTCTCCCACACACACACACACACACACACACACTCACTTGCTTCATGGAATGTTCTAATTCGGGGGTCTCAGTGACGGTGAGAAGGAGTCGGCGGTGCTCATATTACTTCACCTCATGCTCCATGGTGGTGTGTGAGTGTATGTGTGTGTAGTGTGTATGTCCATGTATCCATTTATGATCTCTTTTTCGTGTGCACCTCTATGTGTTCATGTGTAACAGAACAGTTTCTGGGGATGATATGGGTGTTCATCCATCAGATGACGCAACGCTAATTCAACCACAATGAGACAGCTCCTTCCTTATCTCTGCTACTGGTTGTTGTGGCTCTACAAACTGGCCAATTCTTTTACTTTTAGATGACTTTTTGATATTTTCTCACCTTTAGATGACAGTTTGTTGTCGAGATTGGCAGGAAACATGGAGGGAGAAAAAGAGGAGGAAGAAAAAATAGCTCCCAGAGATTTTGCATTTCTATGGTGTGCGTCTTAGACGCCATGAGGAAGCTCCAAGCCTGTAGCTGTCAAAGCTAATCTATCTCGTCACTTTGTCAAATACTTCAAACAGCTTATTAAGTTTCTAATTTTGTATAAACTGGCATTGTTTGGCTTAAAATCCTAATACTTTACATGAAATGGCATACAATTAGTACTTTACATTAGTCCCTGATGTGTCTCTCTGCAGATACTGGGGTACATTAGAGGTAACTGTGTCACCTCACTCTACTGGGCTGACAGAAATTGTTGAGTAGGAGTTACAAAGTGACAGTTAAATGTCATGGCACAGCACAATCAGAGACTAATGCCCCCAAGGATACACAGAGAAAACACCATATACACACACACACATGCACACACACACACACACACTCACACTCACATTAGGTCAAAACAACCACATCCCTCTATCATTACATGCACAACCTTAGCTCTTACTCAAACTATAACCTGATCCTTCATGTCTAGTGGGTGTGTACCGCTTTGATAAGCCTCCCATTGGCTGACTGCTGTATTCTGCTTCCTTCCGTGCTCCCTTTCAGTTGCAGTTTTCAAAGTCCATGTTTTTATGGGAAACATTCACAACAAAGGCTCAAGCTAACAAGCTACATAATGCCTGAATACTGAGGTAAAAACTTGTATCATTCACAATGCTGAAGCCATGTGAAAGATCAAAAATATTTCACCTGTGGAATGATATTTTGTAAGCGCTCTGGTAGGCTGAGCACAGTTACGTCCTTATGTTTCCTTTAAAGCATCATGTGAAACAACTGTTTTTTTGTCAGCTGCATACCAGATTAATTCTACCTTTTTTTTTTCCACCTGACCTTTTTCATTCGCTGGCGCTGCTCAAACATGGTGGGGAGATCTGGCAATGTGAGAACATCAACCTTTACCCTTAAGTTAACCTAATTTTAACCCAATCATAAACCTAAACCTAAGTCCAAACGATAAAGACAGTTGAAAAGTGAGGACAGCCTGAAATGTGAAAAACATCTCATACCTCAAAGTTCTGAAGAACACTCTCAAAACAATCTCTTTCTTTCTCTTTCTGTCTGAGACATGCCAAAGGAAACTCCAGATGCCCTCCCCCACTCAGACGGGGGCCAAGCGAGGACTCACTGTCCTGAGCCAGATGATAGCTCGCCAACTGTTGGCTGTAAAGACACAATGTACTTCTCATCCTCCGCTCAGTAGAGTGGGTGGCTCAACAGGCCAGTACAGCCAATCATTGCTTAGGTCTACAAAGCCCTCTTTCAACAATTTGAGGGATATTTTGCTCTTAAAATTGGACGTGTAATGTGATGCGTCTGTCTTGATGCTGGGGTGTGTTTAAAATGGCACATCCTCAAGTTTCCCTTCACTTCAAAGCATGGAGTAATGCACTCTAGGTACCCAACTGCAGGCACAAACAAGTCAGAGAGAATGAAAACAGAGCTCAAAGGTCGATTTCCTCATTTTAAAATAATCAGCTAGGGAGAAGAGCCTGATGAGGAAGTTGAGGTCTGCTGTAATAATACAGCACACCCACCTCTCCCTGTCACAAGACTGGACTTATTCATGACTGTGGGGGCTTCTCTTGTGTGTACCTGCATGTTGCATGCTTATGCACATGAGTAATGATCCATTCATGCAATTACTGGAAGTTTTGTGTACATCATATTCTGTAGTCCCCATGTCATGTGGGGTGTTAATGCATATTTTAATCTTACTGCGATGTGGCAGTGTTAAGGGTAGTGAAGGCCCACTGTGTGTGTGTGTGTGTGTGTGTGTGTGTGTGTGTGTGTGTGTGTGTGTGTGTGTGTGTGTGTGTGTGTGTGTGTGTGTGTGTGTGTGTGTGTGCAGGAATAATTTCTGCACAGAGACAGACAGGCAGTGGTAGAGTGCGAGCTAAGGCCAGGCTTCTCGTATTCTGCCAGGGACTCTCTGTTGAACAGGATGTAGCAGTTGCTCAGAGCAGGAACAGGTGGCCGTCAACGTGACTACAGCAAGTGGATCACGGTTAACAGTTGCCCCTAGAGTTTGCACCACTCCCTGATCTGCAAGCTCACAGAGAAAAAGGGGAGTTTTATCCAGACTCCCGAGCCAAGATAAGAAATCCCCACCATCTTCGCCCATACCCCCCCACCCCCCATCCCCTCCCACTCTTCCTCACACGGTGGTTCAGCACTTTGTGGGCTACAATAGCTGTAATTGGTGTTATATTTGGGCTCCTCGCGGAAGGAAATATGATCCACGGGGACAGAGCGGAGCTGTCCACGCGGCCAAGGAGGCAACGCTGGCACCGCTGGCACCGCGTGCTGCGGGCAGTTTGGAAGGTGCGTAGAACTGGTGTAATAATTGGCCGGTCGCCATAGATAGGCTATATATACATATGATACGGTGGATATTAAAATAAATTCTGTGATGAATGATGGTATATTTGTAGTTTAATGTGGCGTGCGTAATGCGGATAGTTCCTCTTTCTCTTTCCATTGGACCTTCTCTTCTAACGCGTTCATGTTGTAAAGAGACTGGTGTAAGTTATTTTTTCATATAAGTTTGTTTTTCAGGCTCAGACAGTTCTTCCAAAACGTAGTGGGGGTGGGGTGGGGTGGGGGTCTTTATTGTGGGTTGGTATTGTTCCAGACGAGTAGCATGGTCTTTTCATGGGACACAGACATACACTGTAGTGATTTGACAGATATCCTAAATATACATCTTGTTGTTAACAGGTTGGGTTCTGTGCACATGTAGGGGATACAGGATGCACAGGCTCTCACATTGGCTGCAGCATATTTTCAAATCAGTTAAACTACGTGATTTGTCCTCTCTAATCTCAGTTATTCTCTCTTATTTACTTATCTCTCTCTCTCTCTCTCTCTCTCTCTCTCTCTCTCTCTCTCTGTGTGTGTGGGCATTATTTTACTGTATCTCTAACCCCATTTGCATAGATAATTTCCAAGCTTTTTTGTGGCACCTGCTCTCTGAGGGTACCTGCTGTTATGTCTGGTGAGCAGTTTGAACAGATGCAACAGGCTCTGAAAGCAACAGGTGCTGGCTGTCTGCACGCTGTGTCCAAAACACTTTGCATTATTGAGTCAAAAGGATAGTGGTGTTCTTTTTTTTTTCTTTTTTTTTTTTTATGTTGGCCTGTATTTATGTAAGATTTTGCTTTCAGTTAATGGGATGATACATGAAACAGCATACAGGAGGTCACAGAAAGAGTAACAAAATACCCTATTGTACTGTACCATTACGTAACAGGAGGCACATTTCCTGGTATGGCATGTTTTCAAAAACTGTACAGAGTGGAATATTTGAGTAAGAGTGACTAGAATTCAACAGAATTCAGAAAGTATACAATCAAACGAAAGCATGAATCATGAATCATCACAACTCTTATATTATATGTGAGTGTTGTTGTTATTGTGTGTTCATCACCCATAAGCAGGATGGTTTTAAAGCTGCAGATATCAACAAGCAAAGCTATAGGTTTGTAAAGGGGGCTCATTTAGATCTGATGACTACTTCACTTTGCTTCTCAGTAGGCTCTGCAGTTCTTTGAATTTCTGAGGCTTTAAGACACAATACTAGAACATAACACCGTTACCAAAATATGAATCATGCATTCATGTGCTTTGGTGTGGAGGTGTGGGTCAGTTGAAGCATGAGTCTCTCCCCCCTCTTGACAAGAATCACCTTCAAATGTTGTTTCCCCTAGCAGGGACTGATGTGTTTATAGACTACTGAGAGCCCAAATATATAAATAACCTGTTATTAAAGTTTAGGTTTGCCATTAACTCAAATTTCCTAGCATGTTGGTCAGTTCAAAAATCTGTGCTAAATAAAGGATTTGATTTAAATGCAGTGTTAGCTTTGTCAAAATATAGAAAGTAAAACTAAAATTAGTGTCTACAGAATATTTATTTGTCCTAACTCCTTCCATCCATTTAGAAGTTTACTTTTTGATGCTGGTGGTGGTGGAGTATATTTTTTATTTTAATTTGTCTGGATCATGTATTTTGGCATTGTGTCTGGTTTAATACAGTCTTCTGGACTGTCCCCACCAAATAAACTGAATGAGAGTCGGTTGTAAAAGATGCTTTGGAACATTTGACATAAACAGAGATTTTGGCCTACAAACAGAAAGTTGGTATTATTCAGCCTCATCTGTCTCAATCTGCAGATACTGTCTGTGTTTATCAACAGTCTGTGCAATGATTTACTCATGCACTATTGTTATGATTCAACATGAGCTCAGCCTTTATTAGACAGAAGAAGAGGATATGTTTTAAAGAGTAAAATTGGAAGCTAAGATGATTCCGTGTGACTGATTTTGCTCTCAAATTATTGCTCAGTATGCATTCCTGGAGTTTTATTTTTGGGCTCTATGGGAGATAATTTGTCTCCACCCCTTGTTCTTAAATGATCTTTTTCCTTTTGTGCTCTTACAACATATATTACTCTGTTGATGAAGAAAACAAAACTGTGCTCAAACAGCTGGTTTGCTGTCCTATATTTGTTATGGATTTAGTGTAATTAAATTAATTTAGTTTTTCATCTTACTGTTAGGAGGGTAGAATCAGTTTATCATAATATTTCAGTTATTAGAGTTCAGCACAGCAACATTAGGCTAATTCTGTGTACATATATTCATATATATTTATAGACTTGGACTTGATACAGTACAAATTGTGTTCACAGAAAGGTCTTTATGTATTTCCTGTTAATGCAACATGGGTTGAGATTGTGGCCACTATTTTATAGAAAATTAATAAATGTATGACTTTTATAATGAAAGAGACTGAAGACTGCCTGTGTGCTCAAAGAGTAATAATATTAATGCTACTCCTTCATCTGCTGGACCCTAGGGATTGAATGATTATCGGATGCAATATTCAGCATTTTTCCGATTATTGGAATTTTTGTAACCTATAACCAATTTAAAATGAGCTACTTTGGCTGTAATGCAAACACTTGTCCCTGTCTATAGTCACCACTCTGTGGTCTGGAATGACCCACCCACTGCAGCATCCGATTGGTTAGACTTCACAAGTAGTAGCCTATCACGCTGAGCAGCTGCGGTTAGCAAGTGGAGTTGTGTGGTGACGGTTAGACAGCAGACATCGCTGAAGTTGTAATAAACATCACAATTCTGTACAGTGAAGTTACAACAACACTACACTCTGACGAACAGGTTCATCTGTTGATCCAAGACACATCGAGCAAGAGAGAGAGACAGAGAGAGAGAGAGAAGCCATTGCTAATTGCTAAGCTAAAGTAACTAGCTAACTACTACTACTACTGCTACTAATACAACAGTCCTCCAGTATATTATAATGATAAGATTATAATGTTTAGTTTGTAATAAAATAGTTTTAGACAGTTGTTGATTCAACTGTATGATCAGACGTAAGCGAACATCCTTGTTTGATACAGGACCCAACAAAAATCACAACCTTTTTTTTTTTGTCAGTGATAATGCAAAAATTACCATTCTAACTGAAATCGTGACACGTATCACAATCGCAATATCTGCCAATATAATTGCACTATGACTTTCACATATCGTTCAGCCCTATTACAAAGTACAAAAGGAGTGTAATGCTTTTCATTTATGCTGTACTAGCTATTGTGGAGGTTATGTTATTGTGATTGCAAGCACAATAGGATTATGTTCTTATAGTGTTGAGTAATGCCATATGGTGTTTTTTTTCTACAGTATTTTTCATGCTGGTCAGTGCACAAAAACTATCACTAATTAACTCCAACCCCAAGTAAGCAGTATATTATAAGCAACTATAAGAACATTTTAAGTGTTTATTAATGTACAGTGATTTAAAGATTCATATATTTCCATATTAAATTATTACAGCTGTGTTTTATCATATTCTCATTCTTTATTTGTTTATATTACGTGCATCCAGATACGGGTGTTTCACAGGAAGACAACTATTGACAATTCAATTACTATACATCATTATGTCCTGTCTCTCACAGTCACCGTCGGCGAGCAGGTGCTGTTGTCGGGGCTCGTTGACATGCATTCCCCCTGAGCTTGGCGACGCCTCCCTCAGTGGTGTGGTGGCAGAATGCCAGTGCAGGCAGCCCAGTGGACAGAGTTCCTGTCCTGTCCCATCTGCTACAATGAGTTTGACAGCAGCGGCCACCAGCCCATCAGCCTGGGCTGCTCCCACACGGTGTGTAAGACCTGCCTACACAAACTGCACCGCAAAGCCTGCCCCTTTGATCAGACACCAATCAGCACGGATATCGACATGCTGCCGGTCAACTGTGCCCTGCTGCAGCTGGTTGGAGCTCAGGTGAGTCAGGAAGAGTGGACATGTGTTTATGCATGGGTCAATTGAGAGTGTCACAGTGAGAAAAACTCAATCTTTTGTCCCCTGTCTGTGTGTTTAAATGTCTTGTGTTCTTGTGTGTGCTATGATCTGTGCTTCTTAGGTTCCAGATGTGCAGCCCGTGAGCCTGAGTAGTGCGGCAGAGGTGGAGCACTATGAGGTCTGCAGGGTGTGTGTAGAAGAGCTGGCTCTCTTCTTGAAACCTATCAGCGGAGCAAAAGGTAGTGTGTGCGTGTTTGTGTGTGCATGTAAGAATTTGAGATCTGTGGACATTTGCGAAAGCGAATTAAGCTCTTGGTATGTAATGTGAGGGGGCTGCAGCTGAGCTGCCTGTGTAACTTGGCATTCATGCTTATCACACTTGTCATGACGCCTGAAAGCTTCTGTACTTTTACAGTACTGAAGGAAAATTCAACTCTCTGCATAACCAGATAAGAAATGTTAACTTTACTAAAATTGACCGGTAGTTCCGGTTCTTAGTGCAGCCAATTCTGGGTGACGGTGCCATGGTAGCATTCATCATTCTTGGTTAATAACATCATTTGGACAATTGACACGCATAAATGACAGAAAAGGAGAATTTGGTGGTGAGGTTAGATGTAAGAAGAAGCTCTAAGGCTCATCCCTTCCAAGAAGAGGCCTTTAAATCCACCGACAGAGCTGGTCATAACAGACTTATCTGCCCCACTCTTCTTTTTGGGTTGGAGGATGAAGTTTCTTTGTTTCATTGTTTAATCCAATTGAATACGGCCGATAACTAAAGTATATTTTCTCATTGTGAAGAAGCTCCACAGATACACTGTTTTACCACAGAGCTTTCACCTACTGCAGGGGTGGCGACCCTGAGTCCGAGCGTGCTCAGTCGGCCCATGCAGAGGAAGCTGGTGACCTTGGTGAACTGCCAGCTGGTGGAGGAGGAGGGCCGTGTGCGGGCGGTGCGGGCGGGCCGGTCGCTGGGGGAACGAACGGTAACAGAGCTCATCCTGCAGCACCAGAACCCCCAGCAGCTCTCTGCCAACCTCTGGGCAGCTGTGAGGGCGCGTGGATGCCAGTTCCTGGGACCTGGTGAGTGCGAATGGCAAACAGAGGAACGCATAAATCTGTGAGGCAACGTAATACATGTCATGTGTAAGACATGAATGTAACAAATGACATTTTAGACTGGTTCAACAAATTTTATTGTTTCATAACTGTGAGTGAGACTTGCATAATGATGCATAAGGATTAAGCTTTTGGATCTTGTCTTGTAAATATCATCAACAAGACATTTAAAACTATCATTCAGGTTTAAAAGTAATGAAGGCTGCTGTGGACTACTTTACTCACCTTAAGCTTTTTGTGACCTGTAAAATGTACAATAACGCAAAGTTTTGAGAACATCTTGTTTGTGTAAGTATAATTTTTATAAATAATTCACCCTTTTCAGCTTGGTTAATCTCAATTCTGTAGCTTTTTCTAAGATATTATCACTCATTACAAAATGTGATTACAGTGAGCGTGTTACTTGACTGTTAAACATCCAAACTGGGAGTTTAATAAATTGCCTTTCAGTTGAATGGACTCGTGTCAAAAAATTGCCATTTTAGATTGCCTCATCAAACTGACTGCTGGTGTCGGTGCCTGGTGTCCTGTGATGATTACTCATAGGGCAGATTCTGACTGAGAAACTGTTTCTCATCATGATAACAGAATGAGTTCATTCAAAAGTCTGAGGACACCTGGTTCTAAGTGTTAGAAAAAGCCTTGGTTTGATCAGTGGAGAAAATTTAAATATGCATTGTTTGGAGTGTTGGCATGCATATGCATGCTCACCTGTGACTGAATGTGTTTGTGCTAAATATTTTTCCCTGATTCTCTTTTCACATCACTCTTTGTCTCTGTCTTGCTTCCTCCCACCATCCCAACCTCCTTCTGTTCGCTCTGTCCCTACATCCCCCTCTAACTCTTCCTCATCAGCTATGCAAGAAGATGCACTGAAGCTGGTTTTACTGGCTCTGGAGGACGGCTCAGCTCTGTCCAGGAAGGTGTTGGTTTTGTTTGTAGTGCAGAAGCTTGAGGCTCGGTTCCCCCAGGCCTCCAAAACCAGCATAGGCCACGTGGTGCAGCTGCTCTACAGGGCCTCCTGCTTCAAGGTACTGAACAGGGAACATGAATGAGCATGTGCACATGGATACACAACAAACCAACAAATATGTGCACATACAAGAACATGTGAGCAAGCTACACTATTAACAGCTCCATTTATAAAAAATTAAAAGCTAGCTCTTTGAAAGTAGTCTGTGTCAAACTGAACAAAAGAACCTCAGTTTGCTGCTGTCCCAAGAACCCAAGCCATAATAAATGACCTGATTAAATGAAGGGTATTTAAATAGATCCTCATTTACCAGTACATATTTCTTTACCCCAGAGACAGTGCTTCAATTTGATATTTTTTTATGTAATCAGTTGTAGAGGTGTTTTCCAAAACTATCATTGTTGGCAGCTAAGTGTAATATTTTCCATGAAATGAACTACCAAATTAGAATAAACAAAAAACACAATTTTCTCATAATTAAACAGTGTCTAAGTGAGCTTTGGAAACCCCCTTTCAACTGCAGATTGTTCCTCAAATTAATATGACCCAATTTGACATTACAGTTATATATTATCACTCCCTAAATACTGATACCAACATCTAATATTGCATAAAAGTCATACTTGTAATAAGGATACGTGCTTCTGCTGATATATTTTGTGTGTGTGGGTATATTTCTGTGCCTGTTATCTGATGACAGACATCGCTGGTAGGGCAGAAATGCCAGCTATCTGCTTGTGATGTAACAGCAGTCTATATTTGCCCTTGTTGCCCTGCCTTGCAGGACAGGGCCAGACAGCACAGAGATGCAAAGAAAGATAGATGAAAGTGCAGGAACAGTGTTTTTCTCAAGGGTGGAGAGCAGCAAGAGCTTTGATAATAATGAAATCTGACTCTGTTCAATTGTTATTTTGACTGTCTCAGTGGTAGCTGTTTGTAAGTGTGCGGGTGTCTTGTGATGATTACTCATAGGGCAGATTCTGAAGAGGGGAGAATCCCTTTGTCTGATCTGAATTTGAGTTCATTAGTCTGAAGACACCTCATACAGATAAACTGAAACTGGTAGGTAGATTCTGTTACAGTTAGTCAGAAAATTACAAGTATGACTTGTGGTACTTGGGACCTCCCAGACCAAAATATAATTTATTATTAAGGAATAAGTCACCCTAACATACCTGAACGTCATATACATGAAACTGCTCCAAACAAGTTAAGAAACATATTCATTTTGGTAAAACAATAACTCAGATTTTGCCTGCCCATACAACCATAAATTATGGCTCTGGCTTCAAACATTTGATAATTATGCTAATAGATATAGAATACTTTAAAAAAAATCTAAATGTTCTTTCTGGGTGAGAAACCAAAATGTAAAATTATCAGCTGCAGCCTACTAAGTTGTAAGTGCCAGGTGTATACTAATGCAGAGTATATACAAAGTGAGTGAAGTAAAATTTTGGGGTGATTATTCTTCCATTTCCTCTGTATCAGAGACAACAAAATACAATAACCATCTAATACATCCATCCTTTTTTTTCTTCCTTGTCTTTTTCCTCACTCACCTTCCTCTCAATTCACCCTCTGTCTTATCCTGTCTCCCTCCATCATCTGTCCTTTCCTCCCTCTCAGGTGACTAAGCGTGATGAGGACTCTTCGCTGATGCAGCTGAAGGAAGAGTTTCGCACATATGAGGCTCTCAGGAGAGAACACGATGCCCAGATTGTCCACATCGCCATGGAGGCGGGCTTACGGATCTCACCTGAGCAGTGGTCTTCTCTGCTGTACGGAGACCTGGTCCACAAGTCACATATGCAGTCCATCATTGATAAGGTACTGTTGTTGCACTTGCCATATTAGTTTCACCATCGAGTATTGATAGAAATCACTTTTAAAATTTCAAATGGTGACTATAACAAACCTCTAGAGAACAGAGGCACAGGAGAAATAAATTTTGTTTTTTTTTTCAAAGACTGATTCTCCTCTTCTATCCTCTGCCACAGTTGCAGTCTCCAGAGTCGTTTGCAAAGAGTGTTCAGGAGCTGACAATCGTCCTGCAGAGGACAGGAGACCCGGCCAACCTCACAAGCCTTAGACCGCACCTGGAACTACTAGCCAACATAGACCACAATCCAGGTACCTTCTTTAACAGCATTCATGTGGATGAATAAGTCTGAATGATGAACACTTACTCAGAATAAAGGGTTTGTCCAGTTCCACAAAGATAAATGAGATTGAGATGCGAAGAAAATAGGCAAGCTGTGGCACTCGCATATCAAAATGCAATTAGCAAGCGCAAAGCAGAAGATTAAAAGTACTGATTCATCTTGTGTGTTACACATTTATTAAGCAATGCACAGTGACTAAGCAGGGTGTGTGATGTGTTTGACATGCAGAAGTCTGCTCTGTATTGTTGTTCCCTGCTAAACTTGGATATTATATTGTCATGAAACAACCAAGTGCCTCAGGCGTCATGACATTATATCATTCTGCCTCATTTGAAATTGTTGTGTTATGTGCATTTACACAAACAGTTAATTTGTAAGCCACAGATGCCCCCCCCCCCCCCTTGCAGTGCTGCTCAACAGGAATTGTTTGGAAACAATGCAATACCAATACATTTTTAGCAATGCTAGTGGCGTGGCTCAAGGAAGGCAATGTCAGTCCGTCCACAACCATTGGATGGATTGCACGAACATTTGGTACAGGCATTCGACATTGTAGTAACTCCCATGACTTTTCAGCTACATCATTAGGTCAAAATTTTAATCTCTCCAACTACTGGATGGATTGCCATAAAATGTGGTCCCTTTTCTTGTAGCCCTGTCGTAAGATAAAAGTTTTAATTTGGTCAATAGTTTGGTTTATGACCAAATACCTGCTAAACTAATGGAAATCACGTCAGCATCAGCCGCACATAGTGTTTAGTGCTAATTATCAAATACATGCTAAATTGTCATTGTGAGCATGTTAGCATGCTGATCTTAGCATTTAGCTCAAAGCACCTCTGTGCCTAAGTTCAGCCTCACAAAGCTGTTAGCCTCACTGTAGTCTTTTGTTATTTTAGCCTTTATTAATACAGGGAACCCAAATAAAGACATGTTTCATTTCTTTGGGTGTCATTTGTAGTTAGCATACTGTGTAGTGGAGATAGATGGAAAAAGGAGGATGTTTAATCTCAATGATCCCTTTAGTTCTTTCAGTATTTTCAGAGCCACGTGCCGGATGCTTTCAAGGTTTGTCACTTGGTGACTTGATAAGATGCTCTACTAAACAGACAGCATTGTTGAACTGTGTGCAGATGCCCCAGCGCCATCATGGGAGGAGCTGGAAAGTGTGATGCTGGCTGTGAAGTTGGTGGTTCATGGACTGGTGGAATTCATACAGAACTTCAGCAAGAAGAGCCACGACACTCCTCAGGTATACTGACATGAAAGGATGAGATTGTTAATAGTAACGTACATTATTTAATACACTGGAAAAAATGAGATGAAATGCAGAAAATGTGAGAGATCATAGACATAATATTCGCATGATGGAAAAGTGCAGTATAGTAAAGACAGACAAGCCAGGGAAGAGGAATTGTGTTGCTGCTCCCTCCAGACACAGTGTAAGGCCATCAGCATGGAAGATAAGATGTTCAGGGTCCTGCAGCACACTTTGTTCCTCCTGCCTGTTGCATCCAAGATAGTTAAGAGGACATGAAAATGTCTCTAGCCACTAACAGTTATTGTTTAAAGCTTCTGTGCTCTAATGGCTCTTAACTATCAATTATTTAACTGATACAACAGGATTGAAATAATTTAACAATTTGCAGATAATGCATCTGTGAAGGCTGAAACTGGTCTCTAACAGTGCATACTGTATAGATTAGTGGAGTGAATAAAGAATGAACTTCACCTGTGTGTCAATATCAACTATTTTCAAACAAATTCTTGCATAACTAATCAAAATGAATATCTATATGACTACATTCAGAATACATTAATACCTGTACGATATCTAAACACCAGAATCTTTTAAGGATAATGGATTTCTGTCAATCGTACTTGCATGCTGTCATGAAGTCCTGATCTGCACATAATGAGATATTTCCCCAGGGCTGAGGAGGATAAGCCTTCAGTTCTTTCAGCGAGGAAATAAAAAAATAACAATTTAAAATTTCAGGCAAAGTGGTTTTATATTTTCTGACTGGTGTACAACCCTGCAGAGCAACCACAAGATCACTGCCCTCATGTATCCACCTCTGTGTTTTCCATTTCTTTTTACTTTTCCCCACGTTAGAAAATAAGGGCAAAGATGGCTGAACACACAATAACAATTTTTGAATGTGTTGTGTTTAGATGCATGTTTTGTACCATACGATAATGTACCATAAAGGAGATTATTTAAGTCATTTTTTTAGATTAATGAGGCTTGCCAGCTCTCCTTTGTAGTCTGTCCATCCCTGTTTGTGGACTTTGACCTGTGACAAGTTTCCTTTTAGCTGACACTGTAACAGTCTGCAAATAAATAATGGAATCAACTTGGATATAGTTTACTAGAGCATAAACACTATAAAGAGTGAACAGTAACAAACACTAACTAACTTTTAACTGATTGTTACTATTATAATCTACCACAACTTCCAACTTCAAACTAAGAGTTGTATGTTGATTCATCTCACTGTTTCAATAATATTTGAATATTAATCATGCAAATAAAAATCACATGACACTGTTGTGCTGGAAATAGCAATAAAATGCTTGTGTACTTTGGAAGAACACAAGGTGTGATGTGTCTGTTTAATTTTACATTTAATTTGTGTTGTATCTGTGTGTGTTTTCCAGCCTCAGGCCAACAGCAAGTATAAGACCAGCATGTGCCGAGACCTTCGTCAGCAGGGAGGCTGTCCCCGAGGAACCAACTGTACATTCGCGCACACACAGGATGAGCTGGAGAAGTGAGTGGGCCCTCACATAACCTCAGAAAGACTGCGTTTTCATTTTATTCAAGAAAAAAAAACACTCAGATTATCCAAATGTCCCTTTACAATTAGATAAAAAAAGATTACTCTATAATATTATAAATATGTTTGAGAGAAGTCTGCTTATCCAACAGTGTTATTTTATGTTGTTATTTTTTTATCTTTATGTAACCGCACTACAGAGCCTCTTCCAACCTCCTTTTTAATTAGATTTTAATCTTTTTAATCTAATCATATATTTATTCACAAGAGGTCCACTGTGACAATAATATTGCAATACTAAGGCTACATGTGTATGCACGCACACACACATCCCTAATCCTTCCCAGTTGTATTGAATTTACTCATTATCCTTAATTCTCTCTCTCCACAGATTTAGACTGAGGAACAAGAAGAGCAGCAGTGTGGGCCGGGCGTTTCCATTAGCACCCGGGGTCATGGGCAAAACCTTCACCATGGAGGGCAGCATCCACACAGATGTGTCTGCAGGGGTGGGGCAGGGGCTCAAAGGCACAGGGGAGAACGCAGCCTCCATGACGGAGGGAGTTCCTGGCCTGACTCACCCCCAGCTTATCTCCAGAGGGGCTGACATGATAGAGGAAATGAAGAGAGCGGTGCCAAATGGATCCAGTGGGGCTAATGGGTCCAACGGGCTATCTGGCGCCAGCAGAACTGCATCGGGGTCAACAGAACAGTAAGATTATTCATCCGCATCTATTGTTGGCATTAAGCCATGTGACAAGTCTAATATTACTTACAGTTTAGCACAAATTTGTCTAAATAAATAATTAAACAATGGACAATAAGTTAATGCACAATATAAAAATAAACTATATATAAATGTGTATTTACATGCATGGTTCCAAACCCTTAGTGTAGGTATTTTTTTCAGCGTTAGATATAACAACAGCTGCATTTCACATGATTATTTCAGTGTCAAAAAAATTTGGTTTTCTTTCATTTACATTTGAATGAATCTAGTCAAATCCACATTTTCACCCAAATGTGTGGATTTGTGCACACTGCATATTTGCATATGATTTGGAAGAGAAATAATCCCTCACCAACATTTACATGCTGTTGGAAAGGTTTGACCTTTTGTATCTCAAAGTCAGCCTCTGTTCTTTCTTTCTCTCTCTGTCTATTGTCATTCTGTCCTTCAGGAAGCCCATCTCTCCTCCCAGGACTCCAGTCAGCCACTCCTCAGCGTCGTCTCCCTTGACCACAGTTGGACGGGGCGATAGTGGTGCTCCTATACCCAAACATGGCGGGTTCATGCTGCGTGCACCACATCCTTCACAGGCGTCCGAGCTGTACTATCAGGATGCCCACTCTGCTTATGACACAGGCCATTATCAACCAACCTGTGAGTCAAGTTTTTCAATAAAAATCAGAATTAAGAAAATGAGTTGCTGTCTTGGGAAAATGTAAATGAATGCGCTCTTCTCTTCTCTCCTTCTTCTTTCCTCCTCTCACTTTCACCTCTCCAGCAGGTTCTTACTACCCATCTACTCTTCATCCTCCTCACAAACCATGCATGGCTCGCTTCCTCCGATCGTCCAACGTCCCAGAATCCTCGCTGCCACCCTCCATTGGCCCTCCACCAACTTCCTACCCCAGTGATCCTCAGACGCCACACCCACCTTCGTCCTCTTCCTCTGGGTACCCACCACACCCACCTAGAGATCGGATGGGTCCTGCCTTCCATCCCCACCCGGGGCAGCCTCAGTATGGGCCCCTGGCTCCTGCTCATGGGGTTTATGCTCCCCTGTATGACAGCAGGAGAGTATGGAGGCCTCAGGTGAGCCTTCTATTAATTATCATCTTACTATATAATTAAATCATTTTGCAACTTTACTGATAACAATCACAACTGCTGTTACAGCTGTACCACAGAGAGGATGCCCGGAGTAACTCACTGCCTCCAGAGGTGCTGCACTCCTCTGTCTACCAGCCTCCACTCAGGGAGAGATTCAACTCTCTAGACAGCAACTACTGCTCTGGAGCTGAACACCGTGCAGGGCTACACAGGGTCAGTGAAATAATACACATCTTACACCAGGTCCAGTGCTCACTTCCGACTGGCTGGAGGAATTTATTTTCAGATAACAACACACGTGCGATATACCGTCTGCGTCACTGATTTAGTTTAAGACACATAATAGAATAAAAACTGTGCTAACTGGCTTTTACTCGAGTACAGCTTCTCCCACTTGTTTTAGTGACGTTTATTCCAACGTTGACAGTAGCAGTGCCAACGCAGTATCTATTTAAAGTGAGTAAGGCTTTAAAAAAATACCATTTATTTTAATTATTGATAAGTGGGCATACTATAAAAGGGATAATCCACTCTGAGCCATGCAATAATTAAAAGATAATGCTCTCAGCTAAGGGTAATATTAGAAATATTTCCTTTGTGTTTCATTTCTTGATGTCATGAAATATCTCTTGGGTATTGATGTTGGTCTCTCTTACACTGAAGAGGTTTATCGCTGCTTTCTTTTCTGCAGCATTTCCTTTCCTTCAGTTTCTCTTTTTACACCCACATGTCATTTCACCTCTACCTTCACTGCCAGCCACAGAGCTGCAGCATGTAGCTTCACCCTCCTCTGTTGTCCTCCCACTTCTCATCCAAATATGTATCTGCCTCCCCCACTCACTTCTCTGTTTCTCACATCATCATATAGCATTACCAGTATGGCTGCTGCAATACTAAAGAAGCCATCAACACATTTCAATTGTGGACAGCAATTGTTTGAATAATATAATATAATATAATATAATATAATATAATGGTAAAAAAACAACAGTGTTGAAAAGCTTCTTTAATTAAAAATGTGTCATCAAAGAATAATTCATAGAGATTTGTGGCAAGACTTGAACCCCGAGACTTAAGCCAGCACCCAATAAAAAGATCTCTCAGTTGTGCAGGAGCCAACAAGCATTAACGCATACATTTTGCAATGCAATGCTGTGCAATTTTCCACCATGTGCATGTGCAGTATACAATATAGCGGGACACAATAACAGGATTGATCGTTTATTTGAGTGTCCTGCACCTCTGGTGCCCAGCCCATATGGGCTTATAAGACACTTAACAGCTTAGCTTAAAGTATGAGGGTTGTTGTGTTGCACAGCACAAACATGAAATGCAATCAGAGCACCTAAACCGTGGAGGAAGATTGGATACAAATCTGCATATTCCTTTGAGACACAACTCAAAACCTAATGTTCTGTATTATTAATGCTTTTTCAGTAGTCCTATTTGATTCTGAATGGTAATGATCAGTTTATGGTTTCAGTCTGATCTGTACCTAATGACATCTTTGCTAAATTGTTGATCAATGTATTATGAATATAATATTGATATGATGATGTTAATATCATGATCTGTTTTCCCTTCCTCACGTTTCCTCTCTTTTCCAACACTGCCTCGGCAGGATTACGGTCGTGTTCCTCTGGGCTACGAGGATCTGTTCAGAAGGAAGCAGGAACAGTGGGCTCACCACCACCACCATCACAACACCAACAGACCCTCACAGTCCTCCCCCATCTTCACCATCGATTTTGGAACTGAGGTAGGAAGCAAATAAGAGATACAACATATGTACCACTCATTAAGAGATTTTATAGGCCACCATGACCAGTTTATTAATGCTATCACTGCAGCCAAATCAAACTGTGAGTAATGATTTGCTTATGTATTTAACCATTTTTTTTAAAAATGTTGGATTTAATTCCCATCCCAAAAGCTTGCGTTTCCACTGTGTCCAATGCTATTTAAGTGAGAGATAGTTGCTTAGCAACTGTGGAGGAAGATATCATAGCAATGCACAGTTGTGGCGTGTGCATGTGCATGTGTGGGTGTGTGTGTGAGAGAGAGAGGATCAGAGAAAAGCGAGAGGAGAGACTTTAACAAGCAGTGACTCAGGCTTTCAGCTGGGTAAAGCTTTGTTTAACAGCACGTTAGATGTTTTTCTGACGATATCCACTTTAAAATGAAGCTCTTATTAGAGAAACCACAAGGACTTTTTAAGTGTTTGTTTACTGGACTCAATTTAATTTGGATGCCTCTGCATAACAAACATAAGCAAACAAGACCATGGGCAAAAATACTGGCTATTTCTATTTAATGATGTCTGGTGCTTGCCACAGGGATGACAGCGAAGTGGCAGCATGTCAGCATCGGCATGACAGCATAGATCCAAATTAGTGAGAAACCAGTGCTGGTACTTCAGGTGTATGAACCTTCCTTAAACTCACACCCGATGCATAACACATTTACTCACTTGTGACATTGTCCATCCATGTATCTGTTGTCTATACCTGCTTATTTTGTGCAGGGTTTTGCTGGGACTGGAGCCGATCCTAGCTCACATTTGGTGAGAGGCAGAGTGCCCTCTAGAGATGTCACCAGTCTATCACAGGACGGACAGACAGGCTCACATTCATGCTTACAGGCAACTTGGGGTCTCCAGTTCAACTGATCTGCTTGTCTAATGTATAAATGCACTCATGTAGGCATGATGGGGAGAGCATGCAAAGTCCACAGAGGGAATGTCCTAACCAGCCCGTGGATTCAAACCCAGGACGTTCTAACACTGAGCCATTGTGCCACCTGAACTATCACTGTATCGTTATGAATATTACATAGCTGCAATTGAGAGAGCAATTTGCAAAACGCGGCTACATCTCTCTGTCTGTCTCTTCAAAGCAAATGCTTGGCTGAAAGTCAGTGGTGGCAAAAGTTGCAGCTGTTGTCCTCAGACGCCCCCAAAGTCGAGAAAGATCCGCAAATCCTCGTAATCCCTGTGACCTCTGGGACAGATCAAGCTAGAATTAGCAACAGGAACAAGTCTCTCACACACAGAGGAAGCAGATGAATATGTTTCATCGTCATTTTTAATTGTCTCTCTCTCTCTCTCTTTCTCTCTCTCTATCTTTCAGCATGTGGAGAGCAGCGGAGGTCAGTGTGTGGGTTGCAGGTTCAGAGGCGAGGAAAGTTTAGCTCACTACTCTCCGTGGTCTTGCGGTACCATCGGCCCCTGCCTCAGCCCCTTTGAGCCCGAAACGCTCACCCACACCTCGGCTCACTCCTGCTCAGATCACTCGGTGAGACTCTTTTTCCACACCCACAGGGAGGCGCAGACGCTCAGACTCACACCCAAAGACAAATTGTCTTTTTCACTTTAGTATCACTGTGTTTTTCGGTGTATTTAAGACTTTGCTCTCTTTCGAACGGCGTCCCTTGGTTTTCTCGTGCAGGAGTTAGACAGTAATGGAGGCGGGGGTGGTGGCGTCAGCAGTGGCAGTAGTGTCGGGAAGCGGTGGCTGCATTCACTGGATCACTACCGCCGCTTGAAAGACGAGGACCCAATCATTCCCTTCAGTGAGGGGCCCATTATCTCCAAGTGGGGCGCCATATCCAGGGCGTCACGCACGGGCTACCACACCACTGACCCCGTCCAAGCCACAGCCTGCCAAAGCAGCGCCAGCACCACACCCATCAACTTTAAAGGTAAGGAGGGATAAAAGAGAGAGAAAGGACAGAACAAAGCACAGTCCGTTGAGCTGTCCCTTATCTTTATAGCATACATCCATACATTATATTTCCATATACTTATTATTTTAAAGTTAATTTTGCTTTGATTTTTTCTGTCTGCATTGTTTACATATTTGTTTGTCTGTCTATCACAGATTACAACCCCCACTTGGATCACAGTGACTACAGGTGGAGTTCCAGAGGATCAGACTCCTCCAGCCACTCCAGTTTCCTAGAGAGGTACAACGCCTTTGTTTTCTCTGAAATCTGTTTTTAGCAGTTAATTTCGTTACAGGTCTTAAATGTTGTTGAACTGTGGGGAAGCACACAAAAACCCCGCATGGAAAGAACTAAGAACTGAGTATTGAATATTGAATTGAACCATATGTGCCGTGCAGTATTGGATATTGTCATAGGGGTTCATTTCTGATTGTTCCTAACACATTCGCTCTCCTTCCTGCTCTCTCATCCCTCGCCTCGCTCTTTGTTTAGCAGTCATTTCCTCTCTGTGGTCAGACTAAAAATAGAGCTGCTAGCTGGTTGGTAAAAACCCACTGGGCTGGCACGAAAAGGAGTCAGGAAAGCCCTCTGCATTCATGTCTCTAATGAACTTTTAACATATTTTCCAAGACACTGACATTCTTTTTTTTATCATGGTTTGTGTTATTAATATTGTAGTATTGTAATGCCACATTTTGTCTACCAATACCAGGTCATTAATGCATACTGTAAGGCATCGTGACCATGTATTTGTTTTATTTTATTTTACCCTCATCATTTTCTTTCTATTGATATCAGGGATAATGATACTAAGAAACTAAGTGTTCTCTAAATCACTGCATTTTTTTTTTGTTACATTCTCTCTGTTGTACTTTTTGAAAGCTAGAGAGCAACTTTGTGTTTGTTTGTTTCTCTGTGTGTTTTCAGTGAGCAGCTGTGTGCATCAGAGTTGCGTGGCCGTCGCACTTCAATAAGCAGCGGAGAGAAAATTGTTTCCGATCTGCAGGCCCACCAGACCGCCTACGGCCAGGACCGGGAGCGGGCCGAGAGCGAACCGGACCCAGGCCGAGACATTGAGCTGGAACTGTGCGCTCTGGACATGGAGGATTCAGACCACCAGGAGATCAAGTCTCAGGTTTGTGTGATGATGTATTACTGAAGTGTAAATGTAATACATCAAAGCACAACCAAACCCCCTTCTCATCTTTCTTTTTTTTTTATCATCTCTGTCTCCTAGGAGTCTTTAGACCTGGCTACCCCACAGTCTCAGGATGCTTCCCACCTCCTCCCACCTCCCTGCTCCTCTCCCCTCCTCTCATCCCCTGTCGAGGAGCGCCCCCAAACAGAGGGTCCTTCGACAGAAAAGATGGATGCTCACCTGCTGAAAAAGATGGCCTTCAGGTGAATTACCATGGTAACCATTGTCAAACAGGATAGAACCACAATCTGAGTTGCATTGGACTTGATTTGTCTTACTCTTTCTTCCTCCCTGCCTCCTTGCTTTCTTCCTTTCCTCCTTTCTCTCTGTTTTCCAGGAAGTCTCTGTCTCCTGGAGGGTTGGTCTCAGGAGGTCTGGGCGTAGGCAAGCTGGTGCTGCGGACTGGACCTTCTCGACTGGGGGACACTTCCACCCGGGCTTGTCCAGACACGCCCGGGACAGAGATGCTGCTCAATGGAAGCTAAGGGGACACAAAGTCAGACAGTGACCTGTATCAATGCTAGCGCTGAGCTGCTAGCCCACAACCAGATCCTGGTTAAAGGGAATACCATTTAATTCCAGCCTTCATATTTGTTAATCATATGCCTAAATAAAACTTGACAGATATGGGTCACCAGTCTGTGCTGCGCCACGCCGCAAGGGGCAAGAGAAAACACACTGTCCTGCCTCCTAAGTAGTCATTTTCACCAATATATAGCTCCACAGAGAATTTAGTGATATCACTTCTAATGCCTAATAAGGATCTGTAGATGCTGAACTTGTCCCTGTTTGCAGTTTAAATCACATTTAGGAGAAAGGCTGGAGATCTCACACCATCTTCGCCACATGATTGCTCTCTCTACATGTATAAACTCCTGAGGTTTATACTGTGCATCGTCCAGTTTGTTGTCGTCCATCACCGCTGACAAATGCCACTTTTTCAGTTTTCAAGATTTCTTTGATACAGTACTGGTTTATAACCCAGCGCCACATAGCTATCCAAACAAAACTTCACACAAACCTGGCATTATTTATCCCCTTTTGAAACTTTTTGCCGCCTTACGGATATCTGCCAATTATTTTTCTTTCTATATCTCTACATGTTAAGGCATTTGTTTAGCCACTGGTTTAGTTTCTAGCTTTTGTTGTGTTGCTGCATTACACATTTTCATAAGTATTTCCTAAAACATCAAAGAGATAGATGTAATAATACTGAGAGCAAAAATGTGTAGGGCGCTCCAACGCTCCAATAAAATTAAAAAGGAAAAAACTGCAGGAAACAGAGGACTTCACTATACTGATAGTGAAACAAGCCTCTGTCCTTTATGAGTCATATGATTTAAATGTTGACCTTCAAATTCCCTTAACTGTCACAAGATCACAGAGCACAACGACACAGTCATAAACTGAACCTGATAATGATCATTGATTGCCGAAAGTCACGAGGGATGAACAAAGTAAACTACTATACTAGCTATACTAACATATTTTCTCAGTTGACTCGGTCTGCATAACTAAAGAATACAAAGCAATTCTTTTTGTGAATAAATTGTATCTTGAGCTGCGGATGGAGATAATTTAGTAGATTTCTGTTTGAGCCACATACACTCACAGTCAGCCTCAAAAACTGCTGTTTCATCTTTGTGTGCCCTTAGTGGTACTGGCATTTAACCCTGCTGACTGTAAGCGAGGACAGTCTCACAGCTCTCTCTCTCTTTCTCACACACGCACACACACACACACACACACACACACACACACACACACACATACACAAAATACACGTGTGCACAAACTTGTCATCCACACATAGCAGACACAAACATGCAATACAGTGGCCTTTCTCTCCTTGGTGTTGTATAAAACTTGGGCTCTACAATGACGTTTGTCCACGCTCACTGACTGACTCCTGTCTCATTTCAGAGGCGTGATCTTACACGTAACCGTGATCCGACAAACCGAACACTGGAAGTCACATCTTTGTAAGCCCATGGCTTTTTCTGTGCTTTTCCAGCCCAGTCACATTCACGTACTGTGTAAACAATAGTCAGAGGTCATGCATGATTTCTCAAGCTGAGGCCTACAAAAAAGTGAGGGACACCAAATTCTTGTGTTTCTTCATGCTGTGTCTTTGTTTCACATTTTAAAAAGTTTTGGTTCGTTTTATTTTATGCATTGCTAACTTCTGTGAAGTTGTTCGTCGGGGTATTTTGTATCAGGATCTTTGTTACTCTTGTTTTGTTTCTTATGTTTTAATTCACATTGTCTGATGTTTCTCTGTGTTTGCTGGCCACCAGATGTGCTGTCGTCAGTAAAGTCCACCAAAGTCTAGTTCACTGTTATTTTGTGCAGTATGGGTGATTTCCATACAGACCAGCCTTGCCTCACTCCCTTTTATAGATATGAGGCATCTCGTCATGTGTGGTTTAGTCTTAAAGACCTTAGCATTAAACATTAACCCATCTTATATACACAGGATTTAAAGTCATGGAGACTCCACTGAGTTTGTTTACACCCGCTCTAAATCTTATGAGATTTGTGTAGAAAGAAAAAATGGAGGGTTAACTAATCTTTTGCGTCTTTCAAGTTCCCTCTTTGCTTTCCTCTCACCTAAGCTACTGTACTGTCTCAAAAACTTCACGAGAGGCAAGTAGCAGCATCCTTCCCCTCAAGTTATATCTTAAATCCCATTTTAGAGGATGGCAGAATGGCTGTACAAATGAGGAAAGGTTTTTGAGTTACAATTTGAAGAGAACGAACACTGAAATGATGGACTGGTGACCTTCTTGGGGTTTCTGTCTTATCTTCCACCCTACTGCTGAGAGAAGCGGGTAGAGAAAACGAAGAACTGGACTGAACAATTCAGCGTGACTTGGATGTGATAATACCATTTTGGAGAAATGTTTTGTAGTGTTAATTTCTGACCTGTAAAAGGCAAGAGCTGGCGCAGGGATTTCAGCTGCTCCAAGTCATGAAATTAGCCTCAGCTACCCACTGTCGCTCTGCATCTGTTTACAACTTCAGCTTTGAAGTCATGTAACGTTAAGTGCCATGTTGTGTACAGTACAGTACAATCAATCCCTGCAATGTTCCTATAGCTTTTCATATTCCTCAGCTGTACACTTATGCGAGGAGGGAAAGGCTCAGTCAAGTGGAGGAGTTAAGACACTTCTCTTGTAATTCTACTTTGTTCCATTAGAGGAAGCTAGATCCTTGTCTGTCTGAATCGCTCAGGGAAGACTTAAGTTGCTCAGCTAGTACTTTGGCTTTTTCTATATTCATCACTTTAAATATTCTGTGGAAGTATTTACCTGAATTTCACTTGTTGATAACCGATCCTTTCACCCAGAGCAAAATGGGATAAAGTGTTAACGATGATTATAATGTTTGCCAGTGTTTACTTTGCCAGTGTTTTCTTTTGCCTCTCAGTATCAATATTGATTTTGCTATTCTAGCTCTCATGGGAAAGGGCTGGGCACTACTGTATGTAAAAACAGTATTGTGAGTATTGAACTTATGTCAAAGTGATACTCCCTGTTTCCTTTAAAAGTGTCTATTGAGCACTGCTGTAGTGGCTAATTGCACTGCACTAATTTCCACCCCATCACTGCCAGCAGGTGCACTCCAAGTGGGGTGCCCGCCCCCCACCCCCACCCATCACCCCACGCCCCACCCCCACCACTCACCCCCCACCCCACTTTCCTTCACCCCACCACCTCTGTCCTCCCTGCATCCTGCCTCATGCATGTGATATAGTCCCTCTTGTAATGGCGGAGGAGTACTGATGATTCTGTAGTTGTGATACAACACACCCAGCGCTGTAAGAGTTCTGCACATGCCCACTGTGTGGCCACGTCAAGTGCTGAAGTTTGCTTGCAGCATTTTACTTGTTTGCTCATGAGAATTAATTATTGTTTAATAGAGATTATATTGTTATTACTATTATTGTTATGACCACATTTGGTTGTTGTTGTGGTATTTTTCCTTCTTAGTATATTCTAAGTCTGCTTCTCTGTTTTGAATTTGAGAGTTTGCTGAAACTGTTGAAATTTTTTATTAGACAAGAAAGTGTCTCATCATTCTATATTATATGGGAAAAAGCTTGTTTGTTGATTGTGAAACATATGATGAACTGATGTTTTCTGACTATTCATGTCTGTATTAGACATTTTATTTGCGAATCTATTGTTCGATTGAAATGTAAATGAACTATTAAGAGATGGTACACATCCGTCATTGTATACAGTCTGGCACCATCATTAGATGGACTTATAGTATAGACGCTCATTTATACAATCTGTGATAATCAGCTATATTTAAATGTTTAAATCATTGGGGCAGTTGTGTAATGTTTCAGAATGAGGAAAATAAAATCCTTAAGAGACAGCATATCTAAAATGTCCCCATAATGAATAATACTGTTACGTATTCCATTTATTTCCTTGGAAATATCACATTGTGAAAGGTTTCCCTTTTACCTAACTGTTCGGTAATGCAGGAATGGAGTAGGTCTAACCTATGGTGATGATGATTAATGTGCTATTAATGATTGATGGTTTAAGTATTGTTTGACTGACTGACTGATTCTTCTGTGCATTTTCTGGCTTGTTCACCTGTATTACACTGACTTACAGACAGCTTGGCTGAGCAGCATACTGCTTCTGTGTTTGCACTGAGAGATGGAATTACGAAAAGGAAGATTTTAGCACTTGAAATTGCATGCTACAATAAACCGACAACTGATTATGTCTGTTTGGTTCTTGTCATCCTTTGTGAATCTCAGTTTCCTGTTGTGCCTTTGAAAAGGCACTGTGAGGACTCGACTCTTGACACAGTGATGAACTCCATCTAAGACTGTCTCAGTTATGTAAACAAAAGTGGCTGTTGCATCACTCATACACTTTATTCTTCATGAGCATGTTTGCTCAAGGCATTATGGGTTCCTGGTCAGGGACAAGGTGACAGTGTGAGACCTCTCACTGTACCACGTTGTAGTGTAGTATTAAAATGGAATCACATAAGGGTTAAAACACAAGGGGGTGCTAAAATTCTCCAAATCTCATAGAAAGGTAAGTGGAAATTGCATGATAGGTCTCTATAGTCAGTATTACTGCAGACTGTCCTTCAGAGGTCCATTAACACAGTGTTAGTATGTGTGTCATTTTTAATGTCTTTTCTTATGTTTTAAATTGTTGAATAAATTGTTCAATTGTGTTGCCTGGTGAAACAACAGGCTGGACAGGAAGGGCCAACATGACTGCAGCACAATGAGAATAGTGGGTGTGTATGTCACAGCTGACTGCTGTGGTTTAGTGGCTGATTTTAAGGCATAGTTGGGAGATCAATTAGAGTCCCCGTCACTTTCAACTCAAAATCTGTTGTAAACAAGTGAATTCCATCCTCATCAAACTGCTGCCAAAAACTAGTGAATTATGTGGGTTTACATTAGATTAACTTGGGTTTGAACTTCTGAAGCAATGCTTGCTCTGCAAAATTAAAATGGTTACATAATATTCCTTCATTTCATCATTAAGGTAAGCAGTGATTTTGATGCATCTAAGACAGAATGGCAGGTATACCTTTCTTTTTTAAATAAATAAGCGTCCTGAGCTGTCTTGAGACTATAGCTTGCCTGCTGTGATACTTGACCTACATGAAGTTGAGACTTAATAGAAAGAAACATGAAAGTATCACATTGTGTATAGTAATATACCATGTACATACACATAGCTTACGTATACACATATATAGGCCTATCTATGTGCACTACTTAATAGATCCTTGAGGAGGTTCCTGGGGGTTCCCACCAAAAGGGGAAGCAACTTGTGTTTTTGGTTTGGGTTTCAAACAATCTGTAATAAAACATAAAAAAGCAAAAATCTAGACCCCCCCTTGACAAAATTTTATGAAATGGGGGTCTCATTTGTGTCAGTTTAGGGGTCCTTGATGTGAGTTTGCGAACAACTGCCCTAGAAGACCCAAAGACAAATTTCTAGGGGCATCATATCATCAAGCCTCCCCTCCAAAGCACAGCGGAGAGGGGGCACTGACAGGCGCATGCGCAGTGTGGATGTCAGCGGGTTGGTTGGGGTTGTGTTTACAGCTCGGCTGGATGCTGTTTGCTGCTGATGTTACTGGGAGAGTGCAATGTTGTGCCAACCACCATTGGAATAAATATAACTGTGGGAATAAAGGTAAGATGTTTTGCACTTGCACATGCTTCTTACTCTTAAAGTTAAATGCAGCTGTCTCTTCAGTTATGAAGAAATATGCCTTTTTGTTGGTTGTAACTCTCAGGGTAGCATGGCTAGCATACGTTAGCTAGCCAGCTATATACAGTAATGGCCTGTATCAAGGCTCTCTCCAGCGAGGGCCAGTCAGCGGGTTTATTCACCAAAATATTGCGAACACTTTCGACATAGCAGTTTGCATTAATTACTTTATGATGGCGGAATAGCTTAGCTAGTTGGTCAGGGTGTAGTTAAACATTTTTGTCGGGCGTTGAATCGATGACTGGTGAATAGCTATCTTAGCTAACGTTGGGCAGGTTGGTAAGGGCTAAGTGAGGCAGTAAGTTATCTGTAGAGCTAGCTACATTAAGCTCCTCCAGCATTATCGAACTTAAAATATTTAACCATGGATAACTTATCTGTCAAAGAACTGTGGCGTTTGAAACGTATCAGGGCCCTCATGAGGCTGTACACGCTGCATTAACATGTAGCAGGTTTGCTTGTAACCAGATTAAGTGGTGTCCAGAAAGCCAATTACTGTTTATGCTACCATGATATCTAGACTATCTGTCAAATAGTAAATGATTGTGAAACCATTCTGGAGTAGTTGTGAGTAGTGTAACACATATTTTATCTAAATTGGTTTAACTCTTTTTATTTGACACTGTTAATACCTTAGCACAGGGCGGAGTGACAGCTGGGTGTGCTCTGTTTTCGTTTTCAACATACGGTGTCTGCACAGGCTGGTAGTACCGATAATAGATACTGCAAGATACTGTTGTTTGTTTATGGTGTATTGTTTCATACAGCAATACCTCACAATACACTGATGATCACGTTAATGAGAGTTTTCCACATAATTTCAAGTGCATTTTGACATATACGTAGGTAATAAAGACATAGAGTAGGATTAGATGAAGCGATATAGCTGAATATGATTATAGATTGGTTTAGGTAACGTTTATTCTACTTAGATTGTTATAACAAACGAGATGAAAACCTTTCATTGTATGTCTAGGTGTTGTCAATAAATATCTGTTTAAAACAGTAGCAGTTAATACGAACTACCCTACAGATATTTACAGGTAGAATTAACTTCTGCTTCAAAGTCAAGTACTCAGACTCAAGGAACATTTAATCCACTCTATATTTTTTTTTTTGTCAGTTGAAGTTTTGTTATTGTCACATGATAAGGGAGGGACCAGCAGGTGCATGGGTGTCTTGACAATCAAGATTTGAGAGTTGTCTACTGTGAGGCATTGCCTGAAGGTACTTAATTATTATGTTGAATAATCCCTGTTGAATAATTTTACCAGTGCCTCTAGTTCACAGAAATACTCATTACAATATCTAAAATTAGTGCTATAACACATTTACAAACTAGCTTTGTAACTGTAAATATGTAAATAGTAGTGCAAGTAATGCCAGCACATGTTGACCAAATAATCCATTTGTACTGAGTAATATTCTATATTTCTCTGACTTTCTGCCAGTAATGAGACATAATCAGTTGCAACAGTGAACTAGCTGTTGTCAAGTTATTATTGCCACAGACGATAGAATTCTTGAAACCAGTAGCTTTTGCCTTGTTGTGAATTTAAATATTTTCCACAACAGTGGACAACATGTATGGTAACTTTGGCCAACTGTGCCAACTGCCACTTCACTCAGCTCTTTGTTCCTGTTCTGTTTCCTGAAGCACAGGTATTGCAGTAAAGCCTCATCAGGTGATACATGCATGCATGCACAAAAAACACAACACTCAGATTTGTCTGTATGCAAATATTTGCTATATTCATAACATTTATTATGTATACTAGAGGAGTACAAAGGTCAGTGCTTCTTCAAAAATACTTTCTATTATGTTTTTTAAGACAGTATGAGTATGATATTTTTTTCACCAATTAGTATTGATTCCAATTTGATTCCAATTTGATTTGAGGCATCTCTTTGTTAGTAATTATTGCAAAAAACAGACTGCAATATTAGGATTGTGATGATAACTCAAAACAAATGGAAAAATAATAACAAAATAGCAACAATGTTAATACTGCAATGCAATACTAACAATATATAGAAGGAATCAAAAGATGTAAAAACTCATTTGAATGAAGTTTTAAAAATTTAGTATTTTTTTTAAGCATCTACATGTCAGCCACATTTTCTTACAACTGTCAAGTGAGCCATAATAAAATATAGGACTTGTGAACCAAAGCTGTGTACTATAAACCCTTTCTCAGGACCAAAGATGTCAGACCTAATTGATGCATTTTGCTGTTGAGCTGTCACATATTTTCTCTTGGTGTGTCTCCTGGTATCCCTCCTATTATAGCTTGGTCTGTAACTGATTTTAGACTGAGCCCTGAATGTTCTGAAATCCCAACAACGCCCCTCAGATGCACCTGTTATTTGGGGAGCTGGTGGAGACTGAATGGCGGGGGGTGGGGGGCTGGCATGAACTGCAGTGGATTAGTGGTTCCTTCATCCAGCTGCTGTGGATGAGATAAAAGGAGACTATGTAGGGTCAAAAGCATGGAAATGCATTTTATAGCTAAGAGAGGAGTTACAAAAGAGTTCAAAGAATTAGTTCATGCACTCAGTAACATCTGCACAACCTTTTCCCATGCTCATTTCTGACTCAACATAAATCACGGTTGAATTTCAAAACATCCACAATGAGCTTGGAGGAAATGTCAGGTTTTTGGTGGCATTATGCAATGGCTGCATGAGTAGCTGTGGGTGTTTGTGTACTGTTCAACGACTTGAAAATTAAGTGTACCGTTTGCTGATTCAGCTTTTTGCCCGAACTGCTGAATTGGTTCTTTCAAACCAGACAGTTATCGGTTTATTTATCAAACTTAAATGTAGATAAAAGTGTTTGGAGGCATTCTGGAGAGAGTCTTTCCACAATGCCAGAACTTTCTGTGGAGCCTTGTGGACCTGTGAAGGGCTTGATTATGTGAAGCATCAATAATGTTGCATTCACACTGTGACTTACCTGCTTTCACCAGTGGGTGCAAACTTGCTTCTAAAATCCAAGCTTGTCTTCTTTAGAGGTGATCTCTGTCTGTGTGCATGCAGCTGTGGATTTAAAAAAAAAAGAACCACTGCTAATAATTCAGATCAGAAAAGTTAGTAATTGCTTTGATAATATTTAATGACTTATCCTGATATACATAGCTTATAGCCTGTATTTAATATTAATCAATCCTTCAAATTATTCATACTTCCTGTCATTAACCTCCAGGTGGGCTAGAACTTTAATCAGCGTTATATACCACTGATTGCTTCTTCATTATTCTACTATTTAAATTTTATTTATTTGTAGGAAAGGACTGGTTATTTTTTGAGCTGGTTTTTAGGATGTGTAACCAGTGATATTTCAGTCCTCACATTAGATGCTTCGTGAACAACTGCAGTGACAAGAAATGTGTAACATCAGACTAACATGTAACATCCCTAAATTTATTATTAGTGTGTTCAGTTCCTATTGCAATCACCCTGCATTTATGCTAAGTCTTGAACTGCAGCCAGTCCCTTTAGTCGTGGCGTGTGGTGAAGGAGTAAAAACACAAAACAGTTCATGGTAAAGAATGATGATTGAATAATTCATTGATTTGAAATTAGGCCATCCTGAACATCTTGTATAATAATGATCCCTGATCCCTTTAATAATGTAGAATATCAATATTTATACAACCGTTGTCTTATCTGGTATTTTAAGAGTGAAATTCAATTTCCTCTCACTTTTATTTTCCAGAATTCACATATGTGTTTATAATAAGCTTAGTCCTAACTTTAACCTTGTATAAGTGGCACTTGCTGCTTTCAATTCCCATGTCTAAAGGCCTTCACCCTTAACAACTGTTTGTTGTTGGAGCACATATTCACTTACACACACAGGTGTCAAGTTTCCATTATGAGCTTCTGTATAATCTACTGATAAATAAATGTCTGTGAATAGCTACACATTGTGTGGTTCAGTATCTCACAGTGGAGGTGGTTGGTGTAGCCAATTCTTCATTTCAGAAGTTAAAAGGCAGGCCTGCACTGTGTGATAAAGTCTTTTTTTTTTCTCAGTCATGTGAAATTATTTTGTTATTGAGTTTGAAACATGCAGAGGTTTCATTCCTGGATAGGCAACTGGGAGCCTGCGCTCTGCTGTCGAGCTGCACTGAGATGGTTATTAGGTGATCACACAGGACAAATAAGATGTAAATTAGGCTCTGCATGTGTCTGTCTGTGTGTGTATGTGTTTCCTGGAGTTGTACATCTTGACCTGATCATTCAGAGTCCCTCTTTCATTTCTTTTTCCTTCTCTTTCCTTCTGTACCATACCTTGTGACTGACCTTGTGGTAGTTCAGCTTTCTTTCTTTCTCCTTTCCCTTTCTGCCTCTCCCTTTCTCACCGGTGTCTCTGCCTGGCTGAAATCACTGCTGTGAGGCGCGTCAAAAGGGACTGTGCTGCAAGCCTGAATGCTCTCTGGCTGTGTCTGGCTGTGTCTTCCTCTCCCTTGTGAGGTGCACGCAGCGCCCAGCTGGCAGCCCAGAACAGACCATTCAGCTGGAGAGTGGTGGAGAGAGAGCAAAAAGACAGGCATAGGTTTCCAGTATCCACATTTTTACACATGGATCGACATAGATATTCTTGTCAGATGCTGTGCTTTTACCTGTGACAAACAGCTAAGAGAGGCCACTTTTGTCAGTCATTTGGTCCCAAAATTAATTGCAGGTCACACCCAGACTACATCAGCCCAACTGCTGTTATCACTTTGTGCATTAATAGCTATGTTGGTAAAACTCTGAGCTCTAACTTCTGTAATCCTGAAAGGTGCAATTTAGATTGAACTTCACTGCATATTATCACTAAATACATGCTTCTTTTTTTTTCTCCTATCAAAACAAGGTAATTTACTATTTTTCATGTATCTAGTACCACATTGTAATACACATTGTATCAGTCA